AAAAAGATCAACTTCAACCTTATATCTAAAACAATATCCATTGAAGTGCCACAAATCTTTAGAAAGAACTTTCAAAGATTGTTGATGAAAGACATATATTTCAGAGTAGAAGATTCTAAGTCAATTTCTTGTACACTAAACAGTAACATGTCATGAGAGTTGGTATATAAAATGTCAAACTCAATAATATTATCTTAATTTGACCTTGAAGACAAATCCATTAGTTAATCAATTCAAAATCTCTAGACATAATATCAAAGACAACATATCTACAACTTGAAAATTTGAGTTGAAATATGACCTAAAGTCAGAAGTATGGATTATAGATTGTAACTTGTTATTTAAAGACATAAACTAAAAATAAATCAAAAGATTTCGTCTAAGAAAACTTTGAAAGAGAAAATATTCTTCAATTAGTTACAAATCTCTAAATAAGATATCACAAACAACAGTGAAAGTAACTAAAAGTCAATAGAGCACCAATAGGTTAATGATAAAATTTTCAAAGTAAATGACCATTTTTAGATACTGAAATGATAGAGATACAATGGTGTACAATAAGGACGAGTTGAAGATAATTGAGATTAACACTAAATGAAGAAATTTTTGTGAACATTATTAATTCAAACTCGAGAAAAAAATATACTCAATATAGTACAACAAAGTGACCGCACAACTTAAATAAAGAGTTAAAGCTTTATCATACTCAATTAAATGCAATAATTTACAAATCATTTAACTAAGATGAAGGTTGTCTTTTTCAACCAAGCCCTTAGGTAATTTGAGTGGTAAGTAGAGAGAGGGTAAGGCTAAGGCATGAAGTATTGAAAACTGAAATTTACATATAGATGATGTTGTTTTTTGAAGAGAAATATACATAGACTTAAGCATATAGTGTTCAACGTAAATATATATTTGTGAGGGGTAAGATATTTGTGAAGATCAAATAATAGTATTTGAGAGAGCTAAACCTGTGAAGTCAACTGTATTTTAAAAAAAAAATAGTGAAAATTTAGTAGAGGAATCCTTCGAGATTGAACATAGCCTAAGGCAGAGTGACTTAGTATAAAAACCTTTGTGTCTATCATATTTATATAGACTAGAGCTATCATGTGATGAAAAGGAGAGACTCAAGTAAATTTCTATATAAGACCAAGAGATTGTGTTAGAGCAAGTGTCAACATATACATAGATAACATACTTGAATAAAAGATAAAAACATATGAAACTAATTCACCCCTCCTCTTGGTACTTAGCTACATTAAACCCAACATACTTTACTAATAATATATAACTACTTTACTGATGAAGTTGATAATTAGAATGGACCATGGAGATTGGGCACACTAAATTGATGGATCAAATTGCATATTGGATGTTGAGTTCATGAGTATTTTGCATGTGTAAATCTTTCACATAGAATGAGAAAATAGGTCATGAGGGAATTATTGAGTGACTATATGATCTTACTTGAAAGCCTAGATACCGAAGAGGTAGGATGATGCCTTATACAAGTCAATTACTTGTCTCCCAAATAAGGAGTCTTATTTCGGATGGAGGGGGGAGGTAGATGATGTTAGAGCAAAATGAGGATAGCCTTGGGAGGTGGGGCTCATGACAAAGTGTTGATGTGTACAAAAAATGTGAAATATGACATGTCATGGTAGCCATGAGGAGCTTACTTTGACAAAGACATCAAACTTTCAAGGTGGGGGTTGATGTCATACTCTAAACATGAGGTTGGGCAAGTGGACTTCCTTGTGTATCACATAGAAGAATACACATCCCTATTGAAAAAATGTTATGATGCATGGTGAAGGCCTCTTGGTGTCATTGAAGGAAATCAAAACTAGTCTAAGGCAAAGGGATTGAGAAGAGTTATTTTTTGTTCTCATGACAAAGTTAGTTTTGAAATCATGTGAGACTTTTCTAAGGTTTATAATGCTAAGTTAAACCCTCGACATAATTTTGGTGGCCTAAAATTACTATTTTACTATTTATTTATTTTTTCAATAATATACACTAAAAGGACCACTCATAATATATAAATATTACTATTAATAGATATTGGGTGTTGAAGACAATTGAGAAGCATTCTAGAAGCAAAATATTAACAATTAGTGTTGTCAAAAACTAGGAAAAATTATTCGAGTTATCTATTAGTACATGTACCATATTTTACATTTAAAAATAGATTTTTATTTTCACTATTCTATCCTATCTCTTCCACTCTTTGGTGATGAGGGTAATGGCTCTCTCTAGTGACCAAAAACCTAAGATAACCTTGATCTAATATCAAAGCCAAGCAACTGCAATTGTTCTAGATCTCTTATTTCTAATATGCTCCTCTAGTTGTATTATTATTAGTTTGTAGGTGATTGCTGACTTTGGTTTTTATGTTGGCAATTTACATAATTGTATACTTCCAACTTGATTTGTACTAACTATGAGAATTGTCCCATGAATAAGTATCTCTATTTTTCTAGATTTATCTATCTATTTTCCTTTTTGACATCATTTCTCTATACAAAAGGTGAAAGCATAAGAATAATTATTTAGAGCTCTACCAAATATTTCAAATCAATTCAAATTATATGAGATGAAACTATTTGAATAAAATAAATTTATTAATGTCATCTTGACAAAGAGTGGTAAACTCAATTACTTGTTAGAACAAGTAATTATTCAAGATTCAAGTCATGAAAGGAAAAGATGCAAAAATAAAAACATGGCTGTGGAGTACTATGACTCTTGAGGTCAAGACAAACTATCTATTTCTTTCAGGAGCTAAAGACAAAGAAAAAAATAGTAAAATATTTTTCAAGAAACATAATGAAGTCAAAATATATTGAATAAAATGGCCTTGTCACAAGAGAATAACTCTAGTTTGGGAAGATATATATGAGTTAGGATCTATGTGAGAATAATTGATAGAAATACACAAATTACAACTAGCAACTCATATGATGAATTTTTCTTCTACAAATATATAGAGAAAGATAAGATTTATGAATATTTAATTATTTTTAATCTTAAATATGATCAAGTTCAGGTTCAAATTATAAATAGTAAAAGAATTTTTTATTTAAAAAAATTGATTGTGATAATAAGGAATGAAAAGAATTAACATTTGTGGTTAAACACAAGAAATAAAGAGATCCACCTTAGTAACAATAACTTAAAGATGAAGAAAGGTGACTAGGAAAATATCTTATGGTGCATTTATTGTAAACATACATGATTCAATCACAATCAATGTTTTAATCCCCATGGGAAGTCTTAGATGGGTGAATAAACTTATCCTACAACTAAGCAACCATTTTAGTCAAACTACAACGCAAAGGTAGATAAACAAGGAGAGACAAAGAGCCTCAAAGGTGAGATCAAGAAGTTAAAATCAGAACTTGCCTCCAACTCCTTGAGCCACTTTGATAAACTTACTCATTTGATTGTAGTATAAATAACGTATAACTTATTTTCAACAACCTAGATTTTAGGCTCAAGAGTCATTGGTAGAAGTAATAGAAAAGTAGTCAGAACTAGTGAATCTTCAATTATCTTAACTATTATAACAAATACAAAGATTAAAAATATCTTACATGTTTTTATTTTTACTCACTTGGGTTATAGGGGAACACTATCATTATTATAAAAGAAACTTTTATTTTTTTGACGATTTTAATGGTTAGAAAATAGTCACCCCACTAGTAAGGTCCTCTCAAACAACTATTTTTGGTGTATGATACCTTTTTTTGTTTCAGAAATTTATCATATTGCGCCACATACAATAATTAATTGTTTTTGTTATAATTTGCACACATATCAACTATGCTATGAAGAATAATCATAAAATTTATATCTTTTTGCAATGTACTCTATGTTCCTAAAGATTGTTTGAATATTTGTATGCATTTAATTAAAAATGCACACAAATATTATTTTTATTAAAAAAATTGACAACTTAGATTGCATAATTATTATTGATAATGAGCATCGTGGTTTATATAGGGAAATAACAAACAAGATGATTAGATGTTCCTGAGTAGCATATCTATGCTAATTTGAGAGCAATAAGTCAAATCTATACCACGTAATCAGGGTTTTATATTCAACTATATGATTATTTTTATTAAGTGTACTCAAGAGGAAACTTTGAGATGGCGTTTTCTATAAAACTTCATAAAAATGGAGTTTTCATTGTTGTAGTGAAAAACTGAAGCCAACTTTCATTCTACCTTAATTCTAATTGACATATTAGTTAGATAGAAATATAACATGAAAATTATCTTTCCTTCTTAGCATCAGGCCAATTTACTGGATGTAACTAGAAAAATATTTGATAAGATAAAGTATTTTATCTGCATTCACATCTGAAAAAGGAGCAACCAACTCAAGTAGAATGTTTCATAATTCTGATCAATTGCGCAGCCAGCCGTTACATCACACAAGTATCTTATGCATTTAGCTTGGGGAGAGCGAGCACCGACTCCCGAGCTTGGCAGAAGCTCCTCAAAACCGCCCAAACTACTCGATCATTACAAAAAGATCAACAGTCCAAACGACCTCGCATCCAACCAAACATGCCCTGTTCATCCTCAATCATGCCCTTGCCTTCCCCGTCCCCCTCCCCCTCCCCCTCTGAAACCTCTCTTCAGTCAGCTACTTCCAAGGCTAGTTAGTAGTGGAGATCGCTGGGCAGCGCCCACCCATCCATAGAAGTCGCAGAGCCGTTTAGGTAGACGAGGAACTCCACATCAGCTATTATTGCATGGTTCGCGGAAAAGAAATCCAAACGATGAGAGAAGACGGCAACCAGATAGAACCCCGACAATACAAAAACTCGCAATAATCTATGATCATCTAGGTGAAACTCTCGAGGGCCAAACAAAGAGCAAGAGTACAGCGGTCCTAAACAAGTCGTGCAAACTCGAACCCAGAAAAGGGATACACTTTGCACATGAGGAGACGGAGGGGGGGAAGTGGGGAGGGGAGATTCCATGTCACTGGGTCGCCCCGAGCCACTTGGAGAAGTTTTCAAACTCGGTGTAGTCGCTGTCGGAGATCATCGTATGGTACCAGCTCTTCCCCGCAGCCCTGATGGCCGCTGCTTCTTCCTGCACCAGATCAACACCTGGGGTTAGAGAGAGGGAACGAGCAAACGACGCAAATTCTGGTCGGGAAGCTGAAGCTGCTGCTTCGGACCAGAAAATAGACACCTCCATCATCGTACCACCAAAAAAAGGCTAAAACTTGGCAGGAAGGGGACGGGGATGTCAAGTAGAGTAAGCGACATCGGCTTTCTTCGGCCTGATTCAAACCGCATTGTCGCTGACTGAACCACGGAAGAGCAACAAACAGCCCGTGCACGAGGCTATGTAAAACGGGACCCACGATGAGACGCACCTTAGGGAGCTTAGTCCTCTTCTTATCGAGCTTCTCCTTCTTCGACTTTATCCTCTGGGCCTCAGTCAGAAGCGCCACCCTCCTCGCCGTCTTGGCGTACGGGTTCAGCTTCAACATCGCGTTCAGGTTCTTCAGCGGGTTCTTCTTCAGAGCCTTCCTCTTCACCTCGGTCTTGATGGGACGCACCACCGACTGCACCTCGTCCGAGTTGATGATCCTCGACAGGTCCGAGTTGCTCATCTTCGATCTCGGCAGCACGTACTTGTTCTTCCTCTCCGACGCCTTATCGAAGGTGCCGAACACCGCGTCCAGCCTCTCGAACGCCGACTTGGTCCACACGATGAACCTACCGAGGTGCCCACCCGGGGCCAGCTTCAGCAGGTTCAGCCGCTCCACATTCATCACGTCCACGCCGGGGATGTTGCGGAACGCCTTCACGATCTTAGCGCCCTCCGTGCCGTACACAATCAGGGGACCCCTGCGCGACACATACCGCCTGTTTCTCATCTTGCCCTTCCCGGACCGGATGGCGTGGCTCTCCTTGGCCTTCTCCGCGTCCGCATACGCGCCGATCTGCTTCAGGATCTTGATGGCCGACGACGTCTTCTCCACGCTCTCCGCCGAATCGGAGATCACCAGCGGGACCTCGGGGATCCCCTCGATCCGGTGACCGCGGGCCATCACCAGCGCCGGAACGGCGGACGCGGCCAGAGCCGACACCACGGCGTACCTCCGCAGGTTCAGGTTCACGCGCCTATGCCACCGCCGCCATATCTTCGTCGGGGCGAACATCCGCCCGCCACGGCACATGTTCCCGAAGGCACCCTGCCCGGCGCGGTGGGTGCCGCCGCCGGGCACGCGGGGAATACGAGACACGGCACGTCCCGTCCCCCACGACTCAGCCGACGTCTGGTGCCCCGCGCGCTTCGACACGGCGTAGGGCTGCCGCTTGTTCTTCGAGATGTTGGAGTGGACGAAGCGGACCACGTCCGGCCGGATGGTCGCCTTCAGCACGTCCGGCAGCGGGACGGCGTTCGATCCGTCCGTCGCCATGTCGCCCTCCAGGGCATGGACCGTCACCAGCGGCCTCACGGCGGCCACCATCCTGCTCCGGTGCGGCGGCAGCGGCGGCGACAGCACAGTATGGGGAAAGGAAAGGAGATCACAGATTCTTAGGGTTCAGACGCGCCTCGGTATATATATTTGTTTTATTTGGGCTTGGTCTAATGGGCCGGGCTTCACGTGGCCCACGCTTGCCCTCTTCTGGAATCATGTGTCACCCACTTACTATTAACGAAATTGGTTTGGTCAACCGTGCAGACCGACTGCGCACAATGTTATGACAGAGATCTCTACTTATATGATCTTTGACTAGGCAAAGCTCATTCATTTATTTGATTATAATGGGCTACTTATTAGGCTCTACAGATAGCCCATCCACCACAAGAGCCTTCTAGATGCATGTCAAGGCCACATCAGTTCCCTTTTATGGGCATGTCTTGTTTCCTTAAATAGTAAAAAACTGGCTTATAAAATCAATGAGGTGTTTAACTCATCTTAAAAAAAACAAGAGTATGATTTATTTATTTTACTATTAATTATTTTATTGTCCTAGTGAGTTGACTTTCTGTATGTCAACTGGTGTATCAATCCATTTTAATATAGTTGAGAGAAAATCATGTTAAAATACAGTAACGCATGAAAAAAATTAAAGAATCAATTAGCCTCCTCTTTTTTTTTGACATGTTAATTAAGCCACCTTGGGAAAAATATTAAATAACTCAAGATTTAATTGACTTTGTATGTTTTTAACATGATTCAATGTCAAGAAAGTTTTAGGAAAAAAGGGCCAAGAAGAAAAAAGGCAAATAATAATTTTCACATGATCTTTAACCATATATAGGTATATATATATATATATATATGCCTATTTAGTTTAAACTAAATAGATAAATGGCTTGGTATTTGAGGTTAAATGGATTAAACTTGTTTTTGTTGATGTGAGGGGTAATGATGTAAATTCAGCCCTAATTACTATTTTAATATATTCACATAGAATATAAGATAAAATTGATCTCAAAATTGAGGACTATGTTAGTTGGTTATAAGCTAAAGAGAAAATGAATTCAGCCCTCATCATAGAAAAACAAAATGCCAAAGCTTGTATTTTACATTATTTTTTATAATACATGGATTTATTTTCTATAATCAATTTTTGGAAAAACCCAAGGTATTATTTAGGCATGGCCTGAAAAGATATAAGTTGATTAATCCCAAAGTGTGGTGTGGCACACATCACAAACTAGCCATTAAGGCCAAAAGTACAATGTGGCCCAATCTCAACAAACAATTAAACTAGGTTCAACCCAATAAGCCCTAGAGACAAAAGAAGGCTTCTCACCCAAATAAGGACACATAAAAAGTCAACCAAGTTGTTAAGAGAGAGATTGAGTGAATGACACAAATGATTCCTCCTCTCTTCCTCTGACTTAAATGCTACAAAGTTTTGAATGCCCCTGAGTGTGAGTCTCAGCATCTCATCACCTTTGTTCAAGCCTTAACAAGATCACAGAGTTCTCACCTTCCATGAAGCTCATGTAAGGCATCTATTTCCTCTCGAAGTTGGGTTGTTTATTGTGTGATCAATTCTCTTAATGAATATCACATATGATGTGCTCGTTTGTATGTGGATGGATACCAAAAGCATGAACTTTAGCAAAGTATCATAGACTCAAGAAATTTACAATGTAGGGGTTGATTGATCATAGTAAATCAATTATATTCACAAATAGTAGATAATTGATTGTAAAGAAGGGTCCCCAAGGAAGTGAATGTAAGCTTAGGCAGGCCAAACTACTATAAAAATAATTTATCTTTCATTTTGATCATATTCTCTTGTTAAGGTAATACATCAATTATTCACTTAATCTGAACTTAATAAAAATAGATTAATAAAAAAATAGAAAAGTAATTTACTATAATGGAATAAACCTAGTCTCTCTATTCCAAAAGATACCAGTATAGGGACCAATATGTTAGTCCTATACAGTCAGAGAAAACTTTGTAATTTCATTATAATTGTCAATACGAACAATATAAGTGGCCCTTTTTAAAAATCACATCATAGATAATGTGCGTAGAATGCTCAACTAGTAAGAGAAAGTGTTCGGCTCAAGCCAAAAGAGGTTGTCCAATTCATTCACCAAGTGGATGATCTTTGCTAATTGGATAGATGCAAATATATTTTGAACAAAAACCTTATTTATGGTACTTTTTTATGCAATGAAATGAATTTTTTAACATGTTTTACTCATCCTTATTATCCATATCCATAAATAAATATCAACTCAATAATTAGAAAAATCCTAAAGAGATAGTAACTAATTATATTTAAAATTTTCAAAAATAGAAGCTCTAGGTAGGAGCCCTGTCCTCAATCTTTAAGAAAAAGCAAGCAAGGCAGTCCAATTTATAGCTTTAAGAAAATATGGCCGATTTATAATTTCTTAAATTACATAATTAGAAAAAAAAAATCTTTTAGGGGACAGCTTCACATTTGTTCCTTTTGGGGGGTGAAACTGTAATTTCAGCAAGGCAGTCCGATTCTTCTTGTCCAGGCGAATCCGAATCTTGTGACGAATCTCCCGTTGCTATCGGTACGAACCCGATCCAGATTCCGTAATCGAATCCTACGGCCGACAGACCCTTCCTCGGACACTCCGCGGTTCCTCTCTCTCTCTCTCTCTTTCTCTAATATCTCTCTCTCTCCGCCGCTGCCGCTGCCACTGCCTTATCACTCAACCCCCTACACAGTTTTCTCCGCCGGCGGGGACTATGGCGCAGTCGCTCCGCTGCTTTGTTCCTCCGGCGCTTGCTGGGGCTACGGAGCGCCGGCGATGCCTCTTCAGTCAGCTGCGGGGGGCCGGCGTCGCCTCCCCCTGTTTCACCCTCAGGCCCCGCAGACAGACCGGGCGGATCTCGGCCACGCTGTCGCACACCCAGGATCTGGACTCGACGGCTCTGGTCCCCTCCGCCGCCGTGGACGGCGTCTTCAGCAGCGGCTCGATCGACGTGGACTCCGTGACGGAGGCGGAGATGAAGGAAAATGGCTTCCGGAGCACGAGGAGGACGAAGCTCGTGTGCACCATAGGTCCCGCGACCTGCGGGGAGGAGCAGTTAGAGGCGCTCGCTGTAGGGGGGATGAACGTGGCTCGGGTTAATATGTGCCATGGTACCCACGAGTGGCATCGTGAGGTGATCAGGCGGGTGCGGCAGCTGAACGAGGAAAAGGGCTATGCTGTAGCGGTAATGATGGACACCGAGGGCAGCGAGATCCACATGGGAGACCTTCCAACCTCCTCTGCCAGAGCTGAGGTAACGCTTACCGTCTGCCTTGCTGAAGTCGAAAGTTTGTTGCTGAAGTCGGAGAAATAATTCATCCATTTAAAAACGTATAGGACTAAGATCTTTTATTCATGCATGAACCTCTGCATTGCCTCAAGTATCAGGTTAATTAATATTTTTCTAAGAAGACATGTTTTCTCTTCTGATACTTGAGTGAGTTGAACTTTAACACCATCCCATTTTGTAGTAGTTTGAGTCGACTTTTTAAAATAAAAAATCATCAAACGATATCTTCCTTCAAATGCTCTTGCATTCTCAATTTGACCTCTTTTTAAAACCAGGGAACCTTCAAAGTGGTCTAGTAATAGGGGGTAATCCTCAATTCTATAAATGAACCTTCAAAGTGGTCTATTATAGAAGGAATGGATCAACATGGCATGGGAAAAAGGGCCATAGCATTATTCACAGTCTAATGTAGTATAGCCTAATTTCCTCTAATCATTGGTCATTACTTTTCCCATCATATGACTGATTATTTAAAATCTGAACAGCTTCTCTTATTTCATGGTTATAGTTTTAATTTAATGAATGATGATTCAATGTGAATTAAGAAATCGAAATGCTAATAGTATATTAATCTATCATTTTTTAATCGTCATAAAATAAATTCAAATAATTTATATAGCTCTCATACATACGGAAAGTTTATTTCTTGCTTGATGTCTATATGTATTCTATGATTTCAGTGAAATTTTTGACACACGATTCTTTGTAGGATGGGGAGGTCTGGACCTTCAGTGTTCGGCATTTCAACCAACCTCTTCCAGACCGCACAATCAGTGTAAATTATGATGGATTTGCAGAAGGTCTACCTCTTTTGATATCTGCATTTTAATTGAGGAAAACTTGGGAAATGTTTGCAAGCTTAAGGCGTTTCAACTTATTTTCTTTTTTAAATGACTTTAATGTGGTGCAGATGTGAAAGTGGGTGATGAACTGCTCGTGGATGGAGGAATGGTGCGTTTCGAGGTCATTGAGAAGATTGGCCCTGACGTAAGGTGCCACTGTACCGACCCAGGTTTGTTATTACCACGAGCAAATTTGACGTTCTGGCGGGATGGCAGTCTAGTGCGAGAACGAAATGCTATGCTTCCCACGATTTCTTCTAAGGTACTGCCCATTCATGATCTCCATTCTCTCTTGAAAAGTTGTTTGCTGAGCTTGTAGGCAGTGTTCTTTTGAACTTTCCCGCATCCCAGCTTGTCTATTTTTTTAACTCCTTGCCAGTATAATACCTGTTTATCTTTCGATATCCTTTTTCTGTTCTCATATCTTTGTCTTCAATAATCACAACGTTTTGGTTTGCTGTTTTTCTGATTTTGCTTAATTCTGTTTGTGAGAGTGAATATATTCTTCTAGAGAGTGCAATGCCTTGATGTGAAGGCATCCAGGCCATATGTACTGATTTCCTGGTGTATGATGTTTGCAAGCATCATACGTACACCTATGTTGTATGGTACTCCGTTCATGCATAATTGTTTAGGGCAATCAAATGTATAATATATATTATTAAATTCCATACATTAAAATTATATAGCATTTTAATTATATATGTCTCGTTTAGTTGTGAGCTGATGTGTATTTATTATTTTATTTGGTTGGTTTCTTTGCTATATTTTCATACTTATATTTCCGGAATATTCTTTATTAAAAAATATTATAAATGAAAATGGAAGTTCTGTTTTAGATAGTGGAGTGAGAATAACTTAAGTTACATATATTTAGTGTGATCATTCATTTATATGATACTAACATCATGTCAACACCTGCACATACTCAATCTTATTTATTGCTTATTTGATGATCAGATAATATTTTAAAATGATTTTTAGGTTGTTAAAGCTAGGCCTCAGCTTGGTGATATCTCGTGCGTCCATTGTTCCCGCAGTTTCTTTAATCCTCCATGTGCATTATATGATAGTGGTATTTGATAGAAATGAAAGCTGAAGGTATATTGAATATTGAATCAAGCTATTGAGTTTTAACGTTTTTTAGGTTGAAATAAGTCTCGAAGTGCTGAAATAGGAAAGACATCATGAGTGGTTGATACAAATGTTTATTTGGTGGTATTGATGTAAAGAAATATAATTCCTTGATAATTCTGTATTTCGTTTTATCCCTTGATTCCCATGTTTTTTTGTTAACGTTATTACGGATGTTCAGGATTGGCTAGACATAGATTTTGGAATTGCTGAAGGGGTTGATTTCATAGCAGTTTCGTTTGTCAAGTCTGCGGAAGTAATTAATCACCTCAAAAGCTACATTGCTGCACGGTCTCGTGGAAGGTGAATTCATTAATCATTACCCCACTGTTGCTTAATTGCGGTTTTTATTGTCGATAGATCTCATGATGGCCTAATTTTTGCATTTCGGTAGCTTCTCTGGGAGTTCAGCACTTTATCAGATGAAGTCTTCTGTTATTTGGATAAGATTATTTGATGACTTCTAAGCTGTTTTTCTAACTAGGAAAATTTAAAACGCTCAGCCCAAGGATACTATATTTAATCCCTGTGCATACGTGCATATATAAATATCAATAACCCCCGGGTATTAATATTTATTCCTGGGCATGTACGCCTATTTGTTATTGTTTTTGCATTCAATTTGAAAAATGATTGTCTCAAAACGTGTCAATTCTCCATTTCCATTTTACTGCACTGTAAAATCGTGAACGTGCCTTTATGTTCAGCCTTTACTGGGTGACTAATTTGTGCTCTGGATGAGTTTGTCTAACGGGCAATATTGGCTTGCATTTCACAAAAGAAAGGTCATAATTCTTGACTTGGCAATCGCATTCAAGATGCACATAATTTCATCATTAAACCCAGTAGAAAGTCCTTCAAGGCATGTTATTATTTTCAGTGTTCTTTGAACTTTGTGCATTATATCTTGCTCCATTAAATCTAGGTCTTCATTGGCTACAGATAATATGAACAATCTGAGCAAGTTTATCTAAAAATCATCCCATGAACATTACCAATCTGACAATTTGTACAAATAGAAGTTGGAGACAAATTTTCAGGTGGTATCAAGGGCATGAAATTATGACTTTTAGGAGGATAGTATCTGATATGGTTCTATGCCAGCACTGGAAAGAATGGTAAAGCCTATTGTGAGTGGCCAGGATGTGAAGATGGTGAGTTCCATTCTTACACCAATAAACTAAATTGATTTGGATCACAATTGAACATCAGCAACTTAACGTGATTAGCCTTTCATAATCCATCTGTTATCTGCTATGAGAAAAGAATGACAATCAAGAGACATGAAACCAATCAGTTTATTTGTCCCATGTTTTAGATGAGATGTAGACTGAAGAACACTGCTGAAGAAGAGGCAAGCGTTTTCCTCCTTTATCGTCAGGCTCTTCTCTGCCCTCTTTTCACCTCCTCGGTTTCCTGCACTGGAAGGGTGGACAGACAGGCAGTCTGCACCCTCTAACATTGAGAGGGAAGGTGATGAAAGGCAACCTTGCCTGTACAAGGTCAATCTAATATTGGTTGGCTCATTTCCAGCTTATTTCTTTTCTTCGTCATTTTTATGAGCTTTCTGGTGTGATCATATCCCCTTGGTCACAGACTGAGGACGTAAATTAAGTTATGAATGCAATGACTGGTCGACTGTTTGAACTGTGCTAATAGTCGGCCTAAAGAAGATCAATACGAAAATCATTCTCTATCGCAATTTGCTGTTTTCTTCCTGGTAGCAAATTTGTAAGTATCAGAAGGAAGAGTTCTTTCTCTATCTACATATTACTTTTACTGGATCTAGACAACTCTCCTCTCCAATTGTATGTGTGACATGACTCTTGGATCCTGCCAGATAGTCTCATGCCCTTGAAATTTTTATTTAATGAGAGCAACGCTTAATCGGTGAGACATGGGTTATGGCCATTATTGTGGTAATGTTTGTTGCTATTGTTGTGGCAGTTGTCACAATAAATATATCATTAATCTTCTTGTCTTCCCTGTGTACGTTTTGGATCAGTTACTACATTATATCCATTACTTGCCATTGAGATGATGAATCTTGTGATTTTGTGTCAGAAAATCTTCCTCTTACTCAGTTCCTGTTTTCAATGCCAAAGAAAATAGCTGATAGAACTCATATGATGAACTTGTTTTGCACACGGTTTTTATGTGAAGTAATAGCTGAAGTGCCTGGGCTGATCGATGTTCTTGACTGTAATTCTCAACTCCAGTGATATTGCTGTCATTGCAAAGATTGAAAGCATCGATTCACTGAAGAACTTAGAGGAGATCATCCGTGCATCTGATGGAGCGATGGTAGCTAGAGGGGACTTGGGCGCACAGATTCCCCTGGAGCAAGTCCCTTCTGCCCAGCAAAGAATCGTAAAAGTCTGCAGGCAGCTGAACAAGCCGGTCATCGTGGCATCTCAGCTTCTCGAATCTATGATCGAATATCCCACACCAACTAGAGCTGAAGTAGCCGACGTTTCTGAGGCAGTCAGGCAGCGGGCGGATGCCCTGATGCTCTCTGGTGAGTCAGCCATGGGTCAATATCCAGAGAAGGCGTTGACTGTTCTGAGGAGTGTCAGCTTGAGGATCGAGAGGTGGTGGAGGGAGGAGAAGCGATATGAAGCTATGGAGCTCCCTGGCATTGCGTCCTCCTTCTCAGACAGTATTTCTGAGGAGATCTGCAATTCTGCGGCTAAAATGGGTAAGAACACTTGCCCACCCATTCTTTCGCTAAAATTCGCACCCATTCTGTCTGGTTGACTTTCCAATGCTAGAGCTCTGCAAAAGTCAATACGCCTAAAGTCGTGCAGCCAAACGAAGTGGACTTCAAAGGAAGTTGACATGAAATAAATGAGCTGCCGTCCTAACTTTTATTCATCCTCCATAACTTTTAATTCCATCTATCATTATTTTGAATATCTTGCAACATAGAAAATTACTGTTTAAGAATTAAATTCTCAACCCAGTGTGCATTTGTGTGGAAGATTCTTGTATATATATACATATTTATATACACACTTAGTATTAGTCATATTACATATGTATGATTTCTACATTAATTATTCATGACATTACAAATATATGATAAAATATATGTTATAGGTTGTATTTTCTTAATTATCTTGATACACAATTTGTATACAATAGGTATTAAAATGTTATTTAATTCATGAATATTCTTTTTGACATGACATAATCTGTATTGTGTATGCCTCGCAGCTAACAATCTGGGGGTGGACGCCCTCTTTGTGTACACGAAGACGGGCCACATGGCGTCCCTGCTGTCGCGGAGCCGCCCGGACTGCCCCATATTTGCGTTCACAACGACGACAGCAGTGCGGCGGCGGCTGAATCTGCAGTGGGGACTCATCCCCTTCCGCCTGAGTTTCTCCGAGGATATGGAGAGCAACCTCAACCGGACCTTCTCCCTCCTCAAGGCCCGGGGAATGATCCAGCCTGGTGACCTCGTCATCGCCGTCTCCGACATGCTGCAGTCCATCCAGGTCATCACCGTCCCCTGACCACCGCCACCACCGCCGCTGCCACCACCACCGCCGATGCCCTCTCTAGAAAGTTTCCATGTTAGCTTATCACCTTTTCTCTCTCTTTGTTTCCTCTCCATGTTGGTCAACCTTGTTGTTGATTGTGGCCCTTTTTGTAGAGACGCTGACCAGTGGAGAATCACATGTGGTTGTTATTTATTGAGTGTTGACTTTTGTGAAGTGAAGGCGTGGGGGTTGACAAATGGGTAATTGATGAAGTGGGTATAAGATAAAAGTATATTTTCTTGCAAGGTTATAGCTGAATGCATTCCGATTATATCTGCTGCAGTCCATCAAGGTCATCACTTTGCCCTGACCGCCGCCGTTCTGCCACAGGTGCTGCCACTGCCGCCACTACCCTACCTAGGAAGTTTCCATCTTAGCTTATCAGTTATCTCTATCTCTTTGATTTCTATCCATCTTGGTCAACCTTGTTGTTGATTGCGACCCTTTTTTTTAAAGGTCAGCGGAGAATCCTATGTGGTTGTCAGAGTGTTGACTTTTATGAAGTGAAGGCGTGGGGGTTGACAATGGGTAATTGATAAAGTGGGTATGAGATACATCATATATTATGCAAGGTTAAAGCTGAATCCGTTCCGGTTGTTCAAGGGTGAAAGGATGAAAACTGCTGTGGGGCGTTGTGGGTTCTACGAGGATGGGAAGGAATGAAGGTAGATAGATAGATAGATAGAGAGAGAGAGAGAGAGAGAGAGAGAGAGAGAGAGAGAGAGAGAGAGAGAGAGAGAGAGAGAGAGGCTGTGGACTTCCAGATGGGCCATAGTGGAGTAAGAAGAGTCCGGCACAGGTGGTAATAGGCCCAAGTCCATCTTTCGTTTCCGGGACAACTATTTTTGATGTCCACATTTGGAAAAGAAAAACGGGGCGGATCAGTCAAATCGTGTCAGATGATGCTGCTTAGAGTATACGGTCAGCAAGGTCGTCTGGTAGCGGTGAGGAATTGCGGCAGTGGTGATAACACGCGGTACAGTTAACGCCGCCTCATCGTGGTCGTCCTCCCCGCCGTTTCTCCGACGGGGGCGATCGGTTGGCGGTGAGCAGTCCACGTAGGCGCAACCGGACGGGTTTCAGCGCTTTTGGAGCCCACGTGGTCCATGATGGCGTCACAAGATAATTGACCATTGGGACCACGGGAAGAATCGGGAAATTTTGGACCGTTCGATCAGTGGACTTAATTCGCCTCTCCCGCCGCGAATCTCCTCTCCCCGCGTGTCTCTCTCTCCATATTTTATCGAGAAGCGCGCCCTGTTGAAAGACTATAAATATTGGCGGGGGAGAAGTCCTCGATGGCCGTAGCTCTCTGATCCGAGATCGACGGGAAGGCAGCTGCAGTGACTCCTTCTCTCCCCTGCTCTGCTCTGCTGTGCGCGGCTCGGATTTCCTCTTCGTTCGTCTCCGCAACCGAGGTGAGAAGAGCGCTCTCTCTTCCGGCCGCTGGGTCCGTCTTGGGGCTCCCTGGAGGCCTGACGGATTGGTTTGGTTTGATGTTATCTGTCTGGTTAGATGGACGACCATTGTTTTCCTTCTCACTGCGTTCGGGCTCCTTATTTTGAGAGATTTTTACTTCGTTTTTCTCAATTCTGTTTGACTGTTGAATTTTTCGCAGATCTCTTTTGAGCTTTTTGTCGGTTCGGTTTGATGTGAATTGGTTGAGCATTTAAGGTGGTTGTCTTTGTTGCTGGCTCTTCATTGGCGATCTTTTCTCATCGGGTTCCTTTATTCATGCTCAGTATGACTTCATCCCTGCTGTCGTCTTGGAAGTTCAGGAGTCTCCCTTAGTCACTTAGACTGCATTAATGCAATAACGTCTCAAATTCAGGTTATGAAAGGAAAAAATTGATGGCATTGTTTTCTCCTCCTCCTTTTCCTGGGTAATAGATTGTCGTTATTCTGTGGGCGCCGCAGCCTGGCTATTTTCGACCTCTGCTTTCCTTTTTCTAGGCCTTTTGTTATTGTATTTAGAACAAGCACTCGAATCTCTTTTTATACTGCTGGGAGTTCTTGATTCACTTCCCTTTAAAGGCATCCGTGGGAGATATTTGATATTTAATTTTTTGTGACTGTCACCAAACATAATTGTCATCTTAGATGCGTTTTTTTGGAATTTTGAAGAGCACAGTTTCGGGCTAAATTGTCGAAATAATTCTAAGGACATCTCTGTGACATGTCTTTACATGATTGTCTTTTGCCAGATCTTAACTGAAAAATTTTCTGATACAAATATTTTATAGAACTTGTAAATATTAATATCCAGGTATTTGCAGACCCAGGAGAAACTCTGCCTATTTATCTCTGTAGATAGTAGTGGATATTAAATTCGTCCATATGTTCTGATTGCTCCTTATCCTTTGATCAGTTGCCAAATTGTCTTTATATTGGGCCTTCCTATATCTGTTCAAGAACTGCAACCAATAGTTTATAATTTTACTTTTTCTGGTTGTACGTATTTTTTAGTTTCCATATTTTTTTTCTGCCTTTCAGTATTTACCTGGTTGGGGTGGATTTCTTGTGGGAGCAATTTGTCTGCTTTTCAACCTCAGGGTTGACTTCATTCTGAGTTTTGCTAGAAGTGTTTTCATATTTGGAAATCTTTACATGGATTGTTTCAACGTTAAGTTCCCTACTTTTTGGCAGTTTGCGCTGGTGTTCTCGGCTAATACTGCCCTTTCTGTTCTCTTTTTTGGAATCCACCTTTTGCCTTTTGTCGGATACCTTGCTTTTTATTCCATACTTTCTGTTGATCGCTGCTGGTTCTTCTGATTCATCACATGGACAGACTCCATCTGATCTGTGCATCGTACTCAGCCCTAGATTACAGCGTCACAACGAATCCACAAACTCCCTCTTGATTGCGGGATTTCATAATTCTCTCCTTTAGTTTCCTCCTTTGCATCATGCGTCTCTCAGACATCATCAGATAAAGCTGTTCACATTTGGAAGCATTATTATATTTCCAAGTGCAGAGCTCTTGTCTCACTTGAAGCAACAGTAAACCAGTTTCAGGCTAGTATGTAAGATTTTTATATGGTCGCCTTCTTGCAGAATGGGCAGTGGGAATTATGGGGAGTATACCTACGAGAACCTGGAGAGGGAGCCCTACTGGCCCTCTGAGAAGCTCAGGATCTCCATTACGGGAGCTGGGGGTTTCATTGCCTCCCACATTGCCCGGCGCCTAAAGAATGAGGGCCACTACATTATTGCTTCCGACTGGAAGAAGAATGAGCACATGACAGAGGACATGTTCTGCCATGAATTCCACCTGGTTGACCTCAGGGTGATGGACAACTGCCTGAAAGTAACTAAAGATGTTGACCATGTGTTCAATCTCGCTGCCGACATGGGAGGAATGGGTTTTATTCAGTCCAACCATTCGGTGATCATGTACAACAACACTATGATCAGCTTCAACGTGCTTGAGGCTTCCAGGGTTAACGACGTCAAGAGGTGTGCAGAATATTGTTGCCTTGTCCATGCTTCAATCTTCATCTTAATAATTTCTATGAATTTATATCTACCAAATTTAATGATTTTCTATTTTTATGTTGGAGATGGCAATGCCCCTCCCTCCCCTCCCTCACCCCTAAGTTCTTTTTACTTATTTTTTTTCCCTTAAATAGTAGTGAACTGGCTTCCCTTCGATGTAGGCAAATACTAAAGGCCACAAGAACATTCACCTGCCTTTTGGAGAAGTTGATGCCTTCCTTCTCCACCTTTTTCTTCATCCGTTTTTTCATTCTCAGATGTGGGATCTCCACATTCGCGGCCTCTATGGAGACCATACTTGCCAACCTGTCATTAGTTAGTTCCCCTTAACTATCCTCCAAAAGCTACCCTGATTATCAACCTTGATTTCTGCCTTCGCTTCAAAATTGCCTGTTTCTCCATTTATAGTAAAAATCCCTTGCGTGTTTCTTGCAGGCTCTTCTATGCATCCAGCGCCTGCATCTACCCGGAGTTCAAGCAGCTGGACACAACAAACGTCAGCCTGAAGGAGTCCGACGCTTGGCCAGCTGAGGTCCACCCACCCCCACCCACACCCCCACCCCCCAGCCCCCTCTCCTATCTCCTCTCTCTTCTCTCCTCTTCTTTCAGAGGCATTTTTTTTCAAGAACCTTGAGGGAATCACTCATTGGTCATTCCCTTAATTGGAACTGCTGCAGCCCCAAGACGCCTACGGCCTGGAGAAGCTCGCCAGCGAGGAGCTCTGCAAGCACTACACCAAGGACTTCGGCATCGAGTGCCGGATCGGCCGCTTCCACAACATCTACGGCCCCTTCGGCACATGGAAAGGCAAGCCCACCAGACCCAAACCCCTAAGACCAGACCCACTCGCCATCTTCCCCATCTTCGATCCCCTGAAAAGATGATCCCTTTTTCTGGTTCCTTCTCTCTACCAGGTGGCCGGGAGAAGGCCCCAGCAGCCTTCTGCAGGAAGGCCATCACCTCCACCGACAAATTCGAGATGTGGGGCGACGGCCTGCAGACCCGGTCCTTCACCTTCATCGACGAGTGCGTCGAGGGCGTGCTGAGGTGGCCACCCCGACCCTGGAATTCTCTCGTTTCCCTGTCTGGGGTCTTCCATTGATATCTAAGTTTGTGGGCCCCGCAATCTTGGTCTTCCAAAAATCGTCTTGCCCAGGTTGACCAAGTCGGACTTCCGGGAGCCGGTGAATATTGGGAGCGACGAGATGGTCAGCATGAACGAGATGGCGGAGATCGTCCTCAGCTTCGAGGACCGCCTGCTCCCGATCCACCACATCCCCGGGCCAGAGGGCGTCCGCGGCCGCAACTCTGACAACACCCTCATCAAGGAGAAGCTCGGCTGGGCCCCCACCATGAAGCTGAAGGTACCTGCTCTTCTCCCTCACCAGTAGGTCAACGCAAAACTAACGGCTAATTAGTCTACACTAGAAATCGGCAAAATAATAATATATATATATATATATGGTTGGATTATTAAAACTGAAGTTTAACCGGTGGAATTACTCTTCTTGTTAGAATAAATGGCTTTGATTTGACTCTGGATCTGTAGTGTTTGTCTGATCCGTTGACTTCTGGGGGAAATGGCGGCAGGACGGGCTGAGGATTACCTACTTCTGGATCAAGGAGCAGATCGAGAAGGAGAAGGACAAGGGGATCGACCTGTCGGTTTACGGGTCGTCGAAGGTGGTGGGCACCCAGGCTCCAGTCCAGCTGGGCTCCCTCCGGGCTGCCGACGGGAAGGAATGAGGCGGCGGCAACGGCGGCGGCGGCGGCACTTGGCACAGTGCACCGCTGCTCACCTCTGCAGAGCTCCGCCTTGAGGACCACAGAGATGATTGGTTATGAGAGCCCCCTCCTTCCAAGCTTCAATACCTCCATATATTCACTGGGAACCTGGTTTTCCTCTCTCTCTCTCTCTCTCTCTCTCTCTCTCTCTCTCTCAAATGTTGAATTCACTGGATTTCCTGTTACAATGTTGATGAATTTCCCATTTAACTGTCATTTTGTGGCGATGCACTGTTGAGCTCATCCCCCAGATTTTCTTTGATGAGCTTCTTTTTTTGTTGCCTTTTTGGCCTTTTTTAGGCCTGCATCTCTCTCTTTCCTTGTTTGTTTCAGAAACTCCGTGAATTCATGGACCATTTTCACTTCCATCTAGAGGGCCATAGAGAGAGAGAGAGAGAGACAGAGACAGACAGACAGTGGCTGTTTAGCTTTTTATTGATGAGAGAGAGAGAGAGTATCTACCTTCGAATATCTCGCGTCCGGATGAGGCTGAGGGTGGAGGGAGGTAGAGCGGTAGGAGCCAAGGAGAGGAGCACGAGGAGGCTTATCTACTTGGACGGCGGCGGCGGCGGCGGCGTGCCCTTCCATCTGGGGAAAGAAGCCGGTCCACGCAAGGGGCTTCTCCTCTCCCGGTCTTCATTCCCAGATAGGTGACAAAACACTGGAATGGGCCATGTGAAGGGGAGTGGCGTAAAGCCTCCGAAGCAAACAGCCGAAAAACTACTTGTACAGTACAGGATATGGGCCCGAGAGACACAAAGAGAGAGATGTGTGTGTGTGTGTGTGTGTGTGTGTGAAAGAGAGAGAGAGAGAGAGAGAGAGAGAGAGAGAGGCTCCTATTAAATTTCAATAAAAACTATAGGTATACAGTCAAATATCCCAATCCCAATAAAATAAAATAAAATAAATTCCCTCTTTAATAAAATAAATGAGTACCATCATCTAGTTAACTTGTTGTCCACGTGGTGTGGATAGATACAGAGACGAGGTGAGTGACGACATCATTGCCCATAAATTATATCAAATATATAACTTATTTTTATTACTTTTTTGGGATTGGGATATTTAACTTAGCCGATATGGAGCCCTTAAGTACACTTTTCTGTTACACCTTGGAGCTCTTAATGATTCCCAACTTTAGTCCAATCTTCAACCATGCTTAGAATCTATGCTTCATTTCATTAAAATACTCATAATCAACCATGTGGTAGCCCCCCCTTCCATCCTCTCTCTCATACAGCCACATAGTAAAGATAAGCTTGGCATCTATTATGATGAGGCATTATTATATCCATGGGATACTCAAGAGCCACACACTAGACAGTTCATATTGAGCCACTGATCACAGCAAAGGGTCTCCACTTGAAGATAGATCCTTGTCCTTTTATTGTCTAAGTCTTTGGATTGAAGGGTACTCCCCTCCTTTTATGCCATTTTCTGTGGACCACTTTGAAGCAGATGGGATGTGATGGGGTGAAGAACACATGGGTTTGGACTTCTTCGTCCACCGCTATATATCTCACTTTTTGTTCATCTTCTAATTCTTTTAAGAAATATCCATAAAAATGTTGGGTTCAGAGCGGCTCAAGTGGTCTATTCCATCTTTGGATGACGTCGACTTCTTGTTCTTCCTCTTTTTCCTCTCCAGGGATTTGCATACATGAGCCATATTTTTAGAGAGGATCTAATGAACACGTATTCATAGTTGGCGTATACCGATCTAAATTCCTTCAAGGATCTTATGATCTATCTACATTAGTTAAAGTAGCTTGTACCATTAAATTATTATAAAAAATAAAAATAAATGTAGCTCCCATTTTCACTTTGATAATTTTAGTAAAATATTATTTTCCTAGAGTCAAAAACCCTACCCAACATAAACCTTGTGAATGATTGGGCCATAGAAGCCCAAAAGAAGTCAACAATCCAAGGGCTTCATAGAGCTAGTTACTTCTATCTAGATGAGCATCAAATGTTAGGTATGATTAGGTTATGCTTCTATCAATACCCTACTAATGATTAGTCCATAGTTTTTTTTTTAATATTTTATGTTGCACTTTCCCTCTTACATTATTACATTTATGCCTATGCTATCCATGAATTGATATGTGGAAAAACCATTATGCCAAGGGATTTACATTACTTTATTTTAAAATCACCATGAGAATAATGGTTGTAAATAGTGAATTTAATTTGAGCCAAAAAAAGAAGAAGAAACAAAGTTCTATTAAACAAATGATACTATTTTTCATCCATTTTCAACTATGACAACATTTTATGATAAAAACGGTCCTCATCAATAACTTACTTTATTGTATAATTTTTAATTATCTAAAATATAATATATTTGATTTAGCTTGGCCTTAAGAAATTATCAAGTTTATTTGGGAAAGAGAGCTAGGTCAAAATTACTCATGTTTATTTATTCTGACAAGAACATACAAAGAAAAAGAGATGTTTGAATTCCACAACACTAAGCACTCATTTCAATTTTGCAAATCGCTAGCTGAAGAACTTGGATTACTAATAACTAGAAAACATTGATATTTGTAATATTTTAGCACATGTGGCTACTCCGCTTTATTAACAAAATTTCCATTATTTTTACTAACTTCATCACAAAGTACATGTTATTTATCATGTATAGTTTCAATGTTGGTAAAAAATTTAAACAATATGATGATGTTTTTTAGCAAAAGTGACATGAAGAACAGACTAGATGTCATACATCATAAAGCAAGGACAAAACCAACGTTGTGGCCTCAATGAAGCCATCCCTTAAAACGTGTACTCTCCCTTGAAACATAGTAGCCATCAAATGCATGCATCCATGCATGCTGTGTAAAATCATCAAATATAAACTTTGGTTACCAACCAGAAATGATTGCCAAAACCTAAGTTCATCCTTTAATCACCATCTCTAATGATGATATTGGGTTTTTAATAACCCAATAGCTAAAAGAAAAAGGGCTGGTTGTAGTTGTTGACTAATGTTGTTGACTATTATAAAGTTTCTTTCTAAAAATAGGATTTTATCTTCAAGCTATTTTTGGAGAATTCTCTCTTTTTTTCTTTGAAATTTTGATGGCATTAGTCTAATGACAGACATGAACACACGATTTAAAAAACCTAATCATTTCTATTAATAGGAGCTCTGTCCCTCTCGATCGATATACGTCTTCCTAACGGAATTTTGCAAATTTCAATCAGAAACTAATCATCGTGTAATAGAAATACCGTCGACGATACTTGTATTTACGCATGAGATTCAGCAGTTTCAGACCTCTTTCCTTCATAGAAATTATGAGCTGTAAGGAAAGAATGCTAGTCGTAATGGCGCTGAAGAGCGAAGAACTGGTCTTTCTTTATCTGAGAAATGATTAAGGTTTTCTACGGACTTGCAGGTTAGGAAGGAGGTCGGATCGCTGGATGAGTACTTCTGGGGCTTCGTGAACCACCGGCCCATTTCCACCCGGTACAGCAGCTGCCGGAATATTCCGGTGAAGACCTCCAAATCCGAGGCCATCAGTAAGGACATGGTGCGCAGGGGCTTCCGCTTTGCCGGCTCCGCCGTCATCCACTCCTTCATGCAGGCGGCTGGCCTCACCAACGACCACCTTCTCTCCTGCCCACGCCACCGCCAATTAATCCAGCCCAACTGCGCCACCACCGCTACCGCCACCACCCCACCCACCGCCCCCACTCCATAGCTCTCTCCCTCTCTCTACGCCCCCCCTGAGAGGACCCAGTGGAACACAGAGGGCGAGACTTAGAGAGATAGAGAGAGAGTGAAAGAACAAGAGAAATAGAGAAACCCAGATAAAGGAGACGCCGTCTTTAACCTAAAACTATCCGTAATCTCTTCCCATGACTAACGCGATCCATACCATCCAATCTCTTCGTGTGTTTGTGGCCTTGTCCGTGTAAAGATTGCGACTTTTGCGATGTCATGGGGCTCTCTTCCCTTTCCCAGTTGAGGAACGCAGGATACATGATACTGTGGATAGAAAAGGATTGCACCCGAAGACGGCGGGGGGAGCATGTGAGGTGTTGCTGGGGGACAGCTGCCTGTGGGTTGTCGGACGGCGGCGGAGGGTCCCCCCATGTGCCAGAGGCCGGTGGCCCATTATGCCCGCCTTTTGTTCGACGATATGCCCCTCCTAAAGGACAGAATTATTAGTGCGGCTGGGGCCTCCACCATGTTATCTTCCCCTTCGCTTGATTTGAATGGTGTAACGATTTAGCATCGTGCATTGGTCGCTATTGCTTATATACTGAACAACTGTTTTCTCCACTTGGTGGGCACACCTCTCCCTCCGTTTCCACTCTAAAGCTGTGTCTCCACCGTCATCTTCCATCCACATCAGTCCCGGATGGGTTATGGTCACAGCGCCACCCTTCTCTCTCTCTCTCTCGCTCTCTCTCTTCTCTCTCAGAGGGGCCTTGTGCAGAGGAGATTGAAGAAGATGATGCATTAAGGGATAGACGAAGCTCAAGCTTCTGCGTTGGCTTGATTTAAACGAGTATACGGGGAATATGTAAAAGAGTGTTAAGGGGTAGGCAGTCCCAGCCTAATCTCCAGTGATGCACCTGCAGTTTCTTCCAAGCATTCATGGAGGCCTCATGAAATGTAGAAAAAATGCCCTAGGAGACAACCCATTAATTATATGGATAAAATTGTAGTAACAAGCTGAAAGATAAGGTAAAGTGAATCCAACAACAATACAATGAAGTACCTTTAAGCTCAAGAACAAGATCTTATAATCTAACCAAAGAAACTCGTTGCATCATTCTATCAAAGAATGGGTGCCTTTTCTTTCATGACGCTCATAGGGGCTTAATCATGAAAATGTCTTAAAAGGGAAATGTTCATTTGACATTCAGCAATGTCTCTTCAAGTAATGAAGCGAAGAACGCAGGAAGATCAGACGACAAATACATAAAGCTTTATGGAAAACTCTTCAAAGATTCTGAACAAATTCTTCAAGTACTATGGCTTGGTTGATGAGGCTCAGGTATCTCCAATGGGTGGTCTTTATGTAGAGACGAAGGAAGTAAGTTTGAAAATTATAGCTGAGCATGAAATCCATTATTACCATCATTAATAGGACTTAGAAATCATAAATGCATATATTTTATTTTTATTTCACACTTTTATGATTCATGTTGCACATAAAATATATAGTGCTCAAACTCCAAAGCTTCAATCTCTTACTTTTCATGTTCTCTATCTTTACCTAAATTCTTTGAGACGTGAACAAAATTGACAGGTAACCTTGAACTTGCTTGTACCAACAATTGAATTATTTAAATTCTCTTTTTTTTTTTTATCTAGGACATCATAACTGAAAGTAATTATTAACCATAGAATCCTATTGAAAGGAGAAACATGATGGAATGCAATCAATTCATGTTCTTATATACACTCAATATAGTCAGCAATTAAAAGGAAGGTTTAAGGGAAAAATGAAACTGAATGTTATGAAGCATTGGATTGGAGTAGCCTCAATAAAAACAAGACCTTTTAAGATGGAAGATTATCTTTCCAATGGACATCAAAGAAATTTTACCTTTTAAAATTTAAATTATTGATATTAACTTTTTTAAAGTAAAGTTTAGATCAACATCTCACCTTATTGCTAAGGCAGTATGAGAATGATCCATAAATTGCTATGATATAGATAATCATCAAAGAACAAATTGCAAGAATAGAATCATTCCTATGTACACTGATGATAAAGAGAGAACAAGAATACCATGGGAATCCAACAAACATTAACCTTAACGTCATGTGAAGAAGGGATTTCAAGTCTTCTTAATCAATACTTCATGATATGCTACTTATATATGGCTCCCATTTGAAAGTGTTGAAAGAGAGTTTCTCAGCCAAACATTGGAGAAGGAAGAACCCTAAATCACTTTCTTCTTGAGACTCAAGTGGAGACAAGAAAGAATGATTCAATACACTTAAGGGTAAATCAAGGTCTAGTATTTATATACCAAAATCAATGGTTTACATTGGGTAGGGTCAATTTCCAATAAGTTGGATTGAATCAAATAAAGTTGAAAAATAGAGATACAATAAAAGAAAAGTAAAATTATAATAAATAAAAGTAAGAGAGAAAAAAGACACTTTCTTATGTTTCAACATTTTCCCTCAAGCTAGAGAATAGATGTTATTCATTCTCAACATGTAAATGAGATTCTTGAATGCTAGACAGCTCAACCCTTTTGTATGGATGTTTAAAAGTTGATTCTATGTTGACACAATAAGGCATACAAACTAAACCATTTTCAAGTTTTTTCTTTGATAAAGTGACAATCAATCTCAATATATTTTGAACAATCATATTATACCACATGATGTGTCATATTAATTATAGACTTGTTATCATAATATAGTTAATAAAATCATCACACTTACTTCATGTCTTCTAAATATTTTTTACAAAAGTAGTTCACATACACTTTTGGGATATTACTCAAAATTCATAATCTTCATTTGATTGTGTTACCATGTTTTTTTTCTTGCTTTGTCATATCACAAGATTACTATCAAAGAAAGTGCAATAACCTAATGTTAATCTACATAATTGACATCTATATGTTGTATTGTTCTAAAAGAAAATACCTTCCTCTGGTTTTTCCTCTACATTGTGTCATGTTCTACAAGCTACAAATAAGTGTCTTTCTTTTGGTTTATGCATAAATTAACTAATTACACTCAATGCATATACCATTGAATCTGTGTTTAGATCTATTATAATATGTGTTGCTTTACATGCAATTTTTCTTATATCTTTGAGAAGATAAATAATAAATTCTTGTTGCAAGATAAAGATATATTTTCTTGAGAGGGCTATCATATTTTATCATTCTTAGTGTTTGCTTGTCAAAATCCTTTAACATACACTTAGTCAAATAGTATCATTCTTCCTCTTCATTTCTAATCATTTTGTCACAAATCATCCATGATCATTCTACCAAAGAACCAGCATCTATTTTTTAGGCTGCTAATAGGGGCTTAATCATGGGAATCATGGGCTTAATCTATTTCTTAAAAGAGAAATGATTCAATAAAAGGTCCAAGAAAGTAGAAAATTGTCAAGATGTTTTTTGCAAGAAGGTTGGATCAAAGTGGAATCTTTTGATGGGGGGAAAAATCAAGTCTTCTTCTACTGGAAAGGATAGCCATATTTTTCTCTTGAAGTGAATGATACAGCTACTAATTCTCTTGCAGTTTTTCAAAAATCCTTTTCATTTTCTTTCACGTTTGAATAGAAAATTATAAAGTTAGTCTCTCTATCCCTCTCTCGCTACATATCCATATATATATATCCATATATATATATATATATATATATAGCAGCCATACCTACAAAACGTTATTCTGAAGTTTTGCAACCTGGTAAGAAAATACAAAAGAAAATTACTGAATTAACGCTCAAACCCCAGAAAGAGCCAGTAAATGGGGAAGAATTCTTTCAAGGGAAGAGAAAAATTTCCAAGACACATACAAACAAGAAAAATAGAAATTTTCATAAATCTGTTGCTAAATGACCTTATAAGGCTGAGACTCTATCGTGTAAATATTAGTCTTTCAAAGGAATTTAAAGCTACTAGATGAAGTTCTAGGTTACTTATGTCCAAGCCCACCGTTCATTTGACATTCGGTGATGCCTCTTTCAAGTAATGAAGTGAAGAATGCAGGAAAATCGTACAATAAATATATAAAGTTTCATGGAAGACTCTTCAATGTAAACTATTGATATTGACTTCAGTGAAGTTTAGATCAACCACCTCACCTTGTTGCTAAGGTGGTAAGAGAATGATCCATAAATTGCTACAATATAGATAGTCATCGAGGAACCAGTTCTGAGACCAGAGCCATCCCTACTCACACTGATATAGAACAAGAACTACCCTGTGAATCCAAAACAATTAACACCCTATGCCTTACAAAGTAAGGAGGAGTTTCAAGCCTCCCTTAATCAATGTCTCCACATATATGGCTTCTCCTTCAAAGTGTTATTTTCTGGCATCGAGTAGATCTAGATAGAGACTATATAGCGCTATGGGATTGGAATTTCAAGACTAAAGTTGGTCAGGAAATAACTAGAGTGAAGGCATTGAAGCTTTTCATCACATCTCCTAGGACGCACTTCTAACACTGTTCGGAAATATCCACTATGAAAGCCGGCAAGAGTCCTGTCAGAGGAATTATCTTTAAACAGTAGATGCATTCTGTGAAAATATGCAGGGAACCAACCACTGTATATCACAAGCTCGTTATGGTGATTAGAATGGTTGAAGCTATTAAAATTTAGGAGCACGTAAACAGAACATTACAGCTCGAATCTTCAATAACAATAGGAGATTTCACAAAAAAATGGCTCTGTTTGTCAACAACAGGGAGACTAACCTTTAAAACAGCCGTATTGCTGATTTGGAAGGACAACTGCAGTGGCATCTCTGTTTGGGCGCACATCTCACCTATTAAACTCCATCTCTCCGATCACATCAGGCTTAGATCAGAAGTGCATCACCCAGAAGCTCAAACTCACATCATCGAGATATATTGTTGCAACGACCTTTAAGAGCCACTAAGTTTTTGGGATAGGATCTAATTTGGAATTGCCTTCGCTGATTAGAGATATCTTTAGTAAATATCTCAACCTAGAACTCATGAAAACTTTTACTTTTTCTTAGTATGAGATATGAACACGTTAAAAACTTTATACCCATTCAAATCAAATCACCAAGGAGCAGGACTCTCATCCTCTGGAATCCGTTATTGAAACTGGGAAACATAAGAAATACTTTAAGAAATGGAGGCTAGAAACATCTCACTAGATCCAGCTTGAATGCAGGACTAAACCATGAAGATCCATGAAATCCAACAGAAATCCCAAGTTGTGGTCTGCTACCTGCGACCAGCAATGAAAAGCGTGTCAGACCCAGCAGTAAACCAGAACACTGATCATCCTCAGTTGATATAAACTTCATATGTAGAGCAGCGAGTGATGCATTTGAAATCTTTATCAGAAAAACTTTTTTCTTGTGCACACGATGTTATCTTATATACTTAAGTTATCCAAACTGGCAGTCACTGAATAGGAGCTCAACATCTGAAAACTGATGGAATTAGCAGACATCTTCTACGATAATTTATGCTCAATCTATATGATCATTCTGAATATGGCCAAAGCGTGGTCGTCACAAATCCAGAGCATTTTCTCCCTGGTGAGTGGAAAACAGAGCGTGTAAGAAAGCCCAAAAGCAGCCATTTCTTTCCATTGTTCTGGAATCTATTGATATCCCTCACAATAATTTCCCTACCAGAGGCAACTGAAATGCACGTAAAGGCTGCATGGCAATCGTCACAAATCCTCAGATTCTTTGTTACCCTGATAACAGTACCAGGAGCCATATGAAGAAGCCCAAATGGAACAGCCAGCTTCTTGTTATGGGTCATCAAATTAAACTCCTCCTCTTCACTCACATCATGAAGAACCGCAGCTGTGTTGGGCACATATCCAGCTTCCCTGATCCTCCTAAGGAGCTCTTCCAGGAGCGCCATATATCTCTGCCACCTGCGGGTGAGACGTATCTCCATTAAGAAAAGAATGGACTCTCCCATGAAGTTCGATCCAACTGCAACCCGGGTTCTTTGGCATGCTCTTATCTTTTACAGCAGCTCTCAATGAATCCACTGCCTGCCACCTTCTACCCTCTGCGTACATGTTGGAAAGCAGCACGAAATTCCCAGTGTTTCCAGGCTCCAATTCGAACAGTTTCTCTGCTGCAATCTCTCCAATCTCAAGCTTACGGTGCCACCGACAGGCTGCCAGCAGTGCGCCCCAAACACTGGGCCCCGGCTCAATGGGCATGCCGCCCTGCTCTGCCCAGAAGGTCAACAACACAGGCATAATGCTGCAACCTCGGTTTCACAGAGTAGAGGCTCTCCATGGCATTGAAATACTTCAGGCCCACGTCAACTAAGCCCGAGTGGCTACACCCAGAGAGCAAGCCAATGAAACTGATCTCATTAGGCGGTGTTCCCGATTTCACCATATCATCAAACGTGGATAAAGCATCTGCTCCCCGTCCATGGAGAGAGTACCCGGTGATCATGGTGTTCCAAGCGACCACATCCCTGTCACCATCCCTTAACTGGTCAAAGCAGCTGCGAGCCTTTAGGAGGCTTCCACACCTGGCGTACATAGCCACCAGCGCAATGCAGACGCAAGGATTTCTTTCCAACCCCACCGAGCTAGCAAATTTATGAATCTTCTCCTCATATTCCAAGGCAGAAGAGTTGGCACAGGCCGGAAGAACACTCATGATGGTGACCCAGTTGGGTTTAACGTCGCTCCCCTCTCCCATCATCTCCTCAAACAGAGCCAGCGCACGGTCTGCGAGCCCATTCTGAGTATACCCGGAAATCATGGCGGTCCACGAGACGATGTTCCTCTCGGGCATTTTTCCGAACAGCTCCTCTGCAACTCTGATTTCGCAAGTCTTCATGTACCCCGCGATGAGCGCGTTCCAGGTGGAGACATCCCTGAAGGGAACCAGCTCGAACAGGCGGCGGGCATCAGGAACGTTGCTGCACTTCACGTACATGTCGATGAGAGAGGTGGAGATGTGGATATCAACTTCCAGGCCCAGCCTCGAGCACAAAGCATCCACAGATCTCCCCATGAATACAGCCTCGAGGTTGGCGCAGCACTTGAGGACAAAGGGGAAGGTGAAGTGGTCAGGCTGGAGACCCATTGAATGCATCCGGTAAAAGAGGGGGAGGATCTCTTCGTGCGCCCCGAAGAGGGAGTGCCCTCTGATGAGGGCATTGTAGAGGCGAGCAGATGGGTCGAGCACCTGGTGGAAGAGAAGAGTTGCAGAGCAGAAATCCCCCGATCCACAGTACATGGCGACCATCTTGGCGGCGAGGTAGGCGGTGGGGGTGAGGCCCCGGAGGACGAGGTGGGCATGGAGCTGCCGCCCCTGCCGGAGGGAGGCGCCACCGCCGCTGCCCCGCCGGGTGAGGATGACCTGAAAGGCGGCGGCGTAGTCCGCCGGCCGGGGGGGGAATGGAGGGAGCTTGACTTCTTCATCCGATGATGGGTCAGCAGAGGGGAAGAAGGGTTCTTCTTCTTCTCCGGGACGGTGGGAAGAAAGCTCCTCTCACAGGAAGAGGGAATGGAGAAGGAGGAAGGAGGGTCTTCTGCCGCCGGCGGAGAAGGGGCGGTGGCCGAAAGCGGCGAAAAGTCGCATTTTCTCTCTCCTCGGCGGCCCCGCCGGCTCTCGCCATCGTGGCTTCCCCTCTCCTACCTTCCAAACGTAGGCGTTAATTTAACATAAACCCACAAACTATGTACATTTGTATGCCTTTCCGTTCCCTGCCTTCTAATGTAGTACTGAATTTACATTGAACCTAATATATCTTAATATTTGTATATATGCTCTCCGGACGCTACTTTCCCTCCTTGTCCTGAAACATCGGCTTTAACTTAAATAAAACCGTAAGATATTAAGTTTGGTATATCTGTCCCCTCCCTCGCATCTAACCTTCCCGCTTACCTTCCCATACGTAGTACTGAATTTAAAGTAAAGCCAAAACATATTAGTATTTGTAGAACTACCCCCAAACAAATTAACTTAGTATTTGCAGAACTTAAGAGGGTTCACAAGGATAGGATTAAGTAATTTTACATAAGATTTTAAACAAATTGATTGGTGTGATTAAGAAATCATAATGATTAGGGCACTCCACAATGAATAATTTGATTAGATACAATCAAGTGGGTTCTCACCATCATAATATGATGACAAATAAGTGGACTTATATGAACTTACTATCACTTGGTTCTCTGGTAACCTAGAACCCCACCTTACCAATAGGGCACAACAAGTAGACCTTGTCGGTGAATAGTAGCTTGTAGGTCTTCAGGGTGACAACACTCACCATCATCTTCTTTGCCTCCTCATCAAAGACAATCATGTGCCCTAGCACCTCCAGCATCAATTCCATCACAATTGTGAGGAGTTCATGATAATGGAGATTCTCCTCCCAGTCCACCACCCACCTTTGGTATCTTCTCTCTCTCTCTCTCTCTCTCTCTCTCTCTCTCTCTCTCTCTCTCTCTCTCTCTCTCTCTCTCTCTCTCTCTCTCTCTCTCTCTCTCTCTCTCTCCAGTATTCTTTGAGATACTGACTTCCCTCTTTTCACCTCAGCTCATAGTGCAGAGATTGAAGTGGGTGAAGGGGGAGGGATAGGAAGAAAGGTTTGAGTGACACATTGTAAGTCAGCAGGAGCATCACAATGCGGTGGCCAACTGGTCTTTGATATGAGTCAAAAGTATTTAGACAGCACCACTACACGTTTTTGGGTGGAACTTGCACTAGTAGGACATGAAAAACCATGGTCATAGTTGTCAAATTCATATTAGATGGCCTATTTCCTCAAAACTGCCACCAAATGAAACATCCACTAAGACAAAGGGTAGTATTTTTCTATGCTAATGTGTCTAAGAAATTTACTCTAAGAAATCAAAACGTAAAGCATTATCGAGTCAACACACTCAAAATTTTACATAAAATATTAAATAAAAAATATAATTGGATATCATCTTTACCACTCAAGACAGGGGCTTCAAATTAACGATGATTTTGAGGTGTCACCTCATTTCCTAATTTTCTGCATGCTGAAATTCAATAGAATAAATAAAATGTGAAGAGAGAGAGAGGGAAGAAAAAAATACCAAGCAAGGAAAATAGTAAAATCAAAGAAGGGTGTTATTGACATTTATGAACTTGAAAGTAAACAAACCAATTCCCCATTTTACAATTAATACTGCAGTGAGCTATGGGGAGGATAGATAAACCAATACTAATAACTTTTGGTTTGATTTAAATTGAAGGCTACATTTGGGAGGTAGGATGAGGTAGATATAGAAATCTTAATAGAAATTGGGTTTAATCTAAGTTAAAATCTACAATGCAAAGGCAATAATAGAAAGGCAAGATGCATGGGAGGGATAGATATACCATATTCATAGTTTTAGGTTAATTAAAATTAAATTGTAAAATTTTGAAGCAAGGATATTGGAGTTAGGATGTGAGACCTTGATATACAAATATAAATAGTTTTTGGATTTACTTCAAGGTAAAGACTAGGATTGGAAGGTAGGAGACAAAAAGGTTTGTACAAGAGAGGAAAGGAACTTAAAGTACGTCCAAATAGTATGGACCCAAATACAAAGAAAGTATCGATAGAAATAACATGTTAAGAAGTATTAACGTTGATGATGAAAAATTATTGAAGTAAGTATTTATAAAAATGAATTCAACATTAAAAAATTGAGAAAACTTTAATATTTCTTTAATACCTCGTCATGAACTGCCTTCGAAGTCCGCGTGGAACTCCCGTGGGAAGCACCGCCCCTCGAGTTGCCCATCCCGGTGAGACGGGTTCCGCACAGGCAACCATAACCGGCGGTCAAAAGCTGCAGCAGAGCCACAGCCACCATGGCCGGCGCAGACGGAGGTTGGAAGGGACAGTACTGGGTGGAAGCGGGCAAAGTTGACAACCCTTCTTCCTATTTGGATAAGGAAGTCTTCGTTGTTACGCGCGCATTCTGCGTGCGTTCAATCCGAACAAAATCCTCCCTTTTTACTGCGTACAACATTCGCGGCTATTTCTCGAGGAGACCCACCATGTCTATTCATGGGAATATCATCCGCTGACCCCCCCCCTCCCAGATACTTCTTCAAGACCTCGTAAAGTTGCCCGACAGTCAACGCTGCACTGCCCCGATAATGCATCGAAATTGTTTCCTAAATACCCCAGAGAAAATAAAATTTACTCGATATCAAGAGCTTCATAATTTACAGAGGGCCGAAATCTTCAGGATTTTCCCCCTGTTTTTCAAAATTTCAAAACATAATTAACTTCAGAGTTGAATTATGACATTAAATAGTTTTTAGGATGAAATGTGATGAATGGTGGGCGATGATGAAATGGCGGTAGGATTAGTTATATCAGATGCTCATTATCACTAATTGCTACCTGAAGTGGCAACATGTGAGAAAGATCAACATGCTTTTATTGGCATCTGGTCACCGTTGTGAGTGACTATATTAATAGAAGAAATAATTTGGATTATTACCAAAAGACTTTAGATAACTTCAAAAAATTAGACAATCCCATGTGCCGATCTGTGTGAAAACAAACTCCTTTGTCTTCAAAATAGCATTAAGGAGGAGATTTGGTGATAGAACATCATAATCGTCTCACAAACTCCTACTAACATTCTATCACTTCACATAGTTCTCCTTGGGGAAGCCTCCTCTGATGACTTCAAAGACCCATTTGTCTCTCTTAGAAGGTTGACATATCAGGCTACTAAGGACCTCCTCTTTCCCTTCTTGCATTGCCCGAGCAGTGAACCAGTTCAATGGGATCGTGAATGAGTGAATTCACAGCACCAGTAATCTGAATGGTGGGAGAAGAGAACTCATCGTTGTCTAAATAGAACAGGTGAAGAGTCCCGCTCATATTCCAAAGTATATCCTTGCAAGCTCTGGGAACTATGCTCCCCTATTTAATCAATATCAATTCCAGCAACTCTTCTCTGTTCCTTTCTACCAGGGACCTCAGTTCTTCCTTTGCACCATCCACTGAGAGGGAGCCACCTCCTTCAAGGACCAGCAAGGAGACACTGTTAAGCTTCACTTCCTTATCTTCTCTATGCAAGAATTGTTGGTGGTGATTATGTTAGCTCTCACAAGATTCACACGAGATGAATAAAATGAATACATAGGGAAATCACCTAAAAATCATGATGAAAAAATCGGAGATTATCAAGGTATTCCCAAGGACCGATGTATTCAGAGAACAATTGAATTCATGGAAAAGGCTAGATCCGAATATTTTCAAATTATCTAAACTTAATACGTCAATTAAAAATTAAAATCAAACCTTGAATAGTAATAATTTTCTGGTATATTAACTGACTCATGAGATCGTTGATTGGTATGAGTTTTACATACAAATCAGTGGAACCCATCAAAAAGTTGGATAACAACTAAGAGAAAACGACCGTTCAATGAAAACAGAACCTAGAGGTAATTGGATCAGTTATTTTAAGTCGAAGCCTATATGACTTATAAGAACTCCATCAGAACATACATTTCTCACTCCGTCATCGAGAATTTTTACCCCGTTTATTAAAATTGTGCCAAATTTTTAAGCTACTCAGAGAAAGGTAGGTGATTCTGTGTTCAAAACTTCAACAGATGACATATTCTAGATTCAAACAGAAGCACCATGGAACACAAACGCTGAGAGCCTGTAAATGCGCATTATTTTGATCTTCTGGGCTAATGCACTTCAATCTAACTCGGTTCACAAGTCAACCCAGGTCAGAATTCGTCTCTGTCTCAACCAAGTTTGATTATGCAAGTGTAGATGAACAGACATTAAAGCCAGAAACCCAAATGCATCTGCATTCCTTGTGAATATGTTCAACAATCGTAACCCAATGTCGGTGTAAATTATTAGCTCTAATTTTGCAATGAACAATATCTACCGTACTAAAATCATAAATGAAACAGATAACTTCTGGGGGAAAAGAACTCACTTCCGACCCTTGAATGTCGTTGAGGAGACGACCACATGTGCTCAAAAGTTGGTACAACTTGTGGTACTCTGGGTCTCCAATAATATCAAGGGGGAGCACTGGACCAATAAATAGAGCGCTGGGAGGAGGATGGGCCCCAAGGCATAGGATACATATCCATTACCCAGGTACTGCTCCATTGTGGGTACTGCTTTCTCTGCGGCCCACTCTGCCTCTTTCATAAAAGACCGCAACAGATCACGCCACTGCCCCCATATCGTGAGTGTCATGCCAAGAATTAGTACTCAGGAACACCAGAGGCTGAAATTAGGAAGGAAAATGATACCACTCACAGTATTGATTATGTAAGCCAGCACGCCGTGCCCCTGCATGACGGATGCCTTTGCTCCAATCTCATTGATGGTGGCATGCAATGCGGAATATATGATCTTGACCTGTTCAGAGCAGCAATTGACTTGGTGTTCTTCTTCCCATCTGGTAAGAGTTTTTATATAAAATGACTATAAGCCAAGATTGTGGGATTACTACTTTTAAAAGCTACAGGAAAGTAGGAGCAGTATAAGGAGAGAAATATTTACTGATCAACTAGCTGCAGGAGATTGACGAGTTCCTCTTTGGATCCTACGTTATCAAAGATGTCGTCAACCAGAGTAGCAAGCACGGAATTTTTAGCGAATGACATACGAGCATCAGACATTTCAGAGAGAAAGAGCGTGGCCGCGGCAGAAAAATAACAGGATGTCAGCATCAGTCGACGAAGATTTAGTTAATCCAATCTGTTTTCTTTTTCCCATCTATTGAAAAGAAAAGTCAACATAACAGAAGACTGACTTCCATTAAACCAGAGGAAAAAAATCTAATTCATGCACCTCTGAAGGTGCTCCAGTTCTTTGCGGTATGAGTATTGGTAGCCGTTGAACTCTTCAATCACAAAGGCTAGGAGCTCTTTAGCATCAATGTGATGCAACCTTCAGCATGGAGATCATGAAACCATTTCATCAAAACAGGGGGAATTTTCCCAGACAACTGAAAATTACTTAATCTCCTTGAAACTTACACATGAGACATTTCCAGGGTCTGAAAGCGATCAACATTGAACTGTGCAATGTTTCTTCTGTGTTCTAAACGTGGTAAACGGGAAAAAACATGGATTTTTAGTGCGTGATCCACCTTAGAGAATAGCACCATTGCCAATGAAATATCAACAAAAATAAAACCAGTGTTAGCAAGGAGTATTTATTATGCATCCGTACGTTATTGGCTATTTATAAGCATCATATCCCATGTGTCATCACAGATGCTAACCTCTACTAGCCTCTCATCCTTTCCATATTTTGACAGTTCTTTTGCCAGAAATTTTCTCGTCCAGATACCCAGCTCCTTCAGGGACCATTCAACCGGGAATTTGAGCTGAGAAGCCTTGTATAGCTCTAGAACCGCGTTTGAATCCTCTAGATTTCCATCCAATGAATTGCTGAAGTGCTCCTCATCTATTTGATCCATTGAACCTGGAATTGTGTCCACGTGAATGAAGATCTTATCCATGGAAAACTGAATAACGGAGCCAATAGCAGCTACAGATTGAGGAAGAATACCAGACAAAACCCCATATCCGTGCATCCTCAGCAGACGAAACGCCATGGCATAAATGGTCATACTCGATGTTATTTCCTCGTCATTCTTCAGCCATTGCCTATGACAAGCTTAGGCCATCCTCTTAATAACTAGAGATTGTTCAAAAGGATGAAAACAAACAACTAAGACTCTACCTGTGTACTTCATCCAAAATATTCTTTATCTCATTCATGAAGTGCCGAGCGACTCCAAATCCCTCAAGAAGGTCAATGATCTGAAGTCGGATGAGCGTGTCCGAAGGCTATCGAGATGGAACTGCATAAAGACACATACCAAGAGGCAAAACGGGCAAACATGATCATACTAATGTCATAAAATAATAAGATACAATGGGTGGCAGCTCATACCAGCATTCCCAAACTTCTGAACGAGAGTATGTAAATATTCCAGGCATTTGACATCCCAGTGGTGAGTTAATGCAGCTGCAGTGGCAGAGGGAGAATCGAGGATGGAGCCATTCTTTCTTTGATATTTCCTTAGCTTTTCCCACTCAGGAAATCTGTCCAACCCTTCTGAAACAAATGCCCGGTACACTTCTGATCCCTTAGGCTTGGTTTCAAATGCTCTTGATGAGAAAAGACAACATGTCCAATTAAAAATGTAAACAATGCAATATTATGAAAATGAACTGTGAAATAAAAATCTCCTCGTCTTGTCTATTTGTACATTCTCAAAGAATATTACAGTAGCATTTTGAAGATAATCTTATTTGAGGACCACATTACCTCTTGTGCACATCCAAGCCACAAACTCTATATCTTAAATCATCTAGTCTAATTCTCCATTGAGGAAATGAATGGAAGAGACTTTCGTCATGATTTAGATGTCCAACATAGTGTTAAGGCTTTTAAGATAATACATGTCTCTGGTAGGACCCTAGTCCTGGATAAGAGCAGACAACAAACATGGAAATAAGAAAGGGATGGTTGAAGATTTATAGTAGATGTAGCTGGGCCCCCAAAGAACCCTAGAGTTGGTGGGGACATTCTAGAAGTCCCTTGCTCACTCAGCTCAGCCACAGCTCCCCTTGTAGACTTCCTTGACGCCCCCTTCTCCTCTATGACTTGAGAACTAATACCTCTTTTCCTCAACATTGAATTTAATGAATTTGATTTTATAATGGGTTACTTTCCTCATCATAAATCTTTGTGTGGAAATATACTCTTATAGATCCACCTTTACATGCATTATCTACTAAAATTTCATTTAAAACATTAAAGGTGTCATTCAGGGTTCAAGAATGACCATATGAACATTAAAGGAGCATAATCCTCATCTTTTTGAAAATTTCTCAAAGTCATTTTGAAATGTAACCTTTGAAATCGTCCTCAGTTTTAGGCCAACAGCCTCATCCTTGATCTTCAGTTCATTTAGAAATAAATGAGGGAGTTCGAAAATCCTTCCTTTTCAGAAACTCGTGCCTCTTGTTTCTGTTAATTCCTACCTAGATCAGAGAAACTAGTTGGTCTCACCCTTGCTGATAATTCTAGATGGTTCCCTTACAATCTCTTTATTTTGACTTGCAGTTGATAAGTTTTCTCGACTTTTTTTCTTCTTCTTCTTCTTCTTCTTATGCATGTCCTTGCTTCCTCGCACTTGAGATGTCATTTTCCATAGAGTTCTTCTCTCTGGTAAACCCCATCGTTCTCTTGTTATTTGACACTCCTCCGTCTTGTCCCAATGCAGTAAAGTCCTCTATAGCTTGCTGACAATGTCTTCCGCAATCTTTCTCAACTCTTCTATCAGGTGGTCTACATGGTTGTTGCTGGGCCTTGGGGCCATGGGTCCTAAGTCATGCTCTAATACCAAATGGTAGGACACCTTGGTCCTGGATAGGAGTGAAAAACAGACATGGAACTAGAAAAGGGATAGTTGAAGATTAATAGTAGGAAATGCAGCTGGGCCATATAGAAAGCTAGATTTGTGGGGGAATTAGAGAGGTTCCCTGCTCTCTCACCACAGCTGCAGCTTCCCTATAATACCTGATCACCTTGGTGATAAACAAGAGTGGACAAGAAACACATGGAAATCGAAAAGGGATGACGGTTGAAAATTAATAGTAGGAAAGATAGCCGGGCCGGGCCCTGAAGAACCCTAGAGTTTGTGAGGATATTCGTGAGGTCCCCTCCCTCCCTCAGCTACAGCCGTAGCTGCCCAAGAATACTTGATCAATCGTTCTGCTTTTAATAGGAGTGGACAACAAACACATGGAAATATAAAAGGGATGATAGTTGAACATTAGCAATAGGAAACTATTTGACCTAGTCCCCCCCTTTCTTGAAACAACCAAACAATCTGGAGCACTAAGGAAAAGAGGTACTAGCGCTTGAGTCGTAGAGGGAAAGGGGCATCGGGAAGTTGTGGCCGAGGGAGAGCAGATGACCTCTTGAACATCCCCAACACTTTAGGATTCATTGGAGCCCGAGCTATGTTTTATTCTGATTAATCTTCATTTCTTGTCTTTATCTTCTGTCTTCTGTCTTCTGTCTTCTGTCTCTTAATTTGGTATCAAAGTTGAGATCCTACACAGGGAGATGATGCTCAAATTCAAAAATACAATGTTGGAAAGACTGGAGAAGGAAATGACGGAAGATTTATTACAATGTACGAGAAAAGTGAGCCACCTGCAGCAATGATTAGGAGGCGGAAAGAGTATTCGACCTAACTCAAAGTGCCGAACCCTACCCATATAACTTTCGGGGTTTGGGCCAAGCACCTCTATGGAGAACCTCTGGTTCTAGACGACCCGGAGGGTCACGTCACCGCTTCCTCCTCCGAGATCTTCCTAATCCCCTCCCCGACTGCCCGGATCTCCCTCCACATCGGATGCCACCTATCCCCCCTCGCGAACTCGTTGACTTCCCCGTCGATCTCCACGTAGCTCCGGCCGGGGTCCTTCTTCACGCCCTCCTCCTCCATCGCCTTCCTCACCCTGCCCACATCCCCCCACCTCTCTCTGCTCGCGTAGAGGTTCGCCAGGAGCACGTAGTTCCCCCCGTGGCGGGGCTCCAGTCGCAGCAGCGGCGTCGCCGCGGCTTCGCCGGCGGGGAGATCGTCGTAGGTACCGCACGCGGCCAGCAGGGCCCGGTACACGGCGGCGTTCGGCCTCACGGGCATCTTCCTCACGGCCTCCGCCGCCTCCTCCACCAGCCCCGCCCTGCCGAGCAGGTCCACCAGGCAGCCGTAGTGCTCGACGGCGGCCTCCTCCGCCGCCGCCGCCGCGACGAAGCAACGGCGGCCCTCGTCGACAAGCCCGGCGTGGGCACACGCTGTCATCGCGGCCAGGAAGGTCACCCCGTCCGGCGACACGCCGGCGGCGGCCATGCCGTGGAACAGACGCAGTGCACGGGGGGCATCGCCGTGGACGGCGAGCGCCTGGATCATCACGTTGTAGGAGGGCGCGTCCCTTAGAGGCATTCTATCGAACACCTGCTCGGCCATGGCCAGCTGCCCGCATCTCCCATACATGGCGATCAGAGCGGTGGCTACGACGTGGTTAAGGTGGAGTTCTCTGGCTCTGCTCAAGTATGTGTGGAGCCACATCCCGTGGGCGAGCGCGCCGAGGGAGGCGCAGGCGGAGATGAGGGAGACCATCGTGATCTCATTGGGTCTAGTGAGAGAAAGTTGCATCCGGTGGAAGAGAGCGAAGACCTCCTCAGAGGAGACAAGATCGTCATCCTCTTCCTTCCACCCCCCGCCGTAGGCTGAAAGGATGGCGTTCCAGGTGGTGAGGTCCGGGCGGGGAATTCTGTCGAACAGGCGGCGGGCAAGGTCGACCCGGCGGCACCTGCAGTAGAAGCTGACCAGAGCGGCCTCCACGTAGGGGTCCGGCGAGTCTCCGAGGAACTTGACGATCTGGGCATGGAGGGGGAGGCCCAGTTGGGGGCCGCAGAGGCGGAGGAGGGAAGGGAAGCTGTGGGAGTTGGGGCGTAGGGAGCGGTGGGCGGCGAGCTCGGCGTAGAGGGACCACGCGCGGAGCGGGGCGGCGGAGGCGAAGGCGGAGATGAGGACGTTGTAGAGGAAGGTGGTGTGGCGGGCGGCGCGGCGGAGAACGGAGAGGGCGTAGCAAGGCCCGATGATGGTGGCAAGGAGGGGGAGGAGGCGGCTGAGGGGGTAGCTGTGGAGGGCGAGGCCCGTGGTGACCATCTGGCAATGGGCTTGCTTGGCGGTCGCCGGAGAGGTGCAGTGCGGTAGCAGGCGGAGGCACCGGTGATCGAACAGCGCCGCCGGCCGTTCCATCTCCGTTCAACGTCGTAATGCATTCCCATGCAACAAGCTCTCTCTCTCTCTCTCTCCCTCTTTGATTCTCTCTCTCTCCCCTGCTAGAGGGCCCGGTTAGGTCAGAGCTCGTTGAGGCTTGGGGCAATGCGAATAAAATAAATAAATATTTTGGGGCATATTGCTCTTTAATTATTTTTTATATATTTTTAATAATAAAAAATCAAATTATGCGGCGGGTAGAAAAAATCAAGGCGTAATAAAGATATAAAAGTTAGTGTGATATTTTTTTCAAGTAAACTTAGGGCAAGTGAATCAGGTAAATAAATATTCTTTCAATTATAGCATAAATAAATCTTGGGATCAATAATATTAATCAGACAATACTATTAACCTTGTGAAAAACCTAGTTTTCTAAAAAAAGCAAAGATAATTACTTAAAATAATTAATTATTTCTGGTTCATATAAAGGTAGGTAAATATAGTGACCATTAACTTATCTTAAAATAATCTAGCACTTTGGAAAATATGTAAAATATTCGGGTTAGCTTAATGGGCCTTTGTCTAAAATAGGGGCCCACTTATCAGGGTCAATGTATCCCATTGACGCCCGTATAAGAATTCTCAATAGCAACCTTATATAATATATATATATATAATGATTATCTCTCGGAGTGCTAATGGGCCCGTTCGGGCCTGTTTCGAGTCGACGATTGGGCCTTTTTCTCATTACATTTTCTTGGGAATTTTATTGGGCAAACGATTTTATTTATAATTTTAAATTACCAATAGTTATCACAGTGTAACAGTATTTTCTATTTAACCCCTTATAAACATTTTAAATTACGAATAACTCCTCTCTCTCTCTCTCTCTCTCGGTCTTTTTTCTTTCATGTCGGACAACAGGCGGTTTGCTGGGTTCATTGCGGTTTGGGCTGTGTTCAACGGCATGGAAGCTGGAGAAGGGGAAGGATCGGCGGCGGAGGTGACGGAAGTACTGCGCGTTCGCCGCGTCGAGGCGTTGCCTTCTCCCGAGCACTTCTGCGTCATTGAGTCTGCCAACGTCCCCGCGGTAACGGCTGCCGCTTCGCTCTCGATTCTGCTTTCCATGACATGTCTGGTTTCTGCGAATTCTCCCAATGATATCTAGAAAAGGCTCCCGTGACACCATGCTGCCGCCTCTTGAAGGTTTTCGTTGCCGCTGTCAAGGACTGGAATGCTTGCTCCTCGTGGGACCCCCGGAGTGGTGGGCTTGACTACTTGCTGGTCTGTCTTTCTCTTTCTCTGTGTCTCTAGCTCTTCCTATTTATTTATTTATTGATTTTTACTCTTCCACTAGGCCATGCTCTAGCTTTATTTTTCCGGAGTATTCTTGAGGATGATGCTAAAATAGGCATTGCCACCATTAAACGAAACCAGGCTTATTTATGACATATATTGTTCTTTTTTTACTGACTCCCATGACTCCGTTTTTTCTGTTTATTTACGTGGGTAGAGTTATGCCTGGTAGCCGTTATTGTAATAGGATCCCCCCGCTTGACAGTTGGTCCTTTCATCTTGCTCATTTCTTGATTTCTCATTACTGAAATGGTCATATTTTATACAAGGAATCAGCTAGTACGCGCAAGAAGATGTTGCCATTTTAAGTTTGAGGTCAAACACTGTCTGATGTAAATGGATGCATTGACACTAAACAGGGAGGATTACTGGTGAGATGACTGTGAGAAGGCCTTCCTGAGAGCTCAGGCTTATGGTTCTTGTCTCTGTGGCTGATTTTTTTTAGTTGTCAGTTACCCTTGTCAGCTGGAAGAAGATACAAACAATTAAAGAATGAAAATGACAGGAAAAAAAATGCTCTGCCAGGACTCACTGTCGCCCCACCAGTGTCGCTCTCACTTGCCGTTTCACTCTGCCGTCATATCCAGCTGCCCACTTCTACTGTTCAATCCTAGAGGAAGTGGCCGTTTTCCTGACATTGGTTGGGTCGTGTGTTCTGATATCTTATCAAGGACAGACGGCCGTTCTTGAGAAAATGATCCTACACTAGTTGTTGCTATAGTCTCCTGTACTCCAAATTCTATGCCATCCGAATTTGGAAGATGTTGCCTGGTATTACTTTAGTGCCTAGAAATTATTTTGAGAGAGATTTTACTCCTTGTTTTAATTCAAAGTCGAGCATTTTTAGCTTTACAGTCAAGCTTTGATTATATCAGTGGGCTTACAAATTAATACACCACGAAAGACAATCGCAGTGGACACCACATACAGCTAAAAATACTCGATGTTAATTAAAGCAAGGAGAAAAATCTTGCTCTCAAAAGAATGTCTAGGCACCAATGTAATATCAATGTCTATCAAGTGAGTAGCATGCCCACTACTGAGAAATAAAAGTTATGGAAAAAAACATCAAAGCATGTTATGCCAAGCGCACGTTAGCTCACATGGATTTCTAAAATATCCTTTCTAGGAACTTGTTTTTTATATCGAAATCTGTGCGACAAGAAATATCATAAGGAATTCAATTTTTTGTGAACTATATAATCATATTTATGAGAAGGACCAGTGTCCTCAGCTAATATTCCCTTGGACATTAAAATAAATTTCATATAAAGATAAGCACGTGGTCAGAAAAGAATCTTGGAAATAAATCATGTTGAGAATTAAGAAAACCAAAATCCTACTGGTCAAAAACGATGAATTAGAAGAGGGAATAAAGTGTGCACAAGAAATGTTAGAGTAATGTCCACTTTCTGCACCAGGATTCCACTATTAACTATTTCAAGATGTCTTATCATAGGGAGTTTCAAACCTCATGCCAACCATACTACAACAGTTGACCCACATACTAGTCTTGCCACAATAATAATTAGGATTCAAATAAATTAACGAATTAATTAACCAATGGAATGAGTTGTTAAAGAACCACCATGTGACCCACCAAGAACAGTCTACTTTTGATGGATCAGAAAATTCTTCTCAATGGCATGATTACTGGTTACAAGTACACTCAAATATTTTGTGAGTTCAGTTAAGAGGTGAGATAAGAAGCTCCTTAAGGGAAAACATCATAAAGAACAAACTGTGCCATAAAAAATAACCACCTAGGTGGGAGTTTACTTTAAAAATTGTTTGAATACTTTTCAAAAAATAAATAATTACACTATAAAGGAGGTTGAGAAACCAGTAAAAATTCTAGTTTACAAGGACACCTTCAAATTGAAGGATCAGATCACTAATTAAACGATGAATGGCTGTAATAAATGCATTACGTAATGCCCAACATTCAGATGAAAGGATTGAAAATCCCCACTAGCTATACCATACACCAAGTTTACTTTTTATCTAGTATGAATATGTGCATATTCTCTTCCAGTAAACGGCATTAATATTTTCAAAACCGTTGAAATGCACCGCATGACATGAAGAGAAAGAAAGGGTAGTGTCCACATTTACTTAAAATGCTGGAATTTGTCAGGAATCGATGCTAGTTATACTATCTCCTTGCTGGTGTATGCTTTGTTGCGCATGTGTTTGAGGAAACAAATACATAAAAAGTTATGGATTGTAATATTGTGGATAATAGAGATATACTGATTTATTTGTTGTCATAAAATCTTGCTCAGGCTAAAGCACTGGCTGATTTTTTTATTTTGACATCCTCTCAGAAAATTACGAACATAAAATTGACAGGTAAAAATCTGGTTTAGGTAGTAGGGGTTGTAGAAAACTGTTTGCCTTCTTTCCTCTTCTTAGGAGTTGAATAGTTGTCATTGCATGATTCTTTTTCGTCATTTTGTTTCTCCTGTGGATATTTTCATCTACTCTTGGAAAAATTTGTTACACGTCTATCAGAATGTACTTGTTCGGTGGTATTTTTATGTCACCCCTGTTTGAAGTAAGAGGTAAATTTCCTTCTTGCAGTAGTAACGCTCATCCACTTATGCTTAACTGCAAAGTTGAAAACTGAGAGATCCATTTCCAGTCATGTGCTATTTATATTTGTATTTTTAAAGCTACTTTACATTGATTTTTGCTCATATTGACGAAACGACCCTGAGCGTCATACAATGTATTATAATTCATTTGGGTGGTTACATGCATCATGATACATTTTGAATATTGCAGGATAAAGTAGGGTCCACTACTGTGGAGGCTATGCTTTCTAGATCTGGGCCTGTCTTTTACGGGGGTCTTAGAAACCATGAGCGAGTAAGATTGTATATTAACTTAATACTTTTGGAGTAGCTTACATGAAGAATCTGCTTCGAGAGAGTCCCTCTTTACAAGATATCTTAGGTTGTCTCTTTGGATGACAGGTTCCTCTGCCATTTTCTGATTTTATCAAGTTTTGTCAACAAAATTCCCAGCTGAGCAATCAAAATGGTCCAGCTGGTGCAGAGGGACACATTGATACAGCATCTACGCTTACTTACCCAACATTTATTTCGACTAATGATCAAGTTTATCTGGCTCAGGTAATACAATATCTACAGTCCAACTCTGGTTCTCTCTTAGAATTTTCTGTTCATCAAACGTGTAATGCTCTTTTTCATTCCTCACGAGGCTTGCTCTTATATTTCACTTGTGCTAACTTTGAAGGGAAGTGAGCCAGTTAATTATTCATGACTGAAGTGGTTCTGTTAAACAAGGTCATGTTCGGTTGACAAGAAATGTTTGTTTATGTAGGTTCCAATTTTGACGGTTGAAAACAATGAAAAGTCACCCTTGCAAAGCCTGATTGATGACATTGAGAAGGTACAATGATAGTCATGTATTCTCGACAATCTGTTTTTCTTACGACAGTATCTGAGATTTGAAATAGGATAACACATCTCTCCTTTTCTTACCATGGTCCCTTGTTGTCTATTGGTGCAGCCTATATTTCTTGAAACAAACACGCTGGCATCTATTAATTTCTGGATGAACAATGTGGAGTCTAGATCTAGTATTCACTATGATCCACACCATAATCTCTTATGTGTCATTGCTGGTCGTAAACAAGGTGCAACTTCAAGGTTAATTAGGAATTGTCTTTTCATTTTCTTGTTACGCTACAGTAAATATTTATATCGGCAGCATGATTTTTCACTGTAGACATTGTTCTTCTGCATTGCCTTTTCTTACACCACATGTTCTCGTAGTTCATGGAATCAACTGACTGAAATACAATATAACACGTTGCTTAAAGACTGAATCTAGCTTTCTATTTCCTTCACTAATAATCTAAAAATTGCTATGCGCGTTTTAGTTTAGTGACGTCAGGAGCTTGAATGGAAGTATAGTCTTGGCTGTGGAGAACGTGGACAATCTACTTCTTCCTCTAATTAATTAATTCTACAATCCGTTTAGATTGTTCCATTTTGGGAAACCTCAGATATTAACTGCAAATTTGAAGTCCATTTGGACTATCTATAAACTGAAGGCTCATTTTCTGTGTGAGCAAATACTGTCTTTTTTTGTAAACAAAAATCCTACTGTTGGATCCAGGGGCCAAGATTTTATTCTTGGATGACGATTTGAGACAACGTTTCTCTCTTTGAAGAATTTAAATTTTCAATGAGCATTTTACTTCATAGCATTTTCTTTTGTGTATGAGGATTTAACATTTCCTATTTTGGAAAAGGAATTTTTTATCTTGACACCTCTACAATGTATTTCAGTGTTTCTATGGCCACCTTCAGCAGGCTGCTTTCTCTACCCAATGCCTGTGTATGGAGAAGCCTCCAATCATAGGTACGCTGGGCTTGTACACTTGCAAAGTTCTGCTTTTAATTTGCATGTTTAACATTGAAATTTGTAGTAAATCTAGAACACTTTGTTTCTCTTTCCTCTGGTAACGTGAATAACTTTGTACTCTTCTTTGAATTTACATTATTTTTTTGTTATCAACTGTTATCTTATCTACTTTCATCTTTATCTTTTAATTTTTTTCTTTGCCACTGTGTTTCTCTCTCAGTTCCTTGGATATACAAAACCCTGATTTTTCTCGCCATTCAAGGGCGAAACACTATATGGAGTATTCCCAAAAGGTCATTCTTCATGGTGGTGACGCCCTTTTCATACCTGAAGGCTGGTAAGACAGAAAGCTACCGGAACTTTAGGCAGTCTGTTAGTGTATCAACTCATATGGGCACTTCTTTTTTTGGTGACATTCTGAATTTTATTCTACAGGCTAATCGGACTCCTCATCCTAACTTGTTACTCTCACTAATTCAATACTACATTTCTATTTCAATATCTCATTTTTGTCATTTAGAAGATGTCTGGTTCTTCTGTTCACTCAGCCTGCCTAACAATATAAGATCGCGTACAGAAAAACATAAGACAGAAGAAAAACTTTCAGTCTGCATTCTTTTCAAAAGGCTGTCTGCGTATAAACATTATCATCATCTGTCGTGAGTGTACATACTGTGCCCTTTTTAGGTCTTGGGTATGCACCTTCCTTGCTGATGGTGGCTTAGCATTCAGTGTTCCAACAATCTGATATCCCTTTGAAGTTCTTCTGAAGTTTCTTCTGGTTGAATCTCTCTGTCATAATCGTAATCCTCTGCTATATTGGTATTGCGAAAAAACTGGTTTGCTGCATGCAACTTGTACTAGAAGCCGAAAAATAATTGAAAATCATTACACTATTCACACCATTGAAAGCCTGACATCTTTTGACTCAGAAGATTACGTGTAATAATTCTTCACAGTGGGTTGAGTGATTCGCCATCAACAAATAATGGGAGAAGATCTGTGGTCTTCAAGGGTGTTTCTTAGAAGGCATGTGACAGGGTTGCTGGTCTTATACTGATAAGGAATTTCTTAATGAGGTTATCGGAAAGGTTGATAAATTGCTGCATGATTCCTCATCCATAGCTTCATTCTCATCCATTCTAAATGTGTATCTTGTTAGTCAACCAAGCTCTCAACTTCATTAGGATTTATTATCGGCGTCATAATTGTTGTAAACCATAATCAACAAGCGTGCTGAGGGCATATTTTATTTGAATATGCAAAGTTGAAAAATCTCAAATAGCTTCCATTATGACTGAGATGGTGAACAAGGGAATATTAGTATCCTACATAATATGTTAGCAATAATAAAATTATGAGTATCAAGATACTTTACCCGTTCTTTAGATGGCTCAATGACTCTAACATGGGATCACAAATGGTTGCGTTTATCTGTACATGCTCTTGTTGTCTCCGTGACAAAGAGTAAAACTTGATGTACACAGAAGGGGCTGATATAGTTCCGTGCTGATTATTATAGAAATAAACTTCTGATCATCTCCACTCATTGCCAATTCGCTTTGAGTCGGACGACTCGATTATTCTAATGAAGTGCTTCGGAAAACGTTTTTGGTTTCCAATCCTTGCAAATGTCATTCATAGATAGCTTCCTCTGTACTCTTATGTTGTCCAATAAATCCATCAAAACCATCTCAATTTTATTTCCTTCATTGCATTTACCATTCAATGGGGTCTTTCTAGTCAAGCTCTTTTTTACCTGAGCTTGATGATTTTAGGGTCTCAAAACAGGAACCAAAAAAAGGGTGGAAACTAGAGCAGCAGCCAGGGAACATAACTGAAAGGAACGGGGGAAATTAACTCCATTGAGAAAGAAAATAGGAAAGAACTGAGTGGTTTCCGGAGGAAACCCTAGAACAGTTAGGGACGGGTTTGAGAGCGCCTCATCTCCCACTGAATTCTTCCAACAGGGCCCCACAGTGAGGACCCTTACGGGTCGTTATACCCATACTTCTTAATAGGCCCTTGGCCCGGCTTCCTTTGACCCACCTACATCTTAACCTTCCTTCTCCAGGCTTAACTCGGACATTGGGCCCAACAGTTCCGGACCTAACAGACGATAACTCATGTGAATCAAGGATTCTACCATTACTGTCTTCTATTGTAACACCCCATTCGAGGGTAGTGTAGAGTGTCAACCTCCATTCTCCATCTTTGCTGATTTTCAATGCTGAAGATGAAATTAGGAGGGACAAAAAAGTTCTGTACAGCTAAATAGAGACGACCATAGATCAAGGGCTTATTTGTCTGTGCATTAAGTTGCATACAATAAACCATATGGCTACTTAAATTTTCGTCCTTTTAATGTCAGTATAACTAAGATATTAGATGATGACAAGAAAGCATTAAGAAGAGATTTGTTTTGGTTGGGGATGGGGGGGGGGTGATAAAAAGTAGTCCAGAATGTAAAAGAGAAAAAGGCCCAACCACTTTAGAAGCATGAGAAGATTGGCCCAAAAATTAATTGGGTCCAGTAAAGCATAAAGACTGGTCCAACGGCAGTTTATTTTGGTTATGTTCAGATTCTGTTAGAGTTTGTTTTGGTTATGTTCAGAGTCTGTCAAAGCATGTCCTTCTATTGTTTTAGAATTTTTCCTGACTTTTTTCAAAGTCTGTTTGCTTTTTTCAACCTCCTTTTTGGCCTATATAAAGGCCCTCCATTTTAACCTAAGGATCAATTTAAATATTACAAGTTTTTTCTCTCATGAGATTATTGATAGAAGAAAAGGCTGGAACCGTGCAGAACGGAGAGAAATATGGAAGGAAACCTCGTCGACAAAACAAAACAGAACCACGTAAGAAGTAACAAGGGGATCCTCCTTCTCATAAATGCCCCGGTACCGACAAGAGATCAGTTGTGGAGGATCTTTCCCACTCTCCCCGTGCGACCAGACACCTAGAGTTTTGGTAACCCTAACCTTTCCTTAATCTCCTATCTTATACCCCCCTCCTTATGCTTGCCCACAATTACAGGTTTGCCTTTTTTTGACGACAGTAAATGAGATGGGTTGCGGGTTCTTGATGGTTACAGGTTGAGGGGGGCATTAGTTATCCTCTCTCTACATATGGGTTTAACTGCTTCATGTAGATTTAAGGTCTCCCTCCTGTGAATTCAAGTGTTGAAGTCTCCAGTTCTGTGGATTCAAAACTTGATTTCTTCTTCAAAATTCGTGCTGTGGATTTATGTCCGGATCTTGCTATCATCTGTATCAATGTTGCATCAGAGAGAGACAGAAACTATAAAGATGCACGTCTTCAAAATATCCACCTATTTCTACCATTGGTGTTGGTGGTGGATAGAGATATATATATATGTATGTATGTATGTATATATTCATGGATATACATATAAGTCTGTCTATTATATTATGTGGATATGTATGTTACACAAAACTTTGGGGGGGAGGGGAGGGGAGGTAGGGAGAGAGAGAGGGCAGTGGCAGATAAGTCTTGGGCTTGAGAAAGAATGGTGTGGAGGAAGCAGGGCTTGTATCCTGATCCTTTTATTGGACGGTCCCAACCACTTGCAAGAGCTGTGTACGCCCTAGGGCATGAAACAAGGAGAAAGGGTTGGAAGGGATGGCTGGATTGGAGGAATATCAGCCTCCTCAGTATGGATGATGTTGGCTATGTAATGCAAATGGTAGATGAAGAGGATGGGAGAGTAGGAGGCCAAGATTCTCATCATGGAAACTATTAGCTGGTGTTTTTATCGTGGAGAATGGGGATCATTTCTAAGCTGCGTGGTAAGTCCAGTGCCAACCTGATAGTGCTAAAGTGGGGGCTTGAGAAGGAAGAGAAAAATAAAATAGATTCAATTTAGAATGAATAAAACATTTCTGATGTTGAGTAGAAGTCCTGAAAAGGGTTCATGAAAGCACAATGTGGGGGAGAAGAGGATAATAAACTCGAATTATCATTCATCAAAAAGTTTCTACCATGGAGCCCCTACTTGATGCATAGGAGAGTTGGGCAATGATGACACCTAAACTAAGTAAATGGTTGTCCCTTTTAGGAAGCGCTTAAAAATGTAGAAAGTTGGCCTTTTGAGAATTCCACTGAACTAATAAAAAAAGGAAACCAAAATTTCAAGGATTGAACAATGCCCTGACTGCACCTAATACAGATGTGAATTTTTATCGATCTTGTTCATTTTCTCTCTTTGTCGTTCTACCTAGGTAGCAACCAGGATCACTATCTCATCTAAATTGAATTATCTTATAAAATGTCTTAGTCTTTCAATGTCAAAGTGACTCTATTTAGATTTCCTTCGGCCTTTAGTGGTAACTTTAGCAATATGGTTTCCTCGAGTTCTCAATAGCTCTTCAGAAAAAAAATCTTGTCATGGACAAGGAGACTGAGGCTGACACATCAGAACTCTCTTCTTTGTTATGCGATTTTCTTTTAGCTTCTAGATTAGTCTGTTTCAAGATGAATTCTGGAAGAAACTGATCCTATTGCACACAGGTTTCACCAAGTCGACAGTGAAGATTTGACTATTGCAGTGAACTTCTGGTGGCATTCAACCGTGATGGGCAGTATGTTGGAGCACATGGATGCGTACTACTTGCGGCGGATATTGAACAGGTTTTTTTTTTTTTTCAATTTATTAGAACTGCCTGTTCTTTGACCAATTATGATTTTTTGTGTATGGAGCGCTGACACATTGTTTTACTCTTCTGTTTGAACCTGCCATCAAATCATTTCTCCATAGAAAAGACTGGTTGACAAGGAAATGGTATGCAATCTCTACTCAAATTGGGTATTTATTATAGCTAGGGTCAAAATTTATGAACACCTAGTGAGGTGCATTCCAGTTTCAATCACTTTCATGGATGTGAAGAACTTCACTTTTGATAACCAGTTCATCATTGTTCCTTCTGTAAGGTGTTCAAATATTCTTAATCACTTTGTCTGGTTTGGAAATCAGAAATTTAGTAGACCTTTTGAACTTGCACGTTGTTTTATACTTTCCATGGAAGAATCATGATTGTTCTAAGAAGATATGCGAAAAATTCTTCATCGTCCTCCCTACATGGAAATCAAAATTCTAAGAAGATTTTCCAACTCGATTTATATTCATTTGAACGGAAGCTACTTTTCTTCACTGTTTCATTCTGATTGTTTTTCACCTGGTGTGTGATGCTGAACGAGTTGACGATGTATTAGAAGACACGTTTGATGTGTGATTTTAGAATATTTTTCCATGCATTAAAAAAGTTGATGTTATAAAAGATCACTACTTGACTAATATGAGAAGAATTGTCTAAAACATCTGTTTGTATGGAATTGACCCAGTAATTCATCACATACAAGAAAATGAAAGCGATATAAATAATTCCAGTAAAAAAATTTTGCAGTTCCAAATATATTTTCATTTTAGATCATTCATCAGCATTGATGGAAGGGAGAGTATATGACCTGAAAACCTTGAAGTTATTCGGTGGCTAATTATTTTTCCAACACTTCTGACATATTTTTTTCCTAACTAAAAATTTAATTGTGCACCTTTTGTTTGTCCAATACATCAATTGACGTTATAGAATATGTTCTATCCTCATTATTGCCGAGAAAAGATGCTAACCTGCAGTGGGCTTTTCTTCTCCTAATTATTTCCTTGAGAATACTTTAGTCTTGGATCTTGGCCCTTCCTAGGTCCTAATGGTTGGGAATTTTCTATTTTTCACGTTTTCTTATAAAAAAATTTACTGGGAAATATCCAGAAAAATGTCTTGCAGATGTTTTCCCTGTCATTTTATTCTTCTTGCAGAATTCTTGCACCCTGGTGTGCACCTCAAAATCCTATGTTAGTAATTGAAACCGTGAAGAAACGCTGAACAGTTTGCTTCTTTGTTTGCTAACTAACAGAACGAAATGCTTTCTGGGAAGGAAAATGGTCCGAACAAAGCCACCGATATTTCCAAATCGACTAGTGAAGCTTCTAAAGGTTGGTTTTTTTTTCACCATTCCACTGTTGATGTAGCTAATCACTGAAATTCTTAAAAACTATCTTTGATCATTATTTAAAGTGTTCAAATGCAGTGACAGGGAGTAGTTGAGACTAAATAAAAATTAGAAAATTTCAATTACTTCAAAGTTTCGTGTTATGATTTTCAAATCTCAAATACAATGTACATTTTTCAATTTCTTAAGTGAATTTTTTGATAAAAAGTCATGCTAGTTGAGTCATAATTGCACTTTCCTGTGGGTAGGCGTGTTCGTAATTCTTATGAAATGATGATTGTGGGCTGCTGGTAATGGTGGTGGAGTGGTGGAAACTCTCCTTGCTTAACACTTCTTTGGAGAGGGGGAATAGTGTGATGTTCATTTTAAATTAAGTTACACGCTCTCTGATGAAAGGATAATTTGACAACAGTGCTAGCCAAATGGACAATGCAGAAAGCGGCATGTCAGAGTATATGCCCTCATGAGCAGCACCCTTCCCCATCAACACGGCTCCATTATCTGTGTGGGCATGATGAAATGTAAGGTAAATCAAGACATTGAAGGAATTCCTAGACAGGGGCCAATTGAAAGCGTTTGAGGCCTAAAACTTGATTATTCGTGTAAATTGTACTTAAACATGTGGAAACTTATTTGATCCATGGAGAGGGTCAACAGATTATTAACGAAGAAACAGTGTTCATTACATTGTTCAATTAAAATTTCAAGGCATTATTTGGAATGGAAAAGTTTGTAACGTGTTATCTCAGTCCGCGTGCTGCCCTGTTTTTCATATTGAATTATTCATGCTTCTCTGATTCGTGGTGTATTCTGTCTTTAGTTCAAGTCACGTCACTGAAACAAGGGGACCCTCATATTAAGTTAACAAGGCTGTCCCAAACCTATTATTCTCTGCTGATGGTAACAGAAACTGGTGAATGAGTGGAAAAATAGAGGAGGCCAAATCGATCTGCAAATTTAAGGTTCCTTGTGTTGCTAGGCTTACTGGTGTTCCCCCCCATGTTATCTGAAGCCAGTGTTCATATCTGATGTTGTATTTCTAGTGAGTTGATTTCCATCCTCATTTATATTTTCCAGGTCCAATCGACACTAGTGTCAATGAAAAAACGGAGAGAGGAAATGGTGAAAAGAAAGGGCTGTCGTTGGAACAGTTGGAACCACTGGAGCTCCAAGCTCTGAATGAAATCGTTTCATTGGTTCATGAAAGTGTGAAAGTTGCAAGCCAAGATCAGTCTTATGTGCAGGACTCTTTTGCTCACAAAGAGGACAATCAAGAAGATAAACGCCATAGTGGAAGCTCATTTATCATCAGCGAAGATCCTGTTGCTGGTATTCTGCAGAAAATGAAGCCACGTGTACTCCAAAGTGTCTTGCTAGCCATGGTGGTATGATGATTTTCCTTTGGATTCACTTGAAGAACTACTATAGCCTCAATGATTTTGATTTTTTACCTAGAAAATTTTAATATAGTGTAGACGAGATGATTAAAATGCAAGAAGATAACCTAATGTCTTGGTTGCCATCTAAATATAGGACATGAAATTATTTCAGGATCAAAAAATTGGGGTGAGCATATTGATCTGGATCAGATTCGGTAAACTTGCAATTCAGGAAAGGGACCTATCTGAAAAAAATGATTCGAAAATAATGATGAAACTTGTGACGGCATGCATATATATTTTATTAACGTAGTGATGGATTTAGTAAATACAAATGTTGCTATCATCATTTGGCACATCTTCTTGTCTCTCTCCTACAGGGCAGTGCAACCCCTTTTTTTTTTTTTTTTTTTTTTTTTGGGGGATAACTGTCTTGAGCCGAACTTCTCGTGAGGTCACCCGTCCGAGTACTTCACACACCCAAGCACTTTGGTGCCTTTCAGCACATTCTTCAGAGATAGATGCCACTAGTGCCTCTCGGCATGGTGGCGTAAGGCTGCCTCTTGGCAGGTTGTTTTTCAGAGCTAGGTGCCTCTCGGCACGTTGTTCGGGAGATGGATGCCACATGTGCCTCTCGGCATGGTGGCAGAGGTGCCTCCTGACACATTCTTTGGAGCTGAGTGCCTGTCGGCACGTTGTTCCTCTCGACACGGTGGCAGGGGTGCCTCCCGACACGTTCTTCGGAGCTGAGTGCCTGTCGCCACGTTGTTCCTCTCGATATGGTGGCAGTGCAACCCTTGTTGTTGAATGAAAAGAAAAAAAGGCAAAAGGGAGAAAACGTTGTAACCAACGGCATAGTTGACAGAGTCTTAGCCAATCCTGCTGACTAGCATTTGGGGTATATCTGCATGTTTTCTTGAACCCAAATGAAGGTAGACGAGGTGCATGAACTAAAAATAGGTGCCTGAAAGCCCCAGCTCCCATCCGAGCAGCAACTAGCTAGTCCCAGTGTAAAATAAATCTGAGTATGAGTATGAGGTTCGTCCTCATATTTCTCTCAAAAAATTTAGTCTTGATTCTCTGGGTAGCTTTGATGTTCCTAGAACTTTGCCATTTATAGCTTTAAATTTTAATTTCAGAAATGAAATTGGACGAAAGTTAGATATTGCTATAGAATGTGTTAGTATTGATAGAAGATGCTAGAGTGAGAAAGTAATGATTGGCACATCAATACCAACGAAATTCATGTCAACTCGACCTTGAGTAAATCACTTCTGTCATCTCTCGCTCCTCATTCATCACCACCATAGTCATCTCAAAGTCTTTCTGCATATGGAGTTTCATACAGACGACCATATGCATCCCACCATGACCATGAATGAAGATGAGTACCATGAAACTGTACATGGCGTTGTTCAACACTGGAAATCAAGAAGCCTCGAAATGTTTTCGGGAACTGCTAGATACCATCAAATCTGGTTTCTAGAGCTAGCCCGAGCTACTATTTCCCAAATTTGGCAACAACTGGCTGGGATATCATTCGCTCAGGGCAAAGGTGAAGGAAGAACAACAAGAAGAAAGTGGTGGGTCTAGTGAGAATGGCGTGGATTAGGTTGATCTGATCTAGAACTCATCTTTAGAAAGTTTATCTATACTGCCTGCAATTAATTGATCACGCAATCTACTTTAAGACCTACATCTTTCTACAATGACATACTTCTGATTGGCGTTTCAGCATAGCTTCCCAAGAACCTTGGAGGCTCTTATCCTGCAATCTCTCTCACCTCTAGCGGCGGAGATCCTCACTCGTAAATTCGACGAGCTTGATCAGCAGACATCAAAAGAAGAACAGTATGATGATATTTTTTTTTATCATATTGATTTCTTTCCAGCATCTCTGCTTCCGAAATCTGACTGTCCCCCACCATCTGCTCCAGGGGTGAGTTCTTTCAGCTGTTCTATGGGGTATTCGATGACCATTTTGCCGCAATGGATTCGATTTTAAACGGAAAGGAGTCATTTTCCTTCCAGGTAGTTCCTTCTTTCTTGCTTTCCAAGTAACCATGCTAAATCATGTCATAAATATCAATCTGCCTTCTGGGCACCGATACCTGCTGAGATGCAAGAGCATGTATGTAATTCTTGAAGGGATTATGTTCCGTTTGATTGGATATCAGCCCTGCAGCTGAGATGTTGAACGTGATTTTTCTTTCCGGAATCAGAAGATCTTGTGTGATCTTAAATTGTACATTTTCTTTCTCTTTCTATTGACTTCAGCGTTATGTGTTGTATGTAGGTTTTCAGAAACGTTCTCAACCAGTACTTGGGGGTAGATGTCTCCATGCCCAAGCAATGACCACCCCAAAGGGATCAGGGATCAGCTCACCTTGCTCAATATTCCTGTAAGTGCTTAATCAACTTCTTGGATGTCGTGAGAGAAAGACCCATAAAATTCTGAGGACGAAGCCAGCTTCGGTTGTTTTCTTTTGGGTTTGACTAATTGTAGAAAGAAAATAATAAATTTTTCATCTTTTGAGTAAACTTTGGTGTTGTGACAGGTATATACAAAAAATGAAAATAAGTTCTCCCATGGTTTCCCATAAATAGCCATGGCGGCTCTTCTACTAAGTAGCATGCGGGTGAAAGTCAAAGCAACTAGGGAGTCAAAATGCCCATAAATAGCTTCAGCTGATTTCTTTGGGTTTGACTAATTGTAGTAAGAAAATAATAAATTGTTCATCTTTTAAGCAAACTTTGGTATTGCGACAGATATATACAAAAAAGTGAAAATAAGTTGAATATTTTTTCTCGCAAGGGCTATTTTATTAATGTACCAATTAAACCCTTATCATGGTACCCATACATAGCCATGGCGGCTCTTCTACTAAGTCGCATGTGGATGAAAGTCAAAGTAACTTGAATCTTTAGTCTCTATTTATAGAAAAAAGTGTTTTCACTTGAAGGATGATTATAATAGCGCAATCTTAATTTATTTGGCTACAAGGTCAACCCCTATGTCACATAGATACGCGTAGAGGAGTTATGGAGAGATAGATAGAGCTAGAGAGAGAGAGAGAGAGAGAGAGACGGTTAGCATCTCAAGAAAAGGATGAAAAAATAAGGGATTCTAGGCCACGAAGCTCAAATCACTTAGGATTTAGTGGACGTATCTACAATGTCTCCTCAATGTGAATAAGTGGGCTTTTTACTACTTTCAAGTCCTTTAAGATCGATGATTGATACTCTTTGGACATAAATATAAAAATATATATTATTGGATGTGAAGGTAAATAAGAGTTTACATTTTAATGACGATAAAATTTTGTCTAAAGTAGCTTAATTAAAATGCGGTATTAAATAAAGAGTAAGGTAAGAGAATCCATTCCTAGAATGAGTTTTGCAATGCCAATAAACGCCAGAAAAGAACCGCCGACGGGGTTGGGGTTGGGTTTTTTCGTCCACCACTTCCCACCGCCGGCCGGCCTGACACCCTCGGAGGATTCCTCTGCTCAGATCTGCCGCCATGGGGGACGCCCGCGTCCAACAGGTTGCGAACCGTTCCATTTCCTGCTTGTTTGATATCGTGTTTTCTCTTCGTCCTACGATCGTTTGCTCTTTTTATTTGATGATTTTGATTTTGATTTATTTTTTGCTGCCGCAGGTGATCGAGCAGTCGGTGCTGACGGTGGCGAAGGCGGTGGAGGATAAGCTGGATGAGGAGATCGCGACGCTGGAAAAGCTCGACCTGGACGACCTCGAGGCGCTCCGGGAGCGGCGTCTGCAGCAGCTCAAGAAGGCGGCAGAGAGGAAGAGCCGCTGGGCGGCCCTCGGGCACGGTGAATATACGGAGATTGTGGAGAAGGACTTCTTTGCTGCCGTCAAAGCCAGCGAACGCGTTGTCTGCCACTTCTACCGAGAAAACTGGCCCTGTAAGGTACGCTCCTCTATTGGAGAAGGGGAAAACAGTCGTGCATCGATCAGATTAAATGTCCCTATTGTTGCATTTATAAATGTAGCTAAAAATCTGGCCGGAAAAATGTGGGAGGATTCGTGAAATGTGCAGCGTGGTAAGGTTATACTGTTGAGATTAGTGTCAGATTTGTTTGGTTAATATTGAATTGGCCGAATTCAATGTAGCAGATGGCATGGATACAGAGCGTTATTACATGTACAGCCTAAAAGTGCCATGCTATGAAAATTATCTTCTTCTATACTTAAGTACCATGGGACTCTCATCCTGGTTGATCGTGAATGAAGTAATTTGCGACATATTCAAGCGACCAATTATGATAATAAGCATACTTATGCTCAGTGCTCAGCACATTAATAATTTATTCATGCGAAATATTTGTTGAAGCTCCCCCAGATAAATGTTAGATGTTGTTTGACTTGATTATGAAGTCTCCATCGAACTTGTATCTTACCATGTGAATGAAACAAACTGTGTTCATGGATGTCTAGTTGAAAATTCGATCCTTATTCAGTAAGCAATATTTTCAGGATTCTTTATGAGATTAAACCATCTCATTTTACACTTGAAAAACGGGCGCGGTATACCTTCTAGATGCATTCTATTGTTCTGGATAAATTAGGTCGTAATGTTTTCTGAAGGGCCATCGAATCGTTCCACTTCTCTTTCCGGAGAGAAGTGGAACGATTTATGATGAAAATATTGCCGCTCCAGATAGAGCTGAATATTTGTTGTTAAGGAAGATAATTCTTTGCGAATTATTTTATTAAAGCCTAGGTTTCCTTTTGACGTGCAATTATTTCTTAGTTTTTTCATCCCCTGGCAGAACGTCTATAGCGAATGAAAGATTGCTGGCAGGGGGTTTCTTGTTTAACAGAAGCTGCTAAATGAATGTTTGGAGTATTACTTAACTGATGCGTTAGTGTCTACATCAGTGGGACAGAAATGAAATCATCATAAACCATGCTAATCAAGAATCCCTAATCTGATCAAATGCTTGTAGTTCTGAGATGGGTTCATATCTCGCTGTCTCAGCCAGTGCAATCCTATCTGTCTTAAGAAATCACCCTCATGTTACCTGTTGCCCATCCTGCCCACCCACGTCTTGCAGATCCATAGCTCTTGTAAGCATTCCACCATTCATATGCCAGGAATTCGAACAGACAAGAACAAAATTGTTGTTCTAATTCATGTTGTGCTATAGAAAAAAGTAAGAAGGATAGAGACAAATGTCTTATCTAAACTGAAGAGAAATTGGAAAGTAGACGACCTTTATTTGACATAATAACCTGTCATGTCCAGGTCATGGACAAGCACCTCAGTCTTCTCGCTAAGCAACACATGGAGACCCGCTTCCTGAAGATCCATGCTGAGAAGAGTCCTTTCTTGACTGAGAAACTCAAAATCGTTGTGCTACCAACTCTTGCTCTGATCAAGAACGCCAAGGTCGACGATTATGTGGTAAGGAGAGATGGGAAGAACACCACACTAAACGTTCTTATATTCATCTGGCTCTGTGTACTGGGAATGAATAGTCTGACTGCAATCCTTGAATGTGGGCTGCAGGTCGGCTTCGATGAGCTTGGCGGGAGCGATGAGTTCAGCATGGAGGAGCTGGAAGAGAGGCTGGCTAAGTCCCAAGTCATCGCTCTCGAGGGTGAGTCATCGTTCAAGGCTGGTGGTGTGAGGCAACCACAGAGGAGCGTCCGACAGTCGGAAAATTACTCATCAGATTCAGACTAAGGCTCTGATGTTTTCCAGTCGGTTGTGTTGTCTGACGAGCTGAAAGAATTCACTGCCTTCTTAGTAAGTCTTGCATTGGAGATGTCTGCGCCTCCCAGTGATTAGAATGTGGTGCTTATGAGTGTGAGAAATTTGCTACCTTGCATCTGACATCAAGGAAGACGTATAGAGAGAGAGAGAGAGAGAGAGAGAGAGAGAGAGAGAGAGAGAGAGAGAGAGAGGACAGAGATACCCAAGAGTATAATTATCTTTTCCTGTAGTTGGGTTAATTCATGTGTAAATGCTTGAAGATCGAATGAGTTTTGTATGAGGAAGATTGCGCCTTGTAGAATATGATTTGCCACCAGGATCAGAGAGAGAACCCTCGTGTTCGCCAAGAACAGAGAGCCTATGAAGGATGCCCATATCCCTACTGTGGATTTGGATATAAAAATATCAAGGCCCCCCGCTTCTCTGGGTTTCCAGAGATGGATTCTATCTATGACAGTCGTCATCACCGTTGCCCATCTTATGAGGCGTGCCCAATGCGCAATGCCCATATATAGAAAATGCCTTCTAAACCTAACCACACTCTATATATAACCCAGTAGAAAGATCACACATGGAAACACTGGTCTGGTTTCTTGGATTGGCCGGCCCATTTGTTCTAATCACACATCTCCTAACTTAGGAGATGCTCTAATCAAACTAAAGTGGATGCTAAATTTATTTGTTCCCCACACACCCAATTCATGCCATGTATTTCACCACTCAATTTCTTGAAAATAAAATAATATATATATATATATATATTCCTGCCCAAGAAGCAACATTACATTAAAAATCATTGCCCTTATGCTCTGAAATCCCCCTGGCAGCAGTACGAATATTCTACTCTCCATGGGGAGGTGATCACTTAAATATCGTCCCCCACAAAGAATCACAGCGACGGAGATATTTCTTTGCAGAACCAAACAGGGAGGCCTCCTTTTTCCATCTATTCACATTGCTTTGATCAGCACACAAAAAAAGGGATAGTTACAGCTTACCGTTTCCATTTTTCTACAGCCAAGGGAGGAACCCAGGAGACCATTACACTGGAGGGGGGGGGGAGCGGGGGGGAGCTTCTCACAGCTCCCCCTGGCTCATCTTAAAGAATGACAATTGAAGAAGAAGAAGAAGAAGAAGAAGCCTGATCACACCTGCAATGATGTGAAGAGTTGGGAAGCAGCTTTTCCTAATACGTCTAAGACGAGAAGAGAGCTACTACTGATACAGAAACTCTTCCTTCCCAATTCGGTTTGTCTCCACGGATCCAGCGAGACGTTGACGGGGATGAGAGGCTTCAGGGTGCCCTCAGGCGTCAAGCAAGGGGCTTAATGCCTTTTCCACCTCAGATTGCTGCAGATGCATCTCTTCTTGAATCATGGCGATGGCCGACTGGCATGTCTGCTCATCGCCAAAAGCGAGGGTCCACCGGCCGTCAACCAAGACCTTCCTGTTGCTCGCCGCGTCCCTGGTGGGCAGGGTTGAGGGGCGGATGCGCAGGTGCAGCCACTTGGGTTGCCTCTCATCTGCTCTTGGCTGTGACAAGATATGGAGAGAGAAGATTCAATAAACGGGGTGTGGCTAATCTACAGAAGAAAGGAACAATCAACAAATATAATGGAGCTAATGCGAAGATGAATCAGTGGAGGAGGAGATTGAATATAAAGAGGGGGGGAAGTATGAATATAAAAGGAAAGAGACATAGCATCCGAGTGTTATATATGCTTTCAGAATGAATCTTTACATATATATGTACCTATGTAGATAGATGCAGTGAAGGCTAGCCATGAAGGAAAAGTGATAAATATTGTTGAAAAAAAAATAGGATTATCTGGCTAAATCATAGCTATTCCGAATATTGTATCAATAGCTGCCTACACCTTGCATACAATCAACCCTGGCAGGTTCTATGCCCCTGTTGCTCCGTTCCAAGCCACCATGAGACCAAACAGAAGGGGTTGACTCGTTAAGATCATTTTCGAAAGACTGCCAGTGAAGGAGAATTGATGAGATCTTAAATGGGCATATGACGCAGAGTGGCTCATCAATGAGGATTTCCACTAATAACCGAAATCCTCACATCAGTGGAAAAAATAATAAACAATTCCCACAAGATACCGTGGCAGAAAGCCGCAGATTCTGAAGCTTTGATGGACTGAATCCGTCCATCTGACCCAGATAGAAGAATTCGTCTAAAGATAGTAAGGTGCAGCACTAGATGTTGGGCAATTAACTTTCATATTTGAATTTCTCGTCATCATTATAGGGCCTGGTGCTTTCCATCAATAGGGCACCATATCTGGGAGAACTAATGTCTATAAAAGACCACAAACAGTGATAATCTGAATTCAGACTTGGAACACTTGGCAGGTGGCGGCCATTACCTAACGATAAAAAATTGTACCATACGCAGGGAGAAGCAAATACCCAGTCAATGATGTACAAAACTTATTACATTGGTTGTCTTGCCTGTTTCTTCCACTTTATATAAGTTACATTTATTTTGTGCCGATGAACTGGCACAAGCCTGAGTTCTAGGTCACTACCCAGCAAAGGGATCATTCCAGAGGGAAAAATAAAAAAATAAAAAAAATAAAAGATTTTCAGCAAGATTGAAAGTTGAATGATCCGAAATTAAGATTAAGGTTTAATCACACCCAGGGAGATTGGTCAATTCAATATTTCCTATGCTATCCATCATATTATAATCATTCAGACGGCTGAATGCTCCCATAACTTGTATGCATAAGGAATGAAAATTCATTTGCAGAACTGAACTGAAATAGATTGGTCATGTTCCCATTTCGGAAAAGACGCCCCCGTCAGGCAGATGACAAAAAAGACAGATGAGGAAAAGAACCAGCAGTTGGAGCATTTTTGCAACAGCAACCACGTACCAAAGCAGGAAGACGAAATACACCTCTTTTAAAGTCCATCAGTGGCCAGGAAACTTATGACAGCAGCCACATGCAGGAAGGAAAAGAATAGGAAGACGAAAGGGGTAAAAGCCTATGGATAGGCAGCCATCTGTGAGAGCTAAATTTAGCAAAATCAATTATCACGAAAGGATGTCGAGTTTTCAGCAATATATACGGCAGTAAAAAAAAATAAGAAACAAAAAATTCAAGTTGATACTACAGATAGTGTTTAGAGATGAGAATCACTCAGTCTGTGGTACTTCGAGGGATGAGTTACTTCATTGATCAAGGAACCTTATCATGAGAACTTTAAAAACAACTAAAAAAATACTGAAACATTTTTTTATATTGAATTAGTTCTGATCATAAAACCGGCTAATTCGGAGCTGAAACAGATCAAGGTGTAACTGTCCGCCTAAGATCAACCATGGATTTAAGATCAGAGACTGGCCGAAGTACTCTCGGTAAATCAGGTCAGATTTGGCCGGATATGAAATTTGTTGATCTGTTAGCCATTCCGATCAGATCAAGTCAACACAATTCTAACAGGAACTGATCGCCAATAAAACAAGTTGACCAAGTTTCGTCACAAAGTGTCCAATTTTTTTATCATTTTCTCTCTTTTTTCTTTTGCAACAAGTCAAACTAGATCAAGTAGCAGCGAATTTGAATGATACATGGGTGCAGAATGTTCATAAAGGTAAGCCTTTGCCCCATGTTCATTAGGATGCAAAGCATCAGTGTGACAGTTGTCAGCGAGTTGCGTCAATTTTTGTCAATCACTTTTCTTATTGACAGGTAGTAGAAGGAACGATATGAATAAATAATCACATAAATTAAACTATTCAAGAAGGGTAATAACTAGAAAATTGAAGATCACCTACATTTGACCCAGCCAAGGGTGCGGCAACACGAATAATCCCTTTTTCCTGATTTAAGGGCAACTCTTCGGCCAAAAGAATCCACCCTGATGTCCCTCTAGCAACAGCTAGGAAGCAAAAATGGCGTTCTTTTCCTCTCTCAAATGCTATTCTACAAGATATTGCGTCAACTACGAAACGAAGAATAACAACAAGTTAATAAAGCAGTTTCTCTTTTGTAAAAGCAGACTAAGAATGTCAGATGAGCATCGAAAGTAATTGAAGTCGGTTAAACATCTGACCTAGATTAACCTCTGTGCCAGGCTTTGGTACTAAAACATCCAAGCCAGCACTTTTTGCTCGAGAATGTACAAGACAACTGCTAGGAGAATTTACAGAAGGCTGATCTGGTAAAGATCCACCTGAAGAAAAGATTAGAAGCTGATGTCGAAGAACAAACACCTGTTGCAAGGAAATAGGCAAAGCGTCAAAGAAAAGTGCTATTATGACCCCAACAGTAGTGAATAAGAGCTAAATTTTAATGGCATAATGGCACGAACGCATTCATTCTGCAAAAAGAGAACAGAGTTATCAGTGATAAATGCTCGTTCACACATTATTCTTTTTGAGCAAAATCTTGTCAAAGATGTATAGTTGTTTTCCCCATTCACAGCATTAAAAACTGTTTGACCTAACAAGGGGAGGACTGAATCTAACTCTAGGACATCAAAGATCTTCTGGCATTAAAAACTGTTATTCGATGTAGATGACTCAAACAGCTAAATTAGGATAAACGAACCTTTACAGTCTCAAACAGTCTTTCACCAGCAACAAAGGATGAGTCACCTGAAAAACTATCCAGCTGGTGTTAAGAACCATCCTCTGGCATTAGTTGCCTACAGATATCTATGATGAATAAAAACAGATTAAAACAAGTCAGGGATAGGCATATTTGTCGAACCTTCAGAAACGCATGTTTTAGAAGGCAACAGTATGCATTTCAGATCTCTTTGAGGTATTGATGCTTCAATTGCTGCAAATTGAAAAATTATGTTACACATAACTCAAATCATGATTTGCGAGTAATTAAGACATTCTACTACTTCTAGATACCTTTTTTGCATTTGTTCCATTCATCTGTAATAACTGATACAATGAAATCACACCAGCTTCCTTTCATTTCCTCAGAAAGACTTGTGGCTGATTTTTTGTGGGAACTCTGTACTTGAATCATGATGCAGAATAAATAGCAACTTTTAAATTATAAAAATTAAATAACTCAAATTTATGACTAAAATTATGATAGCTATATAGAACCGTATATCTTCACAACTAGTCAACATATGCATCAAAGGAAAAAATGTTTGAAAAGGTACGAGTAGTTGAGACAGGCTTTACATGTGAACCAGAGCACTCAAACTATAAGATAAATCAAATTCAGCGAACTATTTCGTCAGTACAGCAAAATCCATTTTATACACTACACTTAAATATAAACACACATAGACATATTCGCAGCTTAACTGCACAATGGCTCTAAATGTTGTTTGACTCTTTCAAAGGAATTCATTATGTTTGGCGATTGTTTTATAAAGTAGTATCTACAATAGATGAAGAGTGGATGAATATGTCATGACACAAGTTTTTTATGTGTTCTTTTTTGCTTGGAAGCGTTGAAGCTGATTCTGATTCAATTAGGTGTCTTCTTTATTGGGATATATTTCAGACGATTTACTTCAATTGGCCCCATGGTAATAACTTGTAATTTCATCATATGGATTCACCCCACTGACTACAACAACCATTGGTATTAATTTCACCATTTCTGAATAATAAGCGAGTTAAAATTTTAGTGGATTGAACGCTGGATAGCTTTCAGAAGCATTAAAAGTGACTAAATATTTTCACAATGATACAGTTGAAGTGAAACGATTGTAAGGATTGGATTTCATTTGTCAGTATTGTCAGGACTGGAACCAAATTGTAGTTGATCGAAGTCCATTTGAGGTCGAGTCCATGCTCTACATTGTGGCAGATTGAGGTCAATTTACCAGCGCGGTCAAGCTCACTTGATGGGTGGCTGAAATCCATTTGGTAACGGGTACAAGCCCCTTGGGAAATAGTAAACCAAACCCAAACTTATGGTGGAATAGCTCATTTGGTATCATCGAGCTCAAGCTCGTTAGTTGGATTGGCGCACCTAAAAGGCTCGATTGTCTTCTAGCTGATATCTATGCAAGTACAGATGAAGATTTTGGAAACTCAAAGACTGAGAGAACTACGTTTATTGTATATGGAAAATAAGTAAAATGTTTCAGGAACTCTCCTGACTGCTAAGTTTACAGGAAAAAAAGGGCTTGAAGAATGGTTTCTAATATCCAGCTATTTTTTCATGATCTAGAAGTCCATCATAGTCACGAGGACAAGACATCCATAGTATTTAGATACTACTAGAACGTGGATTGGCCTTCATTGCTTATATTCTTTCAGGGAGATCTCTTTATCATTTTTTCCTCTTTCTCTCTCCAACATCTGGCAACATCCTAGGCTTCCAATCTTTTCCTGTCTTTTCCATTCCCCCTTCTATTTCAACCATGCTAAAAACCCCTAAAAGAATATTCTCAGCATTCAAATTTATCTTTAGTTTGAAGATCCTACCCTTTGGATCTCTAAAGTTAAAACTGAATGAGAGAGTTTCTCTAGTAGTTTAAATATGCATTATGAGACTCCAAGAATCTCTTCACTTGACGATGGAGAGGTCGAAAATACAAGAGTAATATCATGTCTGCTCCATTATATGCCACCACAAATCAACAAGGAATATCTGCTCCTTCCTTCGGCCAGGCATAGTTGTTCTCAATAAAACTTATTGAAAAATAAGTTGCATCTCAGATTTTCAGATCAAGAGACAAGTTCAAAAGACAAAGCAAGTGATCCAGAGTGTCATAGATATTACATTAACAAACTGCCGGGCCTTAACAGAGTTAGATTAGAGTCAAATGTGGAGATGGAAAGTGCCGCAGAAATAGCAAGGCTGAGGAATTTGTTGAAGGTGGAGAGTGTATTCCAGGTTTTACTGTGGTTGAATTCTGAATTCGATTGTGTACGTGATCATATCCGTAGTAAGGGAAACCATGATTAGGCCAAGGCTTTACACTTGTTCGAAGAGCTAAGGGGGAATTGTTCGAAGAGCTAAGAGGTGTTTTCCAGTTTGAGAGCCCAGATTTATTAATTAGAAGAAAACATCGTGGCGTATTCGATTGGTCTTGTACAGTTCATTCTAGATACGATTGTACAACATCCGCTTCAAAAATAAAATTTAGGAATAGGTATTCTGATTTATTCCTGTGTCATGTGGTATTATTCATTTTTCCAAGGAAGCAGAGGGTTTCTATTATCCACGTGAATGAGAAAATGAAGAAAAGTATGGTAAATAACTCCAGCTAGTTACCAATATATATTCTCACAAGAGCCAGATCAAAATAACCCATAATGCTGAGAATCCCTACTTTCAACCCACCAGCTACACCAAAGCTGCCTTACATTTCCCATTATTTTCCAAGTTAAATAGGTGAGGTTCTACGTGTTTGGTTTGATTTTTTCCTTCTATCTCACGTTTATCTCTTTTTTCCCTCTCTTTGTCCTCAAGTTCCCCGACTGGTCCTAGAAGTAACCAAGTCCATGAATTGAATAGGATCCTTGATAAGAGTTAGCAATGTCCAGATCCCAATCCGAATCTCAGTTCACATAGAAACAAATTAAGTTCACAAGGTATATATACAAGCACAACTCGTGACTGTAGACATATCTAGGGCTTGCAGCGAGAAAAATGTTCCTTACCTTTAAGTGTTCAAGATGATGGCTGTTGAATTCTTTCTCACTATGCGGTAGGAGCTGTCTTAAAAGCCAACCACCAACCCATAGCGCTTCTGAAGAAATATTAGATCTGCAGAAGAGACTGACCAGTGCATCGAGCACCTAAGAGACAAAGGCAGTATTTCGGTAAGATCATAAATTATTCAGTCATAGTGACCAAGTGCTATCTCCAAAGAATAAATGTTCATCTTGAATTAGTTACTAAAACAGAACCACGTCCACAAATGACGGTTTTTGAAGTCGTTTAATTCATAGGAAGAAGATAGCCACAATCCTTGTAGGATATGTTCCCAACGTTTAAACTTAAACAAATAATAAATTTAATAAAACTAATCTGCTATTATCACAATCAAACAAAATCCCAGAATACAGACGTGATAACATCGCCATAGAATTTCTAACTAATTCGAAATTTTATTTTTAGAGCAGGAGTGATTTGTCAAGCCTCAAAAAAGGAACTACTCTAAACAATAGTATGGATGCTCATAGTTTCGTTCTGCCACATCTATTAAAAGCTTTGCATAGAGGGGTCAGATAGATTAGACAGAAAATTTGTATAACAAGTAAAATTTAAAAATAAATCAAACGAATAATTCTGAAAGTAATAAAGTAATAATTCCATCATGTGGGAATGGCTTAAAAAACATGAGACGCATGGAAACAATATGCCCATGACAGGGAAAGCATGTGTACACATTAATGAAAAATCATACATCCAGTTTTCAAGATCAGAACCCCACAAGCAAATTTTCTTCTTATTATAAGCACAGCAAGACCGCGAGGCATCAGCATCCTTAAAAAAAATAATTAATCAAATAATTATCCCTTAAAATTTACTGCTTTTGATGATTGCAAAGATACCTGGAGTCTATGCTTTTGAAAATTTGCTTCTGATTCCACAGAATAAGAATGCCCGTAAAGATCCTGAAGAAAAGAAACATGCACAATGACAGGATAGCACAAAATCATCATCGAAATATGCTCCCACAAATCAGACATTTGGAAAAGGTTTTCCATTTCTTATGATGACTTTAAACAATAAATGAGGATGGACATAGTACCTAAGATCATGCAAAACTCCATGGATTAAGAACAAAGAATCTTGTCTCTAGTAGCATAAGTGATCACTCTGGATCAAAGAGGTACTTGAAAAGAAGCTAGTCTAATTCTCTGGTTTTCTTAGTGACAGTTTTTTTCACTAATAGAAAAAAATAAAAAAAATTGGTACAAGATTTCCATCATGTAAAAGATGTAGAGGCAATATCAGTCTAGCACAGGCCATTATCTTCCTAATTGGAAAGTGTATTATTGGCTTTAGTTGTTTACTGAAAGAGATTGAATTTTCACTGCAGGAATTTAGAAGAAACGAGCTTCCAATGGAAATTGAAGAAAATGGGGGTCCATACAAGGATATTCCTTACAATAATTCGACTGACACTATTTCACAGCACTCTGTCTTTTCAGGACTCCCTAATGTAAGCAAAACCATTGAGAGATGATTAATATTTCCTTAGTTTTCCCATCATTCTATCATGTTTTGTGTAATCTCTCTGTACAAGGTACCAGACAGAGCCCAGGATGTATCACCTCTGTCCAATCTTAAACAGAAATCATTTAGCTCCTGCAATTTCCGAAATTTCCGACTCTTCAAGAAGAGGGTGCCACAAGAGGAATTGATGTCGTCAAACCTGCCTCTCAGCTGTCGATTCAAACACACAGTTCATGTTTTCCCAAGGAGATGCTACATATGGAAGACCTTATTTTCTGATAAACACTTTAAAACTTCAGATGACGTGCTTCATAGAAAATCAAATTAGTAGCAGTATATTTATGTATATCAACAAGTCAGCAGCCATAGTGTAACACCAGCTTGCTGCATAGGATCTGCCAACTAAATGGTACAAAGAAATGAATAAGTTAAAACTGGATACCTTAAGCTTTTGAATGTATCCATCAAGTTCAGTAGTGATGCTATCTTTCGCCAAGCTGCTCTCTGAAGAAAATAGCTGATCCTCACCTGAGCCCTCACCTACTAAAGCTTGCTGAGATGGATGATAATATATTACTTAAACTTACTACATTAGGATGAAAAAGAAATCTTGAAACATCTATGCAGTGGAATTACACTGAAAACGGAAAACACAATAAAATACAAAATGAAACATATAAACAAATGTGTAAAAATAATGTGGCAAGCGCAAAGCTAGCATAGAATTGTCCCTACTTTTTTGTAGCGATCATATTATCCAATCCTTGCACAAAAGAACAGAATAACAATCTAGCTTCAGTCACAATAGCCAGCACATGACATCCAAAACTAAGTTTTATCTCCTGCTAAAGCAGCCATTGACACAAGAATCCAAGATTGGCTGGATCAAGAATGAATTGTTGGTAGCTATGATTGATTATTGGCAACATTTGGCCCTTTAGACCAAGATCAATAGCATTAAAAATCAAGTCTCCATCTCAACTGAAAACTCCCTGATCATAATAGGCTAATATCAATCATGAAAAAGCTGTTAATAATGATAATCACAAGGAAATTTTGGTTATCCTATTTCAAAATAGTTCAGTCATCAAAAGGGAGCAACCAAAACTCGCAGCTTTCAAACAATAAAAATGCAGTCTTGGAACTTACTAGGAGGAGCTTCTTATGTTGCTTCCTTTGGGGAAGAATCCCAAGTCCATCAAGCATCGATTCATCTAGTTCTACAAAAACAACAGCATCATAATTATATTAACTCAAATATAAAGAGTCAATCGATCCTAAATCACAAAACCATCTCCACCTTTAGTCTGCAGCAAGGTAGCAAACAAACTCAAAGAACCCAAAACTTGTATATCATTGCCAGTAATGATGTACGATAGCAAGAGCTCCCTATTGAACAGAAAAAAATGTTCATTATGGGACGCAAATGCAGATAAAAGGAGAGAATTATGACGGGAATAAAAAATTCCGAGTGAAACTATAAGAAATAAAAAACTTTTGGGACCGTAAAGTTAAAAATATATGAAACTGCTTTGTAACGATTAGAATCAATGAAACACTTTACACAGAATTCAATTGCTCTGCATGATAGAAAATCATCATTTCCAAAATCCTAACCAATCAAGATCAAAAATATATATCCTATCATGACAATGCATTCCATCATATACCATGCTCAAGACTGATCTTGCATTCAACACCTATTAAATATATTATGTTCTTCATCTTTCTTTTTAGAACCCCCACATCAATGATGGTCAAATATCAATAAGTACTCCTGTTAATCATAACCACATCTATTTATGCAATTTCTCCTCTCTACACATCTACCAAATTGCTCTCATTTTAACTGCCCAATCCTCAAGAATGATGAATATTCTTTTAAAAAATTCCCTTCAATTTAAAAGACCTACTTCATTGAGCACTGAAGCAGTCTCTCTATCTTTTATCAAGAAGGTGTATCCTGTGGATCAGATCCCTGTAAAAAAACACCGTTTTCTTTCATAAATAAATTTAAATACCTAAAATGGTCATAGACGGCCTATTTCACCTTATTTTCCCATCAAGGTACAACTTATATTTTATTTTGATTTACTCATGTAGTCCTTACATCATCATAAATTATATCCTAGTGAATTCTTACTATTCGGCCACATTGTTTGCAATAATGTACACCAAGCCATTCTTGGCTTTCACAGTCAATCAATGTATTGTAGGAAAAGAGTCTGAACCAACAATGCTGATTACTGATGTAAATCGACTAAAATCAATTTTTTGTTTATTTTTCTGACAAATGGCCTCATATTTATTATTAGACTATGCATATTCCTGATGACTACCACATACAATTTGGAATCACAAAACTCCCTGATATCAACCAAGCAACATTCCCTGTCACTCTATAAATTTTCTCTAAATCAATATATCCACTTTCAATTTTATTTCTCAAAAATGTTTTATCAAAATACGTAAAAATTTATAAATACATAATATAAGGTTTTTTTTATTTTTTTGGAAAGGAAAATTAAGTAATCAAATGAACCAAGCAGTGAAACTGTGAAATATAAGTCGCTGATTTCCTATCGTTTGGTAGCGTTTTACATGCATTCCCTTACAGAATGTCGAATTTGTAGATACTTCCAAATTGAATGGCATGTATGTGAATAATCTTTCGCAGATTTAATCATATCTCACAAATATTTAAAGCTGTCATGGGGAGATGAGTTTCCTGGGTCAAGAGTCACATTGTGGGTGACCATTTTCATATTATGGATTATTCTTCAGAGTTTGCCACCCGAGTTCAACTTGGGACAACTCATAAGCGTTTGTTGACTTTAGTTTTGAATTTTATAAGTCCACATCAGTAAAAAGATTGGCCGAATGGCCAACCTATGCTGACTCAAAATGATGTCTTATATTTTTCTAATCAAGCTTTTGCAGAATCCAGAAAACCCAGGCTTATATTTATCTCCTCCATTCTATTTTACATTTTTTCCCTTTTTTAGGGAAAATGTACGCGAGAAATTTATTAGCAGCCATCATAAACAAATACGTGAGATTTTAAGGTAAAAGGGCGCTGGCGCTTAATGATATTTAAACTATATTTAAATGTTATCTTCTAATTTGATTGAGGAAATTTGTGACCCAGTCTATAATTTGGATACGAATGGATCCTAACAATGTCTTTCCGATGTAATACTTTAATATGGTCAATAAGAATACAAATAAAACATACAGAACCATCAAATCCGACCAATAATGCGACCAAAGTATAATGCGGTAACTCAGTTGTCAACGATTTCTCTACTTTATATTACAGTAAACCAAATAAAATAACAAGTTGCAGTTCCATTATTTAATAGTAAAGTATGGCATAACTTCGCAAAAAAAGGGCGTTCAATATCTAGTAGAAACTGCATTTCTTGTATAAACAGTCGCAAGTTAGGAGAAATATTCAACTGTTGATAAAGTACCTTAACGAGACTTGTGAAACACAATGATTCTGTTCCGAGGACGGATCATTTGTTGAGGCTACTGGAGAGAAAATGCTGGATTTCACTGTGCCAACTCCTAACCTTCCTTCGTTTGCAACTGTGCAAAGAGAATCGTGATCTTGTTCGCAATGTTCATTAGGGATGCAAGGATCACAGGCATGGCCATTAGATTTGGCATTCAACTTGGATATGAAGGCCTCCACTCTAAAGAAAAGAGCAGCAGCAATACCACTGGCCAATTCCTTGGTTTTAACAATGTGTAAGATGCAACATAGCAAATACAATGAAGAATTGATGCCTATCTGAGCAACCTGAAGGTCATTACAGAATGATTATAAGTATACATTTTAAATAAAAATATGAAAAACAAAAACGCAACTACCAATCATCCAAAAGGCAATGCAAAACAAAAATATTAGGGAGATGGGAACGTACATTGGTTTGCTCCTTCAAGGAGGGCAGAAGTACTGGAAATACTAAAAACTGTAACATAGAGTCAGTTATTAATCTTCCCATGTCAGGAACTCCAGCAGAAATCACATCACTGAAGTAGTACAAATCATCTTCAATCCGATCCACTGCAGTAAGAATGCGGGAGGCTGAATCAGAAGGTTCTGAGTTCCTGTCAAAGAAGGAAAACATTGGAAGTTAGAAAAGCAGAATTGGCACATTCGTATCAACACCAAATAGTGAATGCCCATATAGCTATTATGTGTTCTCTGAACTACTCTTCAATCAGCAAAGAATCTTACTTGGAAGATCTGGTTACCAGACTGTCCAATTCAATGCACTTCTTCAGAAAAAAATTAACCAAATTTGAGAAATAATCTGAAAGTGGAGGGCTGGAGATGTATTTGTTAACATGCTCATCTCCAACTGAAGCAAGAACATAGATGAAAAGAGCACAAGATTATATCATCAGTTTGTCATCCAAAAGTATGGAGATGAAAACAGACCAAACTAATTAAAGAGACTTATGCAACATACCATGATAGACATTAAGTGTCAAAGCACGTACAGCAATACGGACCATGCTCTCCCCATCTGAAGCAAAATCAATTGCTTTTGTGTACAAAGGAAAGGAAATTACTTTGTCCTAAATGAAAATACGAACTGGTTTGTTTAAAATGAAACAGGATAAAATAGAAAAGAAGAGACAAGCAGAGCAGAATAATGTCTGCAGCAAAATAATGCACTGCAAAGTCGTATATTTCTCCTTTATTCAGAACCTTCTTTCTAATCATTCTTAAACTGAATGGTTCCGCCTACTCAAAACTAAGAGGGGGTGCCGCCTACTACTAAAATCCCTTATCCACCGGCACTCGCAAAGAGGCAAAGGAAGTTAACACAACCTCAGATGCAAACCGCATTTTACCACAGTATCGAAATTAAGAAATAGAAGCTACCGCTTTGGCACGTTCTGGTGGTGATAAAATGAGCACAATAATGCGTGTATAAAATGAAACCAAAAGCAGATCCTGGCATTTTTTTCTCTGATACAAGCATCCAATATGAACGTCTGCAGACTTAACTTATTCCATGGCACTACAGAATAACTAAGACAACGATCTTATGTGGCATCCTTACCAACCAGAATGCACTACAACACCTCGTCTGAATCACTAAAGCTGTGCTTGTTCACAAACCAATAGCCTTACATATCCACTGCATAAAATATTCCGCATCAAGGTCTTCATCCTCAATGGGAAAGTTAAACTTCATCAATGATAAGTGGCGTTGGAGGGGCCCAGACTTATTGAATTTTTTATCCTTTTTCCCCACCCAACAGCATACAAAAGGTCAGTGAGTATTGTCTCTCATAAGTGGGAGCAAGCATGGTGATGCAACCGACAGTGGACACGCAAAAGATGTAATGGGCCAGTTGGGGGGAGGTCCATAAAGATGCATAAGAAGATAATAAAAATCAAAATAAAGAATATGAATCGGGTTCTAAACATAAAGAATAGTATGTCATTCCGCAGGAGAACATCAGATTTCACATTTTTGCAGGAAATTCATCTGGGCAGCCGACTTCTTCATCGGTTCTCTTTTCAGGTATGTTGCTGAAACTTGACTTTTCCCACAAATATGCTAGAGAAATCTATTTGAATTACTTCCAACATCTTTACAGCAGACCTTAGAATCTTGAATAGACATTAGAGACTAAATAGGTTGCTTAGATAATATAGATATGAACGAAACAGCAACCATTGGAGGAGAGTTTTCCCTTGTAACCTTTCACTGGTACTTCTAGTTACTGTAATGTATGGCAATTGGAGTGCATGACCTCCCCAAATATGACAAGAAAATCTTCAACTCCATACACGAGGATCACAGTTGCCATGGATACTTTACTGATCTCTGTGTTCACACTCACAGTGACACTTTTCTCATTACAAACCCTACTCCCCCACCTCCATCCAGTAGTCAAAGAGCCCCCATATTAATCTCATCATAGATACTTCGCATCATCTCACCATCCATCATCCATCATAGATAAGTACATGGATAGGTCCAGTTCATCAGATTTGAGCCTGGGCCCTCTCCTACGTTTTGCTCAATACTTATGTCAAACTCTTCACAATTACTCATGCAAATCTTACCCTCTCAACAATAATTTAGATACTCATCTTATAATGCATACAAAGTTTGAAAAACGGTTTTTTTGATGAGTCGTTACGTCTGAGAAGGCCAACAGTTACAGCCATTTCCATGTCAAACGTAACAAAACATTTACCTAAACTCGGTAGTACAAGCTCTGAGAATTTAAAGCACGTGAGACATCTCATATGTCAGCAACGTGTGGCACATATCAGTCGTTAAGTACCCAGAAGGGGCTCACCACAGAGCCATATTATTGTTCCTCAAATCAGTTAAAATAACTGAGAAATGCTGTGAATACTGAGGGGAGTATCAAGAATACCAGCATTCAGATAGTTCTGCATGAGACCTACTTTGTATGTCAATGGCTTATGCTTAACCCAGATTTTACCTGGCTGTCCTGGGGATCTTAGTCAAGCATAGGACCCCAAAAAAAGGGACTAGATAAGCAGAGACATCTCAGATGGTCATGGAGTTTGAATGATCCGTACAGGATATAGATGAAAAACAATGTGTGATTAATTTTCTAAATTTATACGTAAAGAAATGAAATTAGAATTTCCTTGTATTCTATGTTTACATACGTCTTCAAATAAGAGTTAAAATCCCCACCTGTTCATAAAGTACAGCACATTCATATTCCTCAAGAATTATTTTGAGGTGTTTATCTATTTGAGTTTTCTTGCAATCTCATTGACTCACTATCACAATTCTAGACCTACAAAATAAAATTCCTAGGAATGAAATATATGCATACACTCAATATTTCTATGTTACCCGGCTGTCCTGGGGATCTTCACTGTAAAATCCTAGATCCATACAGTAAAAAATATAAGACCAAGAGATTTCCTTAGCGGCCTTTTTTTAGCTTAAATAGTCCCATTGTCTTACCATATTTCTCTACTAATTGTAAGGACTCAAATTCTTACATCATAAATAAAAATCAATCAAAGGGTATTCATTTATTAGGTTAAAACCTTATTTTCCCATACCTTAAAATTTTGAAAGTTAATACTAATTCTGTAAAACATCACTTAGAAAACAATTCATCAGTCAGGCTTCTGATGGAAAGAAAAAGGAAAAACATGCATTTTTGGTGACTAAATATGATGAAGGGATGGACCTGCAGCGATATTGAATAAAAAATACTACTTACGATAACTTTTGAGGAAAATGTCGTCAGGATGACTTCAAGTTAATGGTGGACAACATAATTTAGTATTTCGGAGAACCAATGCATCTTTCAGATGGTGTACTCTTGTTTGGCCATCCGTGAGTCAGACCTATTCCCTGTCCAGTCCAATTAAAGACCGCCCCTTTTATGATGACTTCTATTATGAGTCAGACCTATTTCTGTGTCAATCTAATAGGGAAACACATGAAGGCCAACATGTTAAACTTGAACGAAAATTTAAATGTGCCTCTGTTGAGAAAATAAGATTGTGGCAAACGAATATGGAATTCAGCATCATGTTACAACGTCAAACTTACATCTTCTGTCTTCACAAGCAATGGGATTGTACTCCGGTTCAACTTTCCACTTATTGCCCTGAAAGGACAAGAAAAACAACTGTTGACTAAAGAGGTTGTTCTGTGGTTCAGAAATTTAAAGAGGAATGCTATGCTATAAGCTAAAGAAAAGGAAACAAGGCCAAGAAAGGCAGGAAAAAAATGAAAAGTTGATCAACAGTACGCAAACCTTAAAAAGGATATGTAATATGATAGAAGCTCCTCATTTTTGAAGTCAAATGTGTGCATTATGAGATGGTTAATATGTTCATTGCTGAAAATATAATCTGCAGAAGAAAGGCAACAAAATGTCATCACTTGGAATCGTAAATCAATTAAAAGTTTCAGAAAAGAGGCAAAACTACAATGCTCTCAACCAGATGCACAACATATCTAAGCTCTTCCATTTGCTTACTTACAAATAGCATGTTCACTTTTTAAGTTCTGGATCATTATGCTAATTGTCTGCAGCAACTGAAGCGGGACATCCTTAGTTCTATTTACTCTTAGTATACGAACAAATTCACCCATGAGTTGTCTCTCCATGAAAAACCTGCACAACAGCAATGCTTAGACTAAAAAAAGGTAATAATTCATGCAAAACCAACAAATATCAGTCATGAGCGAACTCACTCAAAAAAGGAAGGGTCATGCTGGTCACCATATGTAACTAGCTCTGCAAGCGATCTAAGAGCTTCAATGACGAAATCCTTCACGAGAGAATATCAAGTAAAAACATAATTTCACAAGCACGCACCTGTAAAAAATTCAATTCAACTAATCATTTACCTTGTTGATCTGATTCACAATTTGTATTCTTTGCAATTGATCAGAAATGTACCTGTAACAAAATCATGAAGTTTAGGGAAAAGTATAGAATTCGAATTATAGAGGGCAAAGGAAATGGTTCGCTCATGACAAGTGGAATAGCAAGAGAGAGAGCATAAGGATCAACAACGTAAAGGGAGGGGGAAAAAAAAGAATAATTACTCTAACATGGCTCTAACAGAGATAACATTATCTTTCACACAACATTACATTCGCTTGGATGAAGTGAAATTCAATTAAGCGTTCTGCACGCTTTCTGCAAAAAAAGTGAACAATGGTCGTTTTCTTAATGAATAGGAATTACAAATCACCTGGCACAAGTAGTGTGTTAACCTTCCTGAGAAGGAGATACTAAAGGAATGAGTTATTCAATATGAGCTTCAAAGAGATGCTCCCCTTCTTCCCCAGCCTTAGAATAATTAAGTACAGACAAGTTCCAAACTCGAACGTAGTTTTCCTATGGTCGCTCACCTTGTCAATTATATTCCCTGTCAAGGCCCCCAGCAACGATTTCATTTATATAAATAATTATTAATGCATTTACACTAATAAATATCCAATATCAATAACGACGGATAGCTTTTGTAATGATAATCTGATGCTCCAAAAAGTTTAAATAATAATACTCGACCAAACTTTAACAAGCATTGCTGATAATTTTTGTTCAATTTTTCCTTATATCAAATGTATGTGGACAACTTTTAAAATTTCTCTGAAAGTGATATTTAATAGTACAATTACGTGTACAGTGGTTTACGGTCTTAGAACTTAACAGAAAAAAAAGGGCACAGAAGAATGAGTCAATATGCCAAAACAGAGTAGAGATTCTACACCATGACCCATGAAAGCATTTTCGGAATATTGACATATCCAGTGCATGTTGAATATCCGAGATGCTTTAATACTGGGAACAAATGAAGATAAGTTCAAACTGAAAATCTTGAAGTTTGCATTTCCTTATGAACACTGGCTTTTCTATACTTCTATAAAATCGTGGTCGATGGTTTCTTCCCTCATACCCTTTGAAGACGGCTATCTTTAGCTTTTTCCGGGATTGTGTTTAGTTTGAATACAGATATGGTGATCAAAATTCGAGAATTTTCGGTTATTTCCCCATTTTTCCGGCACATATTTGCTGCTGAAATAGCAAACAAGGAATGCAGAGGGATCTTCAATTTCCAGCAATAAAAAATGAAAAAAAAAAATATTTTAGCTCTCAGGAAGCGTACATGAGTTGTTTGTCATTTTTTTTAGTTACTTCCAGTGACAATTACTGATAGCAGAGTTACTAAATCAACGGGTAATTTAATTGGTTTATGACAACATTTCTGACTCGGCCACAAAGAATTACTTAAAATCAAGTGTTCTACTTGGAGCACAATTGTGTCGTTCTTTTATTTTCAGGACATTCCACTTCCTTTAGCAACCAAATTCTCGGAGTAAGGGAAACCAAGAGAACGAACTAACAAGCAGAACTGCTCGCTACTGAAAGCAGAAGATTAAAGGGACCTCCAATTCAAAAATTCCCATCCACAGATATCCCGAATTACCGGAGCTCGTCCAGGGAGAAACGGTCTCTGGATCTCCAGAAAGAGAACCACATGACCCCAGCCGGAGACTAGACCGGCGCTGCTCCAAAACTCTACGGAGCGGTCAGCAGGTCCTCTCCTTGACCCTCCACGCCACCGCATCCGTGACCAGAAACCCACCGCCACCGGCCGATCCGAGCCGAACGGCTCACATCAGTCGCAGCGGCAGCGTCTACCCACTCCGGACCCCTTCCTCCTCAATTACTGCCCTCCTTTACCCCGCCTCCACCTTGTACTGGACACGCCGCCGCCGGCCGGCCTGGTCGCGGTGGAGAACAAGCTTCCCCGGAGAGGTGCTACGGAGTAGGAAGGAGGAACGAAGGCTCTAGCGAGAGAGAGAGAGAGAGAGAGAGAGAGAAGGCGCAAATCGGGATTCCGCCAGCATTTTTATTTAAATAATTCGTTGCTTATTACCTTCGTTACCGCAACTTCCAGGTTGTCCTGCCGCGGGGGTTCACGGCGGCCGCAACCGACACCCGCACATATCGGGTGCGGATTCAACAGTGCTCTGACCCTCCCTTCAATATCTCACTAACCTCTTCTTGCCTCGCTATTACAACGGAAAAAGGTCACTTAACACTTTATTAATTAATATCATTCAGGAGTTAATATCATTCATAAAAAAATATTTCATTCAGGAGTTAATGTTTCCAAATAGCATTTTTTTTTTAATTTTTGGGAAGCTTTACAAAAAAGGTTTTTAGTGTATGATTTCACCTTGCAAAATAGAAACATATCACATGAATAATACTATTTTTATGCATGGAAATAATTTATAAAATTATAATATCAAACTGAAGAGCATTATGCATAGAAATAAACTCACCATATAAAAAATATATTATGTTAGTGTATGAGGAGTTGAAACATGAATATATTAATGTGTGAGGACTTGCACACTAAAGAACAACATAATACCTCCACATCAATATGCCATACTACTACCAAGAGCTATGACATGGAACAATGTAGTATGTCAATATTAATCATTAAGATCACGGAAATAAGTTACAAAATTGAAACACCAAACCTAAGAATAGTATATGTAAAATAATTAAGTATGTTATGCAAAAGTGTCAAAAGTATCATTGATAATCTATAAAGTCATATGACAACATCAAAATATCAAAAATTTAGAAAATAAGATATTTTTCATAAAAAAATATTTCAAAAAATCAAGGATTAATTAAATATTGTGAGTCGACTCAAGGTCAACTAATTAAATCTTTGACTAATGAGTTTTTAGTCTCTACAAATAGCATATCTTACAAGCTTTCAAAGAAGATATCAAGTGATGCATCAACTTGGTCAATTTATATTCTAAATTGTATCTTTTAAAGCTAGTTCTTATAATAAGTACTAACGTGTCTAAGCATCCACTAACCCCTAAATGCTCACACAATCAATGAATGACTTGTTACAATTGCATTGATTATCTTTAAGTTAACTAGTTTCATGTTTGCAATCACTTAATGTGAGTGCTGATAATGAAATGAAAAGTAATACAATGCATTTGAATCTAGTATGGGAAAGATAGACATAAAAGCTATCATTTAACAATTTTTGCTGATCTCATGAATTCTCACTAGTATTTTTTGTGATAAAATAGAGGATATAAATCCTTGCCAAATGGATGTATGTTGAGAAAGGTAGAAGCACTATAAAAGAGTGTTTATTTTTTGTTGTTGGCAAGTGAGTTGACCCAAGTCAATTAGTCTAGCAAGTATATCTCATTTAATATGGTCTCAAATAATAGCTATTAAAATCCTAAGTAAAGTGCATTAATTACAAGCAACCAATTCATCCCCCCTCTACCCCTTCTAGCATGCCATCTATGTTATATGGGACCAATAATAAATATCTTTAGATCATAAAAAAAAACTTTAAAGTTTAGATGACAGAATTTAGTTTTGATTACTTTTTTGAATTGGAGAAAATAGAGCTTCAAGACCCAATTTGCTTGAATCCATCAAAACAATCTAAAGCTCATTTATTTATTTATGTAACTTGGAATCTAAAGTAATGACGTATCGTTTAGAGTAATTCAATATTGATGTCAGCACAAGATGAATGACAAGGCACATTGCAATCTACCCTGACACACCACTTTCAATCATTACTCTCCTCATAATCACCACATGTTGGCATCTTCCCACGTTTGAACTATAGGTCTATAACACATCAGACCTGTCAAACTAATTATGAATCATCACCCTAGCACCTCTCTCAAGATCTCATTAGTACCATCAGTCAACTTGAACCCATGAGAAGGTAATGATCTATATTCATAGGATTGAGCCTCTCTCCTCTCTCTCTCTCTCTCTCTCTCTCTCTCTCTCTCTCTCTCTCTCAATTTCTCTATTTCTTTCTCCCTCTCTATCTCTCTCTCTCCAAAAAAAAAAAGAAGCAGCCTACTTCTCTTCCCGTAATCATTAGCCCACTATACACAAAATCATAAGCAATTAGTGGAGGGTGAGGAAAGAGGGCCTCAAAAAAAAGAAAAAAAAGAAAAAAAGAGACAACCTACTTCTCTTCTCATAATCACTAGCCTAATGCTCCAAAGGGAATTACCCCTGTACACCAAATCATGGGCATTAGTGGAGGGTGAGGAAAGAGGCCCTCAAAAAAAAAAAAAAAAAAAAGAGAGAGAAAGAATAAAGAGAGAATAAGAGAAAAGAAAAGAGTTAAAAAGAGAGAGCAAGTCATTCCTCGTGGGGTGAAATGTCCCCTACCCATTTAGAGGAAGTATGACAGCTAATGGTACTCGCAAGATCTTGGCAAGAAGGACTAGACACATGCAATATTAGGAAGGCAAGTTTATATTTGGGCTTATTGTTATGCTCCAGTATAGTTCTATCCTCCTCAGTGCCCCAACAACTCTTTTCTCACCATTTTATATCATTTTATTTATTTCTTAGAACCACTTACTACAACAAACTCTTGTCATATAGGAACACCTCATGGCACACAACATAAAGGGTTATACTCCCTACTCCTGTTGAGTGAATCTTTCAACTTCATGAACTCAATGGTTCTTCCAACCTAATGTAAATCAACCACCTTCTTCAAACATTATGAGCGGAGTGAAGTCTCTCTCCACTATTGTCACATTCTCTCTTCAAAAGAGGTCTATAATCCTCCATCTCATCCTCGTCCTTTGTGCGGATGAGATCTCACTCATGTAACCTCATAATGAGGTGAAACTTTTAGCATTAAATTATTTTTTTTTACTTTAAATAAAATAAAATAAAATAAAAATTGGAATCTTTCATTAGGCACTATTTCTTGGTTATAATTTTAAAAAAAGTAGTTCAAAATTTTCAAATGTCAATGCTTCAATTTATCAACCAGTATGAACGTCAACCCTCACATTTTCTTTTTGTATCTTTGTGCAAGTGTAAGCTCATCTTGTATCTATCTTTTTACCTAAAACACTCCTTATTTCTATTTATATATCAACACTTTCAAGGTCAACAAATGAGCATATTTTATTTTGTGAAAAACACACAACGCTCATTCATTAGCACTTATTTTCAAACCCAAATATTGCACTTATTTATACATGTCATGCATTAATAAGTATTTTTGAACCATCAAAATGATTAAACTATAATATTTAAAAATAATTAATTTATATGCACCCTAATAGCCCAAGTACTCTTTTCACGTTCCAACTTCCCACAATATATGAGATGATTAGTACAGGAGCCTCACATTTATTTCTTTTAATATTTGCGTAATTAGTATTTAACGTTACAAATATTCTATTTAAAGATACAAAGTAGGCATTGCACATCTAATCAAAGCATGTTAGAACATGAAGGCATTGAATATAGTAAATAAAATAAATTTATATTTGGGGAAATGAAATTTAGTGATAAATCTCGATAAAATCAAATGTTTATTATACTAGCTCTCTCATGTGTCCCTAAATCTTCAAGCAGTATCACCCCTTCCTCCCCCTTCTACGTGTCCTTCCATTAGTTCTCCAATTATGAGGACTCATCCCTAAATATGACATGTTGTAGAGATCTAACCGAATTATCACTTTATTTAATGAAAAATTAATAATTTGGCTGAACCAGCCGACAACCCGCTTAAATGCGCCGTCTACGGGCAGCAATTACGACAAAGACGTAATTAAGATTAAAATAAATAAATTCAACCATTCGGATTCCATAGGCATCCCGTCCAAACGACGACGCGAAGCCATTCACTCGAAGCTAGATTCCCCGGCGCCATATCGCTCTGTCTAGGCCGAAGGGGAGTTGAGCAATACGGTGGGGCCCAGGTCAAGGATTACCGGGTCGTGGCGAATCTTGTCCATCTGATCCTGCGGCAAGGAGACCGTCACCGTCCGTCCCAGCGTACCCTCCTGCTCGGGCGGCGCCGGTAGGACCAGGATCAGCCCCTCCCCCTCGGCGGCGCCTACGTGGTAGGCCACGTGGGACGGGGCGGTGGCCTCGGCCCCGAACGCAGCGCTGTAGGAGAAGAGGTTGTCCAAGCAGGCGCAGGTCAACTCCGGCCCATACATTTGGAAGGCCTCCCCGTGGGTCTCAGTGGCGGGATCCCTGCGGGACTCCACCCAGTCGATCGTTGACCAGACCTCCTCCTCCTCCACGCCGTCCAGGTGGGCCCGGATTGCCTCCGCGGCGCCGCCCCACCCGCCGTCGGCGAGGTCGGCGGTGACGGCGGAGAAGTGGAGGGCGTTGCCGAAGAAGCCGTGGGGGAGCGGCGCGTCCAAGAGCTTCCGAATGTCCCGGCAGAGGGTCAGCGACTGCGGACCGCCGGAGGCGGTGGCGCTGCCCTTGAGGCGCCACCAGAAGAGGGCGGCGAGTGCGACGAAAGGGGCGGCGTCGGGGCAGGAGGGGCGGAGCTGGGCCAGGCAGCGGCGGACGCTCTGGTCGGAGAAGCGGAAGGTGGCGGTGGACATGGCGGCGGGGGCAGCGGCGCTGCTGGCCTTGCGGCGGAGGAGTTCGACGGAGGCGGTGGCGAGGTTGGGGGTGGGGCGGGCGCGGAGGGCCGGGGAGTGGAAGAATGGAGGGTGGACGATGCAGGCGCGACGGTGTGCGTCACCCCAGGCCTTCACTAGTAACGTGACGCACATGGGGTCCGCGTACATGTGGGCGCAGCTCAGCCCGATCGCCAACCCGCCGCACTCGAACTCGCTGATCTGCAGGATCACCAGAAACAAGTCAGATCGTTGACCGCCCCATCGTACGGCAACGAGTTCATCGTCATATCACACCCGTCCAAGCCCCCAATCGGAGCTCTCGAAAGCCATGAAACAAAACAGGAATGAAGAAAGAGAGGAAGAAGGAAACCCCATCCCTCTTAATGTTTCTCATTTAAGACTCTCCTCCCCCCCCATCTCTCTCTCTCTCTCCCCCTCCATTGAATGCACCCGTAGAGCGGCGCCCGCCCCCCCTCTCTTCCTTTATCTCGCTCGCTCTCTCCATTGAATGAATCTGTAGAGACAAGTCAGCTCGCCGCCCAAGAGCGGCGCTCCCTCTCTCTGTCACTCTCTGTCTCCATTGAGTGAATGAGTTGTAGAGACGGGTCAGCTCGCCGCCCAACAGGCGCTCTCCCTCTCTCTCTCTCGCTCTCCATTGAATGAATGAGTTGTAGAGACGGGCCAGCTCGCGTCTCTCTCTCTCCTCTTCCGCGGGGTACTGGTCAGAGAGAGGTGCTGCCCCGTCGAAGGGGGTAAGGGTCTACGAAGGAAGGGCGGTGCTCGTTAAAAAAGAGATGCTGTTGCTTCTGTCACTCACCTGGACGGTGAAGGGGGACCAGAGGAAGACGTCCTCCCCCGTGGTTTCCCACTGGGCGAGCTCCTTCTCCTCCTCCGGCGTGGCGGTGCGCCACCAGTCCTCCATCGTTCCCCTCACCTGCGCGTCCAGCACCCGCATGCCGGCGTCGTTGCACCGCACCACCCAGTTCCCGCCGGCCTCCGCCGGCCGCGTCAGCCGCCCCCCCACCGCCGGGTAGTGCACCAGCACCTCCGACAGGGACACCCTCAGCGGTTCCCTCCCCATGCCGGCGGCGGCGACGGCCGCTGCCGGGTAGTAGAAGACGAGGTGGAGGGAGTGGTGCGCCATCGCGTGGTCCAGCGTCGCCAGCGGGTATGTCTTCCCCGGCTTCACCGGAAGGCTCGCCGACAGCGTCGACTTGACCAGGACGTTCACCCGGTTCTTCTTCCCCTCCCTCGCCATGGCGGCTCTCTCTCTCTCTCTCTCTCTTCCGGCGACCGGGTGGGCGGAGGGAGTTACAAGAAGGGGAAGGAGATACATATAGAGAGACCCCGTGGGGCCCAGGCTTTAAAGAGAAGAGGCAGTGGTCGGTGGCAGATTGGTGACGGCGTTAAATGTAGCGCGGGGTACGTAGTAAGCCGAGGGGTACTCACCGCTGGCTCCGCTCTCCCGTGGGTGTGGATCGGACGGTTGGCGGTTGGAAGATCAGCGGCGGCGGGGCTAAGTGGGCCAATAAGTGGATCAATACGTAACCCAATAGCCCGCCCATTGACCCAAGAAGGATGGATCTGGCGAAGTGGATCTTATTGGCTGTGAGCAATTATCCCGCCCCAGGATCCATTTTCTTGCTCTATATTCCATTCTGCGCGCCGCCTTTACAAGTGCGTTGCTTGTGCCGCATGGTTCAGGTCAACGGACTCTACTTCTGTTATGGTTCAGGTCAACGGAATGAAGGAATGCTTAAGGTCAACGGGCTATCCTTTGATGGTTAAGATCAGCGGATATCCTTCTGTTAAGAGTACTGATATTGGGCCCCATAGGTCGGGATACGATTATTGGGCCTATTAATGTGAGCAGTCAGTCCAGTTAGCTTAAGGCTATCGGATCGAGCTATTTATACCCGTCACACGATCCGATAGCCAGGGACGGTGTATTCGAGGGTCACGAACCCTTACCTTAACAAAGTTTTTTTTTCTGTCTCTCTCGTTCCGGCGGCTCTCCTGATCGTTCCGGCGGTTGTGGCCTAGCCCAAGACGGGAGAAGCTCCGACATGGTATCAGAGCCTCAGGTGCATACTTTACAACCCTCTTCTCGAGCCGTCTGAGCTCCCTGCGCGTTGAGACAACGAGCGCTCTGCTTTTCTGTAGCTAGGATTGGAAGGTTCGCCTTTTGGTTGAGACCGCGAACCCTAACTCATGGCCGAGGCCCCTAGTCTATCTCCGGTGCCAGTGAGTGTACCAGAGGAGTATCCTAGGTGGTACGAGCTCCCTAAAATCCCTGACAAACATAGGTTCAACGGATTGAACCTATTACAATGGGGGGAATACGTGGAAATTACTTGGCCGGAGGGAATTAAACCACCTCAAGAGCGGTAGTCCGCATTGCCCGACAGATCCACGACATGTTGTATGGCGAGAGGCAGACGCCATCATTAAAGCGTGGTTGCTAGAAAATATGTCACCATCTATCAGCGACCACTTAGGATTCAGATCGTGAAGGACATATGAGAGAAAGCTCACTGTATGCACATGAAGCAGAACGATGAGAGAGAGATCTCACACCTCACCACCAAAGCTATGAACCTTACTCAAGGGAATAGAATGGTGATGGAGTACGCAGGTGAACTAGAAACCACTTGGATGGAGATCGATCACTATAGACCGGCCACCCATTTAGATTATGTTGAACGAACCTACATATTGAAAGATCACTTAGACAATTGGCCGATCAATTGTTGAATAGGGAAAGCGTTTCTTATTTTGAGGAAGTTGTGGCAATCATTAGGAGGGAAGAGAACATACTGACAATGTTGAGTAAAAATCAACAAGTTGATAACTCAGTATTGGCAGCAAAGAACATGACAGGATCATCTGTCAACACTAGCTGTGGTTCAGAATGGAAGAGTGAGACAAGCTCTTCACATTTTAGCAAAAGGAAAGAAGACCACAGCCCATAAAATGTAGTAGATCCAAAGGCAAATCTATGGTGCACATTCTGCCATAAAAGGAGACATACTAGTGACAATTATTGGAAATTACACATTAAGCCTTCGAGAGTAGGACAGGGGTACATGAGTGTATCTCCCTCTTACTCATTGGCAAGAAACTGGCCATGTCAGCTCCACCAAGGGAGAGGTGAGCTTGACACCTATACCTCAACCAACAAATTTGAAGGATGGGAAAATTAAAAGGCTCAATGAGGAGATTGTGAAGCGGTGGCAACTCATCACCTCAAGTTCCATAGCATCATCACCAGGCTCCTTGAGTAATTTTTCAATCTCCTACACTTCCCTCTCATTGAGTTTTTATTCTCCACATCCTACAACCATGTATCTGAAAGATAGAGATACATAGATCCTCGACTCAGGGGCTACAGACCATATGATTCCACTCAAAAAAATTTTACCTATGAAACATGTTTCAAGGGTAGACAAGTCCTAACTACATATGAGAAGCTTATATCCATATTTGACATAGGCTCTATAGACCTTCCAAGGATAGGAAAAATTCACCATGTTCTTCATGTGTCTTTATTATCGGTAAACCTGATTTTCCTTAGTAAATTTAGACAATCCATCAGTCATTACCTTTTAATTATTTTTAATGGGTGTGTTTCGTATGATAAGGAAACGGGATGGAGGATTGGACTTGCTGAGGAGAAGGGAGGCCTATACGAGGCATTGGCGGAACATAAAGAGAGCACCCAAGAGTGGCACAAGCAGTGGAGAAAACCCCACGAATGGCACCCAGGGGGAGCATGCATATTTTTGGTGTTTACATAAGGTTAAAGGGAGTAATGAGAAAGCTTAGGAAATTCTAAGCATATCCCTTACTGAATAACTAGGGTACTAATCATAAGGGGGTACTTAAATTTTGGGGATTTATCGACATAATCTGAACATAAATAGATTTATTGATAGTTGACTTATTTTATGGGATTGATAATTTTAAAACTCTATTATTGGAAAACACAGGGGTTTAGAAATAATTTGAAATATTTTATTGGGAGTTCAAATTGTAAAACATTCTAAATTTTTATTTACAATTTTTAGTTTACACATGATTAGAGTGTCAATGAGTTGGGTTGTCCAAAAGCCTAGTCCAGTGCTTTGAAGGGCTTGTTCCATGCTTCAGTAACTCCACCCAGTTAGTCCCCTTCCCTTTGATGACCCTCTCCTCCCTATAGCAGCCCCCTTTCCCTCTCCACCCAAATATGAATGGCCATTTGATGCCAAGTCTGTTTAAAAGTTCATTTTTAGGGGTTTTCTCGAGACTTGGGTGGAGTTTGAGTATTGTAAAATGTGCGTGGGCCACAATTGGACTTGCTCAGTGACAGGCGTGGCCCATTTGACAACCTACTTGTATTTTAGCATTTAATTCTTATCTCTTGTGTTGTATTGTGAACTCATATAAAAAAGCTGTACGTTAGGCTCAATTTTTATTTTTGTTGTATTGTATTTTGTATTAATAATTAGAACCTCACTGTCTAGTTTCCACATAAATTTTGACCAAAAAATTTGTAAAAAATAATGCCTTCATTCACTATTGAGGAATAATTCTTCACATAGTTGTAGAGAATGACCACCAAATTATGAACAAATACCGAGTTCTTTGGAATGTGACCCCTTGGGCTATTTGAAGGAGCAGAATAATCACATTTTTGGGCATGTGTGCTGTCTGCAGGGTAGAGTTTTCCATCTTATCTTCGCACTTGGGCAAAAGAGGGTAACGCTTTTTTGGTAATTCTGAGAGGGTTGATTCTAAAGTTTGGAAAACCATGCAAAGATGATAGTGCGACATGCACTGTTTTAGTGTTCTCTTATCTTGTGTTTAGGGGGCCTTATCCTTTTTTATGAGAGCTGATTAAAGATACGTGTATATATTTGTTTTTTTTTGGTTGGCTCTTGGCATTACCCACCATCCTAATAAAAAACCACAATACCGATTTGTAGTGTTCCTTCTGTTTTCAAGGTTCTCTATTTTTTGTTAAACCTAAGAGAAACATCTAGTATCCGGATTGTCATTGTTTCGTCGAGTTAATGCCTTTATGTTTCTTCTTCTGATTAGCCTAACAGTTTTCCTTTGTAGAATTCGTTCCTCTTTCTTTCCTTTTTATATTATCCTGAAATCATCTCATAGATTATTGTCGCAGGGTGGTGTCTCTTGCTGATCATTGGGTGCCACTAGATCTTGAGGTTTCATTCAATCTCCAATATCCTTGGAGCAATGAAAATGTATGTGCTTGCCGCTTCTTTAATTGTGAATATATATATATATATATCTTTTTTTGATGAATATATCTTTAACCATTAAAAGACTGTACTTGACAGAATACAAGCTAATGGCGGCGTACTCACAAACTTTGAAGTCCTCAGCTTCTTACGATCAAGAGGAGTGACAGTTGATCCCATGGGGTGCCTAGGTGCTGTCGCACCGTCTGAGTGCAAGGTATCTGTTCACAAAACGAACTTGTCTCCTCATCTTTGTTCTGTTGAATCTTATTATAGTCTTGTAAGCAGGTATTTGATTATCTTGTTCACACCGCGGCCTGCACTCAGACCAGAGAATCTATCAATGAATTTATGAAACAATCTGAGAAGTTCAAGCTTGCAAAGGCTGAGAAGCTTAATTTGATCAATATGAGACCATCAAATTCGGCAGAAACCTACTCGGTATTTTTTTTGGCTCACTGCCTTTCTGATCTCATCTTGCTTGACATTTGGATTTATTTTATTTTGTCAATGCAATCATTCAATTTTTTTGCTTCATCATCGTGATTTGTACACTTCTTTTGTGCGTTCTCTTAACATTTTCAATGCAATTTTAAATGACAGGATTATGATTTCATAGGAGATTTCTATTTTTTTTCATGCACCACTGACTATGTTTTGCGATAGCTGCATCTGGGCTAATGAAAGGCGTACTAAACTTAAACCTTTGAAATGTTTGGATGTTGTTGCTTTATTTTCCTACCACAGAACCTGTTTGCTGAACATTCAGGGCTAAAATCTTACGAGGATTACTGCAATAATGGAATATTTCAGTAATATCTTCAGAACCTGTTTGGATGTTGATTTATTACCGCATCCTGGTTTGTTGAGTCTTGACCTCTAGAAGTTGACCTTTGTCCTACCTGTAATAATACCTTGCTGAACATGATATTTTTACCCTTATGATGAAGACCTTAATGACCATTTGCTAACTGAGTGATTAGAATGCTAATTGTGATATAGACGACACACAAGCAGTTAATTTTCCTTGACATCGAGGATATAGTGGATGTACATTATTCTAGTTCTTCAAGAATCCTGAAACTGGATCTTATTTCTTCATGGGGCATCAAGATATCAGCATTTAGTAAACTGCGGGTTTTTCTCATTGGGAATTTATCTCTTACTTTCGTAATTCTGTATTTATTTTTTAAAAACCAAAATTCCGTAGTTAATGAATTATAAGAGGGATAGGAAGCATTCTTTGAGACTGAGAGCATGGTAACTTTGAGAAATGAATCATTTGTCCATTTTTCCATTAATAGAAATGATCGAGCAGTTGCCATTTTCTGGTCAGATCATTGAGCAGTGTGATGAGAGGATGGGTGAGGGCATCGAGGAGCTGGTGAAGGTGGTCGTTGGAATCCTACCACCACCACAGCCACAGCCCACAGAACAAGAAGATGAAGCGGATGGCTGAGAAAATTGGGGATTCATGCGTCCAGGCCCTTCCCAGTTAGCCATGCTTCACGTTTATTCTCTCCTCAGATTCTCATTTGATCTTTGAACAAATGGTGGTAAAAGTTTTGGGATTAAAACTCCACAAAATTGTTACTAGAAATTAGGTTGATATAAGAGGGCTTGTTACTAGTGACACCACTTTGCTAGATCTTTGCATACACCTCTGAAAATATTGGTCTCGATGATACTTCTTTCAAGGTAGGATCGAAGAGCAGTTGTGCATACTTAGTCAACTTTATTGATTTGATGAGATGTGAATTGGAGAGCAGACAGTCAACTTTATTGATGGGGCTATAGTTAGCTCATTTAGCAACAAATGGGCAGAAGAGGGCTCTAATTGAGTCCAAGGTCCCTCTCTCTCTCTCTCTCTCTCTCTCTCTCTACTGTAACAACCCCCTTGTCCTTGTCATAGATATGTTTGGAAGTGTTTGAGTTCAGTTTGCAGCCTTTAAAGAGATGTTGTACAGCTGCAAGAGTCAGCTTCTAAAAGTATTAGGTTGACCCTTCAAGTCTATGATATCTTGAGGAGTTGACCTTAAAGTTGAGTCTATCACTTGTAACCGACTCATAATGCCTTAAAGATTATAATGTGGGGGGTTTAAAACATGCCAAATTTTGATTAAAAGGTAGATCAGTTTTAATTGTGCTTTGAGTCAAAGAATAATCTCATTGTCATAATTTATCTCTTCAAATGAGTGAATCAAATTAATGAGTACCAAATTTATTACTTCCTTTATCATATATTTAGGGGTGAAAAATACTACTAAATCTTAAGTAAGAATGAAACATTCCTAAAGATTATGTTAGAAATGTGATCGAAACTTTGAGCATTAGTTTGATGTAATTGACTTTATAATTTCAAATAAATGAACTCTTTTAGTATCCTTAAGAATCATTCTAGAGATTATAAATAGTATTTTTGATATTCTTTACTAATGACTATTTGTAGTGATTATGATTTCAAAATTGATAATGGCTAATTGAGACAAAGTATTCCCAAGTCAGTTTTACAAGAACTCTTTGAAACATAAGGAATGAGCCTTAAACATGACAATACATATTACCCATAGATAGATGAGCAGACCTAATTAATAAATCAATGTTTAGAAACCTACATACATTTTTTCTTCTCTAATAGATTGGAAAAATAAAACAATTGGGTTTAATGGACAAAACGATATTGCAACAATAGTTTCCATACTTTGGTCAATGTTAAATTCTTTTAAGACCATTTATGGCCATGATTATCTAACTTTAGTTTGCTTTGGTAATCAAATAACAAAGGTAGCCTTGGTGAAGTGACAATTCTGAGAATGAGATAAAATTCTAGAATAATTGAAAATAACATTAAATAGATCAATCTAACAATGAGATGATGGCATAGATAGACAAAAAAAGAGTGCAAGTATTGATTCATTGGGACTAACTACTAACCTTTGAAGTCACTTAAGAATTCACAATCACAATATATCATTAATCTCTTGAAATTCCAACTTAAGAACACCTTATAAGTCTAATCTACTATAAGAGGGAAAGAGGATTGGTGAGTCACATGACAACTAGTGCTTGGGCCATTAAGTAAACTCTCTAGGAAGACTCAATGGGGGAAGGATATTAGGGTAAAGGAAAGACAAGGGAGGAAATCATGGAAGAGAGATAACCATGTCAAAAGGTCACTTGAGGGGGTGTTGACTCTTGTTTCAAAAGAAAGGTCAATCATCTATTCTCTTCCATTACTTATAGATGGGCCCATTCTCCACATATGATGTCTTATGACTTATTATTTCCTACTTAAAACCTGTGAAAAATATGAATACATAATCATACTATACTGAGGTTTAATAATCATTAATAAATGACATATAGTATGTTCAATAACATACCATCTTATTCACATGCTCTTGGCTGGGAAAAAATCACTGATTAGCATGCATATAACATTTCAAAATGGCAGAAAATAATATGTTTAAGAATTTTAAGGTTTGTTGTCAACCAAATCCGTGCCTAATCACAATTCTTTTAAAGTAAAATTTGTGGAGAGAGTGGTGGGTAGATAGATATATAGAACGTTTCTAGAGAGAGAGAGAGAGAGAGAGAGAGGACCTCAGAAGCGTCATCCATTGCGATCATTTTGAAAACGCTCTCCTCCGCCCAACCTAACCGCACCCGGTCTCACCCCTTCCAAGCTCGCGTAGGTAAGGAAACGAGATCGGCCGCCGTCCCTCGCTCTGCTCTCCCACCGACCCGACCGCCGCCGCTGACCCTCCGTCGGGGGCCGAGCTCGCCGCCATGGCCACCTTGTCCCTCCTCCCCCCGTCCACCTCGCTCAGATCGTCGTCCTCGTCGGCGCCTCCGGCGAGGCGAAGCCTGGTGGTGAGGGCGCAGTCGGCGCCGGTGCTGACGCAGGACGAGTTGAAGAAGCAGGCGGCCTCCAAGGCCGTGGAGTTCGTGAGCAGCGGGATGGTGCTCGGCCTCGGCACCGGCTCCACCGCCGCCTTCGTCGTCGCCGAGATCGGCGACCTCCTCGCCTCCGGCAAGCTCGGAGACATCGTCGGCGTCCCCACCTCCAAGCGCACCTACGAGCAGGCCCTCTCCCTCGGCATCCCCCTCTCCACCCTCGACGACCACCCCCACATCGACCTCGCCATCGACGGCGCCGACGAGGTCATCTCCGATCCCTCCTCGATCGATCGATCGATCTGCCAGTTCTCGAGCATCCGCTGATCCGATTTCTTCCTTCCCTCTCCGGTTGACGCATGCAGGTGGATCCCTTCCTCAACCTGGTAAAGGGCCGCGGGGGAGCGCTCCTGCGGGAGAAGATGGTGGAGGCGGCCTCCGACAAGTTCGTGGTGGTCGTCGACGACACGAAGCTGGTCGACGGGCTCGGCGGGAGCGGCCTAGCCATGCCCGTAGAGGTCGTCCAGTTCTGCTGGAAGTACAACCTGACCAGGTTGCAGGAACTCTTCAAGGAGGAGGGCTGCGAGGCCAAGCTGAGGCTCGACCCCGACGGGAAACCCTACGTCACCGACAATTCCAACTTCATTGTCGACCTCTACTTCTCCACGCCCATCCGCGACGCCTCCGCCGCCGGCCGGGAGATCTCCGCCTTCGAGGGCGTCGTCGAGCACGGCCTCTTCCTCGACATGGCCACCGAGGTCATCATCGCTGGCTCCGGCGGCGTCAGCATCAAGACCAAGTGACTTCCGCCGCCGCCGCCTCCTCCTTTCTCCTTCCTCTTCCAGATGCTGTTATTCGCCATGACAATCCAGAAATAAGCTCCCGTGTTCTTCACCCCAACACTAGATGGACCCCGGCGGACCGAGGACCGGCGGCGCCGCCGCTGGGGACCTTCTGAACGCCGCCGCAACGGTCTCTAGAAAGGCAGAGCTCCTCCGCGGCCATTAATGGCATCTCGTCGAACACCTCCGAGGCAGCCCGAGAAAATCTCCTCGGAAGCCATTCTCCCATGTGGAGATGGCGGCGCGGACAGCGTTCATCCATCCCGTTGACGGACAGCGGGAAAGGTTATTGGGTCAAAGATGGGCGATGGCTAAGTGCAGTAGGGGCATGAATAAACCGTCGTAAAGAAAATAATCTTATACCAAAGAACAGCGAGTGGTCAGCTCCGTCGCCACGGTCAACGGGATGATGCGTCAACAAGGAATCCACCGTTGACGAGGGCGGAGATTTGATGGTTGACCACCGCAACGGTCATAAAGTAGTCAAAAACCTTGATTCTTTGACCTCTGGAATCTTTGGAGCCATTCCTGCAAAATAACAGGATTCAATAAGATGCTAAATAACTTTTTGACGATTCTAGAGAGAGAGAGAGAGAGAGAGAGAGAGAGAGAGAGAGAGAGAGAGAGAGAGAGAGATTTTATTCGCCCCTGTAGCTTATTTACTCGAACAACACAATCAAATAGAGTACCTCAAAAATTCAAAAAAAATCATCGAAATTATTTGGCGGGTGGGGTGATGAACAGGTGATAGAAATGATGAAGATGCTGATGAAGTTGATGATTATCTAGACTGGGCAGGTTTATGAGATCTATATAATCAAGTAATCATTTATCACACCAAGCATGCAAAATTCTGTGAAAAATTACAACTGTTGATCACTGAAAATGGACGAAAACTGGGTTACAGAGCCCCAGAGATTAGAACAAACTCAGAAATTCAATCTCTCTCTCTCTCTCTCTCTCTCTCTCTCTCTCTCTCTCTCTCTCTCTCTCTCTCAAACCTGGTAGAAAAGGGCAAGGAATATGAGGCCAGTGCTCTATAAAATGCACATACATAAAAAACTGACGAATCGGAAATTCAAGCTCTCTCTCTCCCCACAGATTAGAACAAACTCAAAGCTTTAATCGACATAGAGAGAGAGAGAGAGAGAGAGAGAGAGAGAGAGAGAGAGAGAACCCAGCAAGGAAAGGGCAAGGAATATGATGCCAATGATCTATAAAATGCACATGCATAAAAAACTAACGAATTATTTCCAGCTCCAGCAAGATTCTTCAAAGGATTTAATTCATAACAAGGGCGAGGCAAATAATATAAATTTAATCATACTATCTGCAAGACCACAAAGAAAATTTACCACCAGGCCAGGCCTTGAGGAATCTCACGAACAGACGACGCAAGGCAGATTTGATCTCACCCACGAGTCACAAAGCATAGGAGGAGCTCTGATGATCCGATGAGCGTCGGAAATCCATCTCAACCTGGTGGATGGTCCACTGCATGCCTTCCAGTTTCTGCAAAACAATATCAGAGCTCTCATAGAACAGATACCCTAATTAGAAAAAAAAAAAAAAAAAAAAACCATCACGACGAGCAACCTTCACAATGTCATGGTACTCCATGGCGATCGCATCAAAATGAGGGTCAACGCCCTGATACTCGCGAAGGCGTGTCACCTGCAGGAGATAAATAGTTTCTAAGGCCAACCCTCTTCATTTCCACTGATGGGCCATCAATTCCATTCATAGGAACATATATTTTTCTGCGTGAAGATATAAATTCACCCAATTCGTTTATATAGAAAAGCATAGTTAAATAAATTAAAATCTGAAATTTTTAGAGAAGAGACATACAGCTTTGTTGTAAGCCACGGATGCTTCTGCTTTGGCCTCCACAAGATGTTCCCTGAAATAGCAAAGCTTGTTACTCTGGGGGATTCGAGACGCAGCAGCTTATGGACCGAGGGTGGCGGATGCCTTCCTACCGTACTCGGTGAAGAGCCGGCACAGAATCTTTATTGTAGGTGCTGCACAAGAGAAGGTATTCCAAACACCTGCCATGAAATCCAGCCAAATGAATGGCATTGAGGACATGAAACATTGGTCAAATTCCCTCCTCAAGAGGCAGTCATTGCATAATTTTCCATGAAACTTTAAGAACAGCAACAAAATATTTACAACTAGCATAGTCCAACATTACATTATCCGGGAGATAGTAGCGGTTTCAGGATTGCAGCATGCCATTTTTGGCAACTGGAGGCTAAAACTTTTGCTAATAGTGAACAGTAGGGACTGACTGGGGGGTGAACAAGGACGGCAGGCATTCTCTAGGAAGATTGGTGCAGCCGAACAGCTCTGGAGATGAAGTTCCAGAGCAGATAAATGGAGAAGGCGAGATTGTGGTAAAGATATATTTCTTGATGAATAAATTTTTGCGGGAATTATTGAACATAATTCTTATACTTGTAAGAAACTAGAAAAAAGACATAAGAATGGTAAAGTTCGGCATCCTAGAGGAGCCACTCATCATCCAACATATCCCAACTTACTAGAGCCGTCTTGCTTATGCACATAAGGTGCATCCATATGTACGTAGGCATACTTATTCAACATAAATGACTGTTCCATTTCCCCCATCCGGACTCTATCCAATATCATAGCATGTGTTTATCAAGCTCTTATATGTTCTTTAACAAGCTATGTTGAATGGTCGTCAGCCTTATCTCTTATTCTTGGTATCCATCTCATCTCTTTAGCAGAGATTTTTTCCTTTTTTGTTCATAACCTCTTGTTAGAAGCAGAGCCAGCCTACAATCATCAGGAGCCAATAACGAACAGAGAAAATAAAATAAAATAAAAAGATTAACAAAACCGGCACAGTTTTTCAAATGGTCAACATTTTCGCAGTTAGCAACAGTATAAAGCCCTAAAAATTGGGAATGAAATGGCAAACAAGGACAAAACAGCAGATTCCGCCCTTTGCGAACCTTTTACAGCTTCCGGATCACATGACGAACTTAACAATAATACAGAAGAAGCTAAAAATCGTAGGCAACCAAAAAAAAAAGGATTGAGGAAAACCTCAATTTGGCATTTAGTGTTTGGCACCGTTTGCATAACCAGTCTTTCCTCAGTTCGTCCTACATCATCCAGAGGAAAGAAGAATTAATCACATAAATTAAAAGAATTAAGGCAAAGGCAAGAGCCTTAAAATATATATCTAGAATAAATCCTCAGAAATAAAATTTGGCCACCATCTTAGTTAAGAAACTTTATTTGTGTATCAAAGAATATAAAAATTATACAATCCAATAAAGCATTTAATTCATAAGCTTACGAGCTTATGTTGATGTTGCAGCTTTAAATCCTTGACGAACTTTACAAGCACACTCAGTATTTGCTCCAGAACCTTGTTGAACAAATAAGTGAGTTCGCTAGGGTATCAAAAACACGGGGAGAGCTGGAAATTTGTAATCGGTTATTCAGAAACATACACTGTAATGTTCTGCAAACTTCCTATCCATTGAATATAGATCTTGCAACAAAAATGTCTCTTCCCTTTCAATCTCCTCGGTGATCAACTTTACCCTGATGAAGTCGGATAAAAATCTATCATAAGACAGGTGGTGTTGAAAACATAATTAACAAAGTGAAAGTAATGGTAAAGGAACAAAGTTCTGAAACCTACACGGAACCAAAGCGTGAACTCATGTATAACCATGTAACTAGGATATCTTCTATACCAAGGATATTGATGGCTTTTCTGCCTCATATAAATTTTTTGATCTACATTGAAAAAAGTGAGTCAGAAATTCCAGCACTAGAGGTATCTATCTCCTTGACTCTTCAATTTGGGTAGAGGTATCCATATTTGAAATCTTTTCGTGGTGTAGGAAGCAGGAACAATCAATTAACCACTTTATCTTCAACCACTTCAGCTACAATAGGAATGACCTTTCCATGATGGCATACACTAGATGCATGACGTCAGCATTACTCGAAAAAGTACCACACAGTGTGCTAATGATATGTTTCAGGGTCAAAACGAAGCATGTCAATCAAATTTATCACATCTGTGGGGAACCTTTCTACAGCGATGGCATAGGTGATTATGTGAAAGACTCGAGTAAAGGAAAGGCTAAGGCAATATACTCAAAGTTACAATTACATAAATAAGAACAGGCAAATTCGAAGAAAAACGTAAATCAAAAACTGCCTTGTTGAACCGCTAAAGAGGAAACCAGTTCTGGATCTTGTGAGAAAGATCTGGAGAAAAAACCAGCTCACGATTGCTAAGTCCCACCCTCAAACTACCATAGAAATCTATCAATGACGGCTTCCTTAAAGCAGAATGAAACAGGTCTCCAGTAACTCTTCGAATCAAACCATTGGTAAGAGAGTTGGCTACTTGGTTTCCAGAGAAAAGGTATGATGACCAACGTCTCTCAACAGATACGTTTACTGTGATTATGATGAATCAGATCACTTGCATTGTTGATACCACCCTAGTAATCAAAGAGTTACTACAAGTTCTTTCTTCCCAACGGTTTGAGAAGGATATTCAACCATAGAAACTTCATTACAGTGTATCATGGATCTATATTTAGCATCAGTATAGACTATGCATATATTATTGATCTTCCCAGCAACAGCAAATAAATACTTTTGTTTTCCCTGAGAGAACTCTTGAAACTCATTGAAAAAGTTCAATAAACGTGGTAGTTCTGAGAAACCCGGCAATCTACATTCCACCTTTCTGGCTAGTTTAGTAGATTCAAAGGCACATTTCTATTGAAAAATAGAAATTACCTACATAGAACGCCACATTTCGGCAAAGAAAGATTCTAAAAAAGGAGGATCTTCCACCTCAGCTGAATTCCTTTCTTATGCTCCAGAGATAATCATATCAACACACAAAAAGAAATACTTGACAATGAGACTGTAACAAAAATTGCGTTAGGTGCAGCTGAACTGACTCATAGAGAGCGTAAAACATGTGAAACTGGTACATTATATGATGGCAATCACTAATCCTACGGACCTTTAGAAAATATTAACCTAATCGGAGTTGATCAGAACAGCTGTTCAGGGTTCTCAAATAACTGAAAATTTCAAATTAACAGATAATTTTCAGCTCTGGTTTATTTTCTACACAGATACCAACAACTTACTGAACCAATCTGAAACAGAAAGAAATAACAGCAAGCAAAACAGTGCAACAGCCAAGTGAACTCCTACTCGTTACTATAAAGAAGTAAATCCAGATGTAAAAGGCCTCACAGGGTAATTAATTTCTGATATTGATGGATTTAACAGAGACAGCAGAATCATCATTTATGCCCGTAGATTCACTAATGTTAAATGCATACATGATTCCTGAGTTTAACTTCATTTAATATTATTTAATCAGATGATACACAAATTATTCAACGACGACATATAGAAAGGCCCTAAAAACACAGTTATTCAAGAAATGAGATTCAAAAGACTGATACAAATAAAATAAAATAAATTTAAATTTCTTTGGCTATCTTCATGAACCGAAACTATGAAAGGAGATTAAGAATAATCGCTAGAGAACAGAAAGCAGCATTGGATGATCCCAGAATATTAAAAACATATGACTGTCAGACCGAAATATGCTACATAAGACTGATATACGTGTAACCGGTTCTAAAGAGGAATATAATTATGAAAAGAGAAATACACTGGTAAAATCTGAAGTGTACCTCTCTGGAAGCCGGGCATTAGGGATGTGGCTAAGAGAAGAAGAATCTACAGAATGGGCAAATAACATCAGATACAAAAAAGGAAAATGGAAAACATTTAATTTTATTTCAAGTGTTCACCATACCGATTTCGACAGTGGCAAATATGTCAGCCAGTTTATCACATTTGGCCTCTAGCCGGCCCTCCATCTCACTAGAAATGGACCTCTGGTAATGTGTCTCATCCTACAGCAATACAACCAAAGTCAGCAGGTCATAGCAGAGTTCTATAAGCTATTCAATTGTCATGAATCACAAAAAAAAATGATCAACAAGTATAAAGCATATAACCACAAAAAACCACTTGATTCTTGTCTCCAGCATCCCAAGATAAGCTCCTCAGAATGTCTTTCAAACAATGGCCACATTAAACAAGAGACATACCAAAGAGATAGGAGCCTTCTGCAGTTGAACCTTCCATAAGAAATCTGACGTAATCCCAAGGAAATGATTTGGCACGCCACCAACTCCAGGCTCAGGAAGATTAGAAATATTGGATTGAATCACAGTGTTAGGCAAACCACTGCTGATATTTGTGATATTAGCATAGCCTGTTGAGTTGGAGGCCGAGTTAACTTTAGCACCAGTGGTATCAGAAGAGCCTCTTGACATTGTAATCAACTTTTCAATCTCTTCTTCATGAATGTCACCGTCTTTTGAAACAAGAGGGAGTCTCAATCGTTGAGCTGCCTCAGCAACAACTAATCGGTGATCAAGGGATTCATAGACCTACATCACAAATTTATAATATTTCAATTGCCTTGTAGAAGTCCGAGAGAACTTCATTGACTGCGACATTAGTTTTGTGTGCTTAATATAAATTCATCAATGACCATATTTTGTATCAACAAGCTGAGAGAGAGAGAGAGATAGACAGATAGATAGATAGAGAGAGGGAGAGAGAGCAAATGGGATCCTAGAAGGGTGAATGGTGAACCTCAGAATCCACAGAGCCCACTCCAGATCACCATCTTCATATTATCTTACTTGGTGATAGAAAATACAGATAAGGATTACTGATGCTAAAAGTCAATAATTCTATCACTCATCATACCTCATAATAAATTATTAATCTATACTTTCTGTATGCTCTCTTCTATAAGTAAAAACTCTTCGAGTAAAAAAAAGTTACTTTATACATTTTTATCTTTTCAGTATTGTCCCGTTGCAGCCCGTCTGAACTTTATGTCATTCTGGAAAAACTTGGGGTTTACCTGCGAGATTAAATATCTTTGGATGTGAACCAATGACTGTCACCAGATGCCAATTATTCCTCCAAGGTTTTGGTGGACTTCTACTGGGAAATTAGAACTGCTTTTCCGAAAAAACTAAGCAAATCACATTAAAAATATAGTCATCTTCAGGATTTCTCGCACTTCAACTTATGACTTATTGATTAGATTTCATTTTTTTAATATTCGGACAATTCTCATACTCTTTTACAACCGTACAAACATGATTATAATCACTTGAGTCAAGAAAAATTATTTTGAAATTCTGTTCCTTTCCGACAGTTAATCAAATTAAGAAATAAATTCATCAAAAAGTAACTAGATTTTTTTCCTTTCCGAAAATTCTAAGATTGGTTTATAAAATGAATTTTGATATAGTGTGATCTGTTCCAAACACCTAATTTATCTTTAGAACATTAGAAGCTCTTGAAAATGAGAACTGGGGGTGTTTGCTAGATTAGAGTAGTGGAAAAAATTTAGTATCATGAAATTCAAGCGAACACAAAAGATCTTGAACAAACTCGAATAGACTCTCATTTGAGTCATGTCTATGGTCACATCTACCATGATGCAAGCATGACTTTCACGGATACCTAAATCCAAAGGCAACAAGAACACACAACAGTGAATCCAACTCCAATGGGTAGAATCAATCAGTTCAAGAGAGCAAACTATATTATCAAATCATGTAATAGACCTTTTGAAACTGTGGCAGACAGAAACCCGATACCATAGAGTTACCAACATTTATCATGGTTCAGAAATGCTTGCATTAGCAGCAAACCCATTTGAAACTATGCTCATTGTAATAGAAAAAAAGTACCGCGTGTGCATAGCTCATGAATAATTTAAATACAGTTACAATTTTTACTTACACCTTTCTTCTTCAACGGCAAGTATAACCCTTGGAAGAAATGTAGACTTGAAGATTACAGAACACCCGCTGCCCACGCATAATAATTTCAAGCATGCACAAGTTCGAAAAGACATGACTACTACCTGAGGTGGAGAACATAGTCAACCGTGCCACATTGGAGAATTGCTTTATTTTCTAGTTCAACAGAAAAGATGTGGCTTCTTCAATTACTCATTAATTTTCTACAAGTTTTTTAATTATGCTGTGATATCAAACTATACATACAACCTTCCAATACAACAAGGAAGGCCAGATCCCATGAGAACACACAGGCCTCTCTCCGAAAATTGCGGATCAATGCAGAGGTATAACAAATAACTACTAGATGATGAATTTTAACCACAAAGTTGTACATCAGAGAGATGGGTTCCTTGAAGATGACACGAGCTACAGTCCCAAAATTATAAAATCAATGCAGTGGTAAAATGAATAGCTAGCGATAACATTTCACGTAATGAGTTTTAAATCAGATGTCGGACCTGGGGGGTGCACATCATCCCAAGAAGACGTGGGTGGTGACCCTGAGCCTCTCTGGTTCCTCCGACGTTTGCACTTGCCAATGATTGCTGGTATTCTTCCACCATCGCTATTGCCTCAATGTATAGAGTCTGAACAAAGTTAAAACATCAAAATAAAGAGAAAAAATGAGAGTGAGGAAAGGGAAGAGCGCGGGGATGAATGATCTGAGCCTAGTTAAACGACCAACGAAGTCATAAATCAAGTTTAATAACTGAAAAAGGCTATGCTTTATAGAATATACCCTCAAAACCAATTATCTTCCATGACATTGTACTGTTATTTAGGAAAGGCCTCAACAAAATATTCACGACCGAAACCTACCAAGGATTCCAAGTACCGCGTCCTCTCTCTCGACATCTCTTCTCTGGCCTAGAAAATATATGTAAAAAAAAAAACCATGTCCTTAAAACAGTGATTTTAGAGGAGAAGAAGGGATCGGCGGATTAACCAAGAGGGGAATATTACTTACGAGCTGAAGATCGGAGTAGGCAGATTTAGAGACGTAAGACCCATCAGGAGCAAGGCAGTGGCGTTCCAGCTGCTCTACCACCTGAATCAAGTCTGCACCCAGATGGTGGCTCTGCCCGGCCTTCGCCATCACCGGCGAAAGAACAGAGAGCAAGCTCGCTTTCCGTCCCCCTCCCCTTCCTTTTTCTTCCTCTTCAGCCTCTCGCGGTTTGAAAATTTTCGAAACGGTTTGAACCGGCGACGGACGGCGTCCGGTCGATTCATACTGGTTTAATTGTACACTTTGCGTTGGACCGGGTCGACCTACTCACTCTCTCTCTCTCTCTCTCTCTCTCTCTCTCTCTTCCCACCTCCTCATTCAAAACCGGACAGAAAAGTCTATGAAATCGGTGCACTTTTATATTTTTTAAGAGTATAGATCTATAAAAAATTAAAATATGACGTGGAAAAAAATTACTTAAAATGCAATACGTTTAAAAAAAATGAAATAAAGATGGAAAGAATGTTCCAATGGGATCATTTTGATCAATTTAGATGATAATAAATAAATAAATAAACCCATTCATAAATATTTTATTTTATCACACCCTCATTACTATTTCCACGCATTATCCTTTTTTATAATATCTTTATGTAAAAATGATTATTACTTTGTTTGGTCAATTAATCTCTATCCATATAATAATTAACTAAAAAATAGTAATTAATTTTATTAGATATCAAAATTAATTATTTCGATATAATTACTGCTGAATAATGGTTCGTTACTTAGGACAAACTAGATAATTCTGGGATTTGGAAGTTACTTCCTATTTTATTTTATTTTTTATATAGTTTGTAAAATATAGCGGGCCGAGTGCGGGCTTTTGTAAAGCCCGGCCCATGAAAACTTAGTACCAGTCACTTTTCCTGTGGTGAGAATAAGGAGCTGATAATAAAGTGGTGAGAATAAGAAAGGAGACACTTCGCCGGAGGAAGACGCCACGCCGGAGGGGACGGGTTTATGGGGGCGGTAGAAATCTTGGAGCCCTTCGAGCTCCACTTTGCCGACCTTCTCCTCCTCTCATGCTCCTCTCCCGCGGTTTCGCCGCCGCCGGAGACGGAGAGGCTGGAGTCCGTCTCCGGCGGGGTGATGGCAGCACTGGGGCCCTCCGGCCCCGGCCTTCTCTGCGTCACCGGCGTACCTGCGGTGCCCGCCCTGCGCCGCGCACTCCTCCCTCTCGCCCAGAAGCTCGCCCTCCTGGATGGGGCCGAGCGTGCTCGGATCCTCAAGGTGAGTCCGTGGATGTTCTATCTGGTTCGTGTTGAGAGCGGTCTTCCTGAAGCTCATTGCGGGGCTCGTGTAATTGGTTGATGGAGCATTTGTGACGGCGTTGTTCTGTTCTAGGGATTGTAACCTGAGAAATTGAACTGAGGCCAACGGATTTTGATCTGTACAATGATTTGAAATGCTTGTCATGTCATCTCATGGAGGTTTTCTGAGTGGAATTTGAGAGAAACACTGGTTGCTTTCAATTATTTCCGTAGAGCTGTCATGTGAGCGGCTTGTCCGGCCCTAATGTGCGACGTCTCAAGTTCCTTTTCCTTGTGGTAGATTGCCTTCAGATCATAAACCTAAGATAACGTTAATCCTATCTGTTGTATGAGCTTTGCAGAGCCATGGCTTGGGGAGTGATGTTCCTTTGAAGAATCCCGATAGAACCGTCTCCTCGTTTGCTAAGCAGTTGAAGTACATGGGGCATCCGACCTTGCCATGGACCTCAAATCTGCCTGAACATGGCTACGACAATGGTAATTTATCGAAGGAAAATGCCATAGAGGACGAACAGGAGCTTCGTGATCCTGGGTTCGAACAACTTGGGAATACTTTCAACCTGCTGGGCTCCTGCATGATGGAAGTCGGGCTGCAGGTTGCACGACTATGCGACAGGAAAACAGGTGGTCAAGAGTTGGAATCCAGCTTATTGGATTCCGGCACTGCTAAAGGACGCCTCATACACTACCACTCAAAATTGGATAACCTGATCATCAGAGAACCTAAGGGAAGATCAAACGGTTCGAGTAGGAGACCCACTGCGTCCCATACTGCTTTTCCTCAAGAATTCGGAATTCTGACGACTCTAAGTCCAGGAACAGAGCTACAGCGGGAGACGAAAAGTTCAGACATCTTGAATGTATCCAGGACTTCCTTGGCGGACTTGTGGCAGCAGTGGCACTATGACTATGGGATTTTTACTGTGCTAACAGCTCCAATGTTCTTGATGGCATACGATGTGAACGGCCCCCACCACATCTCCGGCAGCAATGAGTGCAGCCCCCCAGATGGGCATACATGCTTGCAGTTATTTGACAATGTCAGGGATAGGATTCTCATGGTGAAAGCTCCGCCAGAGAGTTTCATCGTTCAGGTGGGAGAGTCAGCTGATATCCTATCAAAAGGCAAGCTTCGCTCCACACTTCACTCTGTCATTAGACCTGGATTAGGTGATTTGTGCAGGGAGACCTTCGTTGTCTTCTTGCAACCTGCTTGGGACAAAATTCTCTGTATCTCCAACAACAGTGTAGCATCCACAAGGCAAGAAGTGTCGACACCCACTGAGGCTATATGTGGGGATCATGATGAGGAGAAGGAATCGAAGAGTGGCCGGCAGGGGGAAATCGTCAGGGCAGTACCTCCGCTCTGCTCTCGGTTGAGAGATGGTATGACATTTGCAGAGTTTTCCCGGGAGACTACCAGACAGTATTATGGTGGGGGTGGCACTCAATCCAGGAGATGAATGAATTCTCTCTGCACAGACACACAAGAGCTCTGCGTCTGAACCATGCCGAAGTTTATTCAAACCACAACACCGGATGGTAGGTGTCTATGTGGTTTATGTGCTTGGTAGGAATCAGATCATCATCAGGCTGGATCAAATTTTGCTGATAGGGAATCGGATCAAATGGGCTAGGTCGAACAGTTATTGACATCAAATTGGCTGCATGAAATTCGATCAACTGATCCTGATTCTGATTGGCCGATTGTATGCTCTGTGCCTCATATAACGATAGTATCTCTCTGCAGAACCAGCTTGGGCGTGTGCCTTCTGCGTTTGAGCACCTCTTGGAACGGTGGGAGTAGCTGAAGTAGTCGATTTGCTAGTTTCTCTACAATTTTTTGGGCTTCAAAAAAGACCAAGTGTATCCAATATTACAACCTGACAGAATCGCAGTTTGCAATTTTGTTTCTCTCTGGAGTGCAGCTCTCCTTTGACCTCTAGGAGTCGATAAAGACAAGAGAAGCTGGAAGGAGAGGCCATCATATCTGACCCTGCACTGATCAAGGCACAGAGAGAGAGAGAGAGTAGAGCAGAGGAGGAGGGAATCAAGAGTAAAGGAACTACTCAACTGGAGTCTACCATTTCATCCATTCTTTGGGTGTCTCACTACAAAAACACCTCGCATATGTATTCATCTGGCCATCTGACTGGGGACAGTAAGAAGAACTTATACTAACTTTGTACCTCAGTGAAGAACACAGCCTTCTTAAACTCTTCAAAACCTTTTTATGGTCATTCAAATCAGAAAACATAACTATTTCATGAAAATTAACTCAAGAGAGCAATTATTTGGTCACTGTTCTATAGTTTTTTTTCCAAATAATCATGCAAAGACAATATTTGTGGGAACTGTCCAATTAAATATAGCCTCTACCTTATTGTTATCAACATGAACTTTATTTTCATTTATGACATGACACAGAAAACTACCTTATGCTATGTTGAAACCAACCTTAATCATCTTTTATGCTTGTGTCATCCAGATTGAACATAGTTTTCCTTTTACTTTAGAGTAACTCTGATTTTGATGTTGACAAGAAAGAATTAAGATTTAGTTGTCCTTGTTTGCCATATAATATTATTATTATCAGAAGATATCAAACTGATGATAAATCTCCATGTTAATCCTTGTAAGAGTCCTTCAAGAAATTTCGCTTGTATGATTCATGCACTTTATTTGAGCATTTTACTTTCCATTACAAGAGACAACAAAAATGACTAAAATATCATAAATGAGAACTACTTGAGTTAATTGTGAAGCCAAGGCCACTTTACAAATAATGCTAGTACCAATGAACTCAAGGCCACTTTATCTGAGGATTTTACAAGGAATAATTTGGTTACTTAGGCCAATTCCTTGTGGTTTATTGACACCTTTCCCATGTAGGATGAAATATTATCATTTTTTTTGCTTCTACTTTATGCAATTGTACTAAGAACACTCTTGTAGTGTTATTTATTCAACTACTAGCTCATGAGTATTATTTTCTCAATATATAAAATTTCACTATCAAATCATAGAGGCCCTTGACTCTTTTCTGCAACTTTCCAAGGGAAGATTTTGAGTTCCTATACTATTTTCAAACCCTATAAGTCAACATTGATCTCCTAAATTTAACTTTGAATCATTAGCCATCATTAAGCTGTTCATCTACTTAGTTCTGCTTTCTAATCAATTACTAGGTAAATATGCATGTAAAGTTTATATAACTCGAATTAGGTCATTTTCTCCCTTATATAGTACTTTGCTGAAAATAATCTACTCAAGTAATCAAGTCTCTTCCTATGCGAGTGCCCTAAGATTCAATGGCAGTAACTACTAGATAAATCTCTAGAAGCATACCATTGAGATAGAATTTGACCTTAATATCATCTAAAACACTCTGAAATTTAATAAATAAGCTCCCAAGATTTAGAAAGATATCACTTCTTAATCTTGATGATCTTTCCCTAGATCATTCAAATTTGTTAAAGCAAAGTATAACCTTTAGGCCACAAATTAAGTGTTTCTAAATGAACTTTGTATCATCCTCCTAACATAGGATTGGTACCATTAGAGATAAAAACCCATATAACAATCAACCATTCTTTGAGTTATATGAGTTCTCTAAAAGTACCTGAGACTTCTTCAAATGACAGAACTTATTAGTCCCAAGAGGGGTGATTAATTATTTTTAAATAAATCATATTTCGTCTTGGGTTTTAGATAGTTTTATTTAAACCTTGCTAAGTGGGTTGACACATAGTCAACATATATTGAGTAAAGTAAACACACTATGTTGACACATCGAATGATAATTAGAGACATAATGTATGGTTTTGGCTTATAGTACAATGTTCTCTACCCTGTATCTGCTTGTCAAGGGTTTGGTTATTTTCTCTTGGAGAATAATAGTTGATATTCACAAAATCAATAAAATATCTTCATGTTAGACAGAACCCACTAACTTATTTATTTTCATTATTACTACCACTTTCAAGAGTGACTTCACTTAAAAATAATAATAAGAGACTAAGAAATCAATCTCAATATTGAGATATTGAAACTTCCTTGGTTTTTTTTATATTTAAACGTCTAAAAAATATTTTTTCATAAAACATTTACCATCGTTTTTATTTTATTTTTTAAAACTAGTTATTGCATCATAATACTTAATCCAATTCAGCTTCTTAGACTATCTCATGAATCCACTACCTCTGGGTAACAACAAGCTCTTGCCCATTTAAGTACACACTTATGAACTAATTTGAGCAGATAGAACCTCCTATTAGCATCATCATCGCGTGATGATTTTAAGATTTTCCTCAATCCGCTTAGAACCCTCAATTAGATTTCTCTATGTGTAATATCTAAGATGCCTTTATGGAAAATGTTATATATATATATATTCCATTTGATACATATAGGTTCTCAACCTAAGAATGTAGTACGTTCTCAACGTTATGGCCTCATTTTGTCGTGAAGCGTGTTTTCCCGCTCTCTGTGCCCGTAGCGGACGAAAAGAGGAGGCCACGAGCGGCTCGTTAATCGGCGACTTATAGGCAGGCCAAGTCAACTGCCACATTGGATTCTTTCTCCACGTGACGAGGAGATTTCTTACGATATTCCCATCTGGACTGGGCGTCGCCTCTCCTGTCCTCTTCCGGTGTTCTTGCACTGTACTAGTGGTCCATACCCGATAGGCGATCTTCCGGATTGTACTCTACTAGCCAGATCCCGGTCCGGTGAAAACCTGGCCGTCTGAACTGGACCGGGTCGGTTTTTCTTAATGGCGGTCACGAGTAACGGCTTCCCCGCGCAATTCACCGCAGGGTAGATCCTCAGACTCACGAGCACGTCGTGACACGTGGGCCCCATTGTTCTTGCCAAGTGTCCTCATTAATAGATCCATAATAATGACGTCAGCGTTTTATTAGAGCGGTTCGAAAAATCCATTTTTCCTATTACTAAAAAATACGTGTCCCCCTGGCCGGCCTAGCAGCCGTGTTTTGTGGGATGACGTGCGCTTCCCAAGACACTGGTGACGTGGTGGCCTAAGGAGGCGCAGTTGACACGTGTCTTCTTGCCTACTTTGCCGCCGCATTAAAGACATGGGGTTGGGTGTTGACCGTTTCCTAGACGGAATCGGAGGAAAAACGGCCGCAGCGCTGACGCCGTGAGGACAGCGGCGGCTTAATATTTATTATTATTAGTATTATTATTATTAATTATCATTATTAGCGAGTCTTAAATTGTTGTTAAAAATAATTAATTAATTAATTCTGTGATTGTTGATGGGGGAGGGTCAACTTCATATTTTATGACGTTGCGTTGGTATGGATGTAAAATTACAGTCTCCTCCCCGAGCCTTCTCTCTGCTTTAACCCTTTATGATTCAGCGGTGCTTCTTTACCGCACACCCTGCAACTGCTGTAAGAGAGAAAGAGAGAGAGAGAGAGAGCAGAGAGCAGAGAACAGAGAGAGCCGTATCTTCTGGTCCTCACCATTCGTCCAGCAGCGGGGATTAGAGAGAGAGAGAGAGGGAGAGGGAGAGGGGCGGCGTGCCTCTGCCTGGTCCACTCCACTCGGCTGCAGGGGCTACGGATAGGTTGGGAGGGAGGAGAGAGAAAGAGTGTAGTGGAGCAGAGAGAGAGGATACTGTCTCTTGGGGAGCCGGTTCCTTTCGTCGTCTCCTTCTCTGTACTGTCGAAATTGCGGAGAGGGAGAGAGAGAGAGAGAGAGAGGGAGGAAGGGAGGGAGGGAGCTTCTTTTGGTCGCCTCCTCCTCCACCGCTGCGGCATTAAATAATGGGGAGACAATAAAGCAGGGTTGGTGGGGACGGGAGCGGGTCGGGAGAAGAAAATCTTTCCCGCCCATGGCGACCCCGCTCGAAAGGAAGCCAAAAAGAGTGAGGAGGCTGTTGGTGCTGCTGCACCAGTGAAGAAGGGGAGTGAGGGGGTGAGGCCGCGGAGAGTGGTGAGAGGAGATGCAGAGGAGCCCCGAGGGCTCTCCGGCGTCCCTCCGACTCGGGAGAACGGGGCTGCGGCGGCGGAATGGACACGCCTCAGAGGGGGCAGCAGCATGCCGGGACGGCTCTCTCTCGAGTCGAGGTTAGTTGGTGCTGTTCCAGATTTCGCTGATCTTTTCTCTGTTTTCTCTCTCTGGATGGTTCCGATACCGATGAAGACTAGTGTCCGCTCTTTCCATCTTCTCTATCGTCCACCTTAGTCGGTCATTTTCAAGATCTGGAGAAATCGGAGCTTGGAATGGCGGGATTCCTCGATCTGCTCGCTGGATCTACGCTTAAACTCTCTCGGTAGTTTGCTGTCGCGGGGAATCCCATGCAACTGGTTTCTCCACTCGCCTGTTCAATTTTCTCCCTCCATCGTCCTGGCTAAATTGTTTGGGTAATTCGTCACAGGCATCTGAAATATAGATGACTGGTCTTAATACATAAGTCCAATTTAGAAGCTCTTTAGCAAGTGCCGTCGTTTCAGTCGATCCGGTCTTCAGAATGGTTTTCCTGCGAGGGGATTTCTGGTTGACAGTCTTGATCGTCGTTTTAGACAATGCAATTCGCAAATGATACAAATGCATTAATGTAACATTATCCGATTTTTCTTCATCTTTTTTCTGTGTTCTGTTGCAGGATTCACCGGTCTTCAGTTACATCAGCAGTCTTTCTCCTATTAAACCCGTCAAATCCGTGCACATAACGCATGCTTTGCCTTTGAATTTCTCTTCACCTCCCTCAGTTTTTGCTTCCCCACATGTGAACACCCAAAAGGAACGTAAAATTCCAATCAGGTAACAGCTTCACTAGCCAATATTTCCTGTACGTTCTTGGACTTTCGTCAACGAATATTCATGATTCCCCTGCTTGTTTCGTTTTCAGATACCCTGTTCTAGACTCGTCGGCACCTGATTTTTCTTCTGAGGATGGGGACGACAAAAGTCTCTCTTATGTTATGCCGAATCTCCTCAAGCTCTCGGAGTGTGCCATTGATGAGAAAGCTAACTGCAGGACAAAATGCCTGTTAAATGAGGCTAATGTTGACCCTCCAGAGGAATGCCAGAAGTTAACATCCCATCTATCCAGATCGTTGGAGTATGATTGTGGTAGTCCTAATCATAATACTGCGCCTTGTTATGGTTCTCAAAACAAAGTTGACCTTAAAAGGGTCAGAGTTAGCCTGGTTGACTTTGCTTGTGATGTTCAGGAAGCGGTAGAATCCTCTGCAAATGACATTGAAGGTGAGGATATACGTTGTCAGGTACACAGCAAGGAAGAAGTGTCAAGCTGTGACTGGGAAAATCTTATTACAGATGGCAGTGTAAATCTCTTCGTTTTTGACCCTTCAACTGAATCAGAAGCCTGCGAGGAGCGCTGTCAGAAGGTTAGGGGGCAAGATGCCAATTACTCAACTTCCTATTCTTTGAGAATTTCTGAAGACAGCATTGGTGATCCACAGAGAAGTCACCCAGCTGGGGCTCTGGCTACCTGCCTTAAAAGCACCGCACTAGATGTGTCAGGGGATTATGGCCAACAAGTTTTTAGCCAAAATAACTCTGAACACACGCCACAAGTTCCTCCTACATGTCAGCAGAATAATCAGGAAATTAGTGATCAATTTGAGAAAATGGATGATGAAGTTGGTGACCATGACCTCTTCGACTATGAGGTAGAATTGAACTTTCATATGATGTTCGTAATCTAACCTATGATACAAACGGTTGTTTTCCGATTAATATCTTCTCTTAAATGTATAATTATTAGTGAAACTGTTTCTCTCTGTATTTTCTCACTAGGGTTTTGTTATCTTTGGTCAAATTATGCAGACTGACTACCAGCACCAACGTGGATTTCGAAGACGCTGTTTAGTGTTTGAGGTGGCCGGATCACATGTGGTTGGTGATTCAAAAGACAGTTCTTCAGCTTCATTTTCGATTAGTTTCAAACATATTTCTGGGGATAAGCAGCAAACTTCTTCAAAACCTAGCTCTGGTCCTCGTCAACATGCACTTCCCAGTATTGGCTTGCATTTGAATTCTCTTGCGACATCATCTAAAGTGAGGATTGCAACTGAAGATAATCTTCCCTCTGGGAGAAAGCTATTGAGCCTTCCATGCTCTACTGGCGCAATTTCTTCTTTAGTAACTTTACAGAAAACTTCAAGGGGTTCCTCAGTGGCTGAGGAGGACCTATGTCCTGGAAATGACCCTCAGGAACTTACAGAGATGCGGAACTATTTACAATCACCAGCCATCTCTGGTGAAGAATTGGATCTCAATAGTCCCAAAAAGAAAAAGTATCTCTTTGCCATCAATATCTGGATTTTCTCTTTTTTTTATCATTATTTTCAAGTCTTATAAATTGGTTGGTTGTCACATGCAGGTGCAAGCTTGAAAATGGTGGTGAGCATGGATCTTGTAGACGCTGCAACTGTAAAAAGTCAAAGTGCTTGAAGCTGTAAGTATATCTCACTTGTCATATTTTCTCTTCTCTGGATGCCACGTCAACTTATCACCATCATCGTTGATGTGGCAATACTTGGTAATTCAGATACTATGCTGCTTGTCCTAGATGAGGCGGTTAAGAGGGGGCCTGGGGGACGTTCAATTGCAGGTGTCCTCGCTATGATGAAATTTGGATATAGATTTCTTTTAACATCTGAACTAAAAGTATGATTGAATTGAAAATTACCTTGGACCTAAAACTGCGATGGAAATTTTCTAACTAATTCATTTGTGAAAAACTGGGGCCCCAATGGACTGAGCAGCCTAAGACGAAGGTCAGCAAAAGTTACCAGCGCTGGGCTGGTCTGGGCCTACTTTTCTTCTGGGCCTCCTCATGGCCAAATTCTAGAAGAGCAGACCAGACTAGGCTGGACTAATGGGCTGGGTTAGGCTGTCGAAATATTTTCTTCCCTCTGATACTCCGAACTAGCTTGGGGTTCTATTAGTTCTGTGGCTCCTAATCTATTTTATGGTTTCCCGGTTCCAAAATAGCTTTCTGAATGAAAGTGTTTTTTTCCTTATGCACATTCTCACTCAGAGAGATTGTTCCATGTTTTTGGACGTCTTTGTACTCTGGATCTTCTAATGATGGGATGCTACAAAGTCATGAGTTCATGAGATTCTCAGCTTCTTTTGTGATTTGGTTTTTCGATGTAGCTATTGTGAATGCTTTGCTGCGGGAGTCTATTGTGTTGGACCTTGTGCATGTGAAGGATGCTTGAACAAGCCCATCCATGAGGACATTGTTTTGGCTACTCGCAAACAGATAGAGTCCCGCAATCCCCTTGCATTTGCTCCAAAAGTGATTAGAGCATCTGCCCCAGCGACGGGCATCGGGGTAGGAATCTAAATAGCCTGTTCTTATCCTAGGTTTGAAGCCCAGTGAATTAAAAACTGGCCTTTAAATTCAGCAGGAAGATATTAACAAAACCCCTGCCTCAGCAAGGCACAAGAGAGGCTGCAACTGCAAAAAGTCAGGCTGCCTGAAGAAATATTGTGAATGCTACCAGGTTTTTCTTCTTCGACCTGTTGAGATAGACGCTCGTTTTCTCTTGCACCATTGGAGCCTGATGTCTTTGCTTTTTTTCTAAAAGGGAGGCGTTGGATGCTCAGCTAGCTGCCGATGTGAAGGGTGTAAGAACACTTTTGGCAGAAGGGAAGGTAAGCTTTTTCCTTCTTACTGTCACTCGATTGACTTTTTTAGTTGAATTTTCATCATCATCATCATCATCATCATCATCATCATCGTAAACGTTTGATGATCGGGCGTTATGCTGAGAATTTGGTGAATGTTGTCTTGGGTTTCCAGATTATTGAATTTTGGTTCATTAACTACTCTCTAGTTAAACTAGAATCGAATGCAACTGCCTAAACCATGACTCCTGTTGATTGAAGCGCATAGCGGCTTTGTCATTACAGGAGTTGACTAAAGATGGGATTGAGATGCCTTTTTTCAACAGGTGTTCTACCAATGGTGAGTGAGGAAAATGAGCCTAAAGAGGAGCAGCACGTGGATCCTTGTGGTGACGATGGGGTGGAGTTTCCACACGAGGCCGACTGTCTCCATGACAACGATTCGCCCGTCACCCCATCCTTCCAAATCAGCAGGTTAATCCCCATCGCCATACTTCTTCACATCTTTTTTGCTTCATTGCAAAGCTGCAGCTGCTGATCAGCTTCGTCACCTCACCTTACAGACCACCTCTCAGACCTCCCTTTTCATTTAGTGAGAAGCCTCCAAGATCCTCTGTGGCAAGCATTGGATCGTCGCCTCTACTGAGTGCGTGCCACAAGCTTCAGAAATCTGGTCTTGCCAAGTCAAAACTCGAGAAGCATCTCCAGACAGCTCCTGAAGATGAGACTCCCAAGATCTTGAGAGAGATGCCTTCTCCCCTCAATGCCGTGAAGACGGCCTCGCCGAGCAGGAAGAGAGTTTCCCCCCCGCAGCATGAGATTGGTTCATCTCCCAGCCAAAAAGGCGGCCGAAGACTGATACTGAGATCCATCCCATCCTTCCCAGCTCTGACTGGCGTTTCATCCAACGATCCTCCAGAAACTGCTCTCTGAAGCCTCACTCCGACCCGTCGTCGATCGGTAATATGAAGCAAAGTATGCGTTATATATCTGGTTTTACTGTCTACGCCTCAACTGATGAGTTTATTAGGTAACACTGAGACGTTCTTTGGGTGGTGAAGAAAATCTCAAGAACTCCGTTGAAGAGTGTCACCTTATCGCTGTGTGGTTTGGTGTCTCAGTCAGTTGGACCGAGGTATGTTCCAATATCTACCTGTTCAGATATGCATCTGGCTTAGATTATTTCCCCCCTTTTATTTTTTTGGTTCTCTCTTGAGTTATACAGATAATGTACTATAACCCAAATCTTTTTCTGCCTTCCTCCCATGTTATGTATTATTATGCACGGTTTAGAAGCCCCATCTCTTGCTGTTCCTCCGGGAAGAACCAAGTTGCAATGGATTGTGCTCATATTAGTTGTAAAATTGAGCAAATGCACGCATTTCATCTTTGTTGACACAAATAAAGAGGCTTTAAATTCATATTAGGTTGGTCTTTTTTTGGTGGCCTCTGAAGGGGTGCACTGAATATTCAGTGGTTGATCCTCCATGAATATGGCTCCTATACGTGCAACATCACAAAGGGAAAACGGTCAACGGCCATTTTTAGTATTTTTATCATTTTTATTATAGTGGTTAAATGATGAGATGCTAAGTATGTCCTAAGTATTGATCAAGTCGGAGCACTCGAATGGATATGGCCTTATAGTATGTGTTTCTAAGGAAAGATTGTTGCTCAAGAGGAGTTGACTCACATACAAAGAGAACTAACAATGCCACCTGCTAAGCAGTGAGAAAAGAATCAAGGAGCTGAGTTACTACATTAGTTGTAAACTGAAAAAAAATAAACATTTTCATAGTATTAATTGACTGAGTCCTAACTTTTTATTGCATCTAAAAGTGGAAATAAGCTATTTATATTGAAATAAAGTTTGCACTGAAGGTAGGAGAGGCCCCTTGAGAGACCTGGAAGAAGACATTAACATTTCTACACTCTAGAAGAAGAAATTTTTACTAGAAAATTTATACAACTTTTGTATGTGAGATGATTATGAAGCTTGTTGGAAGCTCAAAGTTGTAAGGAAATCTATAAAAGGCTGAGGGTATTTTGGGAAAGCTATGTAGGGTGGGTTTCTCTCTACATAGTGAGTGCCAGCTCTCTCCTCTGTCCTCTATGAGAGAGGTAATTCTCCCTATGCCTATGTTTTTCTAACAGAGTCATTAAATTCATATTGAGTGTTATGTGGTGAGCTCAGTGTTGTAAATCAGTTGAGTTGATGACTTTGTGTTACTTTCAAAGTACTTTGGGTATCTATAATTCTAAGAGAGATTCCTTTAGAAGAGTGTTGTTGAGGATCATGGCGAGGAATTTTGGGCTAGTGAAGAGAAAACATACAAAAATCGTGGGATAAAATAAAAGTCAAACGAAGAAAAAAAAAAAGATGGAAGAACATTTATCCCTTTCGATTCATTTATATCTCTTTATGAATATTTAGGAGAAATAGTTTCATATCTCGAGGGAGATTACATTGAAATCCCAAGATATATAAAAGAAACTACATATATTGTTTCAGTTCAAATTGAATTATAGGTCTGAGTCTATTTTGTTGACTAAAACCTTATATTGACTTTTGAAAACCAGGTTCACCAAATGATAAGTCAATGCACCGATTCTCAAGTTTTAATAAATTCAATGAAAATATGATCTTAATTTTAGAAACTATCAAATGGCTAAAATCAGATTGAATTTAATGAGATTATTTATAGAAACTCAGTTGACTGAAAATTAGCTGAAAAATTGATAAGTCTATCATAGTTCATATAATTCTTAAATAGATCTAAAGTGATGATTCAAAGTGATGTTGATTATTAAAAAAATGGTAAAAAACTAAAGATCAAGGCAATGCCCATCTTGGAATTCCATATTCTTCACTTTTGAGATCTTAGCTGGTTGAGCTTAATCTTGAATTGTTTCATTCTTTTCCAGAGTTTCTGATGATTATAAATTTAGGGGGAGAAGGAAATGCTTGAAACTTAGTTGAGAAATGTTAGCAAACACAAGAGAAAGTATGCATCTTCTTGGGTAGAGTAAATATGAAAATTTGTGGTGTATCATTATAAACACATGTATGGATAATGCGCTTTGATAAATTTAGTTGATTCTATCCCACTATCTTCATATCTTTTTTAATATACTTTTTGAGATATTTTAGATACCATGATTCACATTACACCATAGATTATCACATTTCGTGGGAGCACTGCAACATCAAGATAAAATCTAAATATATTTTTTGTGAAAATAGCTTTTAGAAAATCAAAACTAAAGAGTAACATCATCTACTTTGATAATTGTGGTTCTAATTTTGATTTATTTAAGCATTCAGATTCATGCACATGACAGTTTTGAAAGCTTCACTTATGATATGATAAAAAATAGAAATGTGGACATCCTAAATTAGAATAAGTGAGTGACAATTGACTGAGCTCTATATAGAACAATAAGCACCTTTTCGTGACAAAGATTTAGATATGATTACATAGGGAAACAAAAATAGATAGCTAAAAGTTGACTGTATGCATTAATTATAAAATATTTTTGATGTGTTATAAAAGGAATTCAATATTTAACATCGTTTCACCTAATTGCTATATTATCCATCTCATAGTATGATACTAGAAGAAGACTATGGCCAGCTGAAAGTCTAATAAATTTTTACCAAGGGGGAGAACTCTTTTTATGTAACAAAGGGATAGAAAAAATATATGAAAATTGATAAATTGAGGGAGAGGTCATGAAGCTCAGTCAAGATGATGTCTTGAAGACTCTAGAGCAAATCAATTTCGAGATGTTGTAATCATAAAAAAGGATATTATTGAGTTATGGATGAACTTAAAAATGTTTTTATGATTTATAATGATATTTAAGTAAAATCACTTTTAATCTAACATCATAAAATTTATCAAGTGAGATTAATATTTATGTGATATTATTCTCTTTGCAGAAATTAAATCACAAGACTACTAGAAAGCTAGATTATCTGGAAAATCAGAGCTTTAAACAAAAGAAGAAAATATTATGTTTTTGATTTTATATGATTTTCAAAAGATTATGTGATTTTTTATTTAATTACTTCTCAAACTTGGCTTGTTATGACTTAATCCACTTATTTGTAGCTTACTAGAGTGTGTAAGATTCAACCCATATGATGGAGGTTGTTTCAAGGTGTCTCTCCTCTCTGACAACTCTTCCAAGGTCTGAAAGACTTGCAAGTAAGGTCAAGAACGAATCAAAAGAATTGTGCCCATGAAGATAAGTCTCAAGCACTCCCTCCATCTAGTTCACTTATCACTAATAACGAAAATAACAAGATAACAACATAAGTAAGGTTATTGCTAGCTTCAACTGATGATATTAATATCATGTTTTGCTGAAAGACTTTGATAAAGTTGGGTCCATGAAGGGAGTGCTTGAGACCTCATGGAATTTTTAGGCACATGTGATGTGTTGACAATGTAACTACGTAAAGCATCAAGATGTACGTGCTATATCGGCAATGTAAATACACAAATCATTGAGGCACTTGTCTTATGCCTCCAACAAGGTAGATCAAAGACTAGAGATTTTTAAAATTATAAAGGCATGTTATAGACACAAAACTTGGTGATATAAGGAGTTCCTAATCCCCAGAATATTAGGTGTATTCTAGTGAGAGAACAATGAAATAAGGTGGATTCCTCACAAGTGAATATAAGCCAAATAGGATTGGTCAATCTACTCTAAAATCATGTGTACACTAATCTTTCTTGTTTTTTTATTTATATTCTGATATAAATATTTAACATAATTAAAAATGGATATAAAAATATTATACTTAATTATAATAAAAATTATGAATGAAGTCACCTCCCACCTCTTGATTCAGCCAACTATCTAGGGACCAATAAGTACATGAATTTTACTTGATACTACCAAAAAAAAAATAGAGTCAACCTTTAGAACTAACATGATAATAACTATCTTACTAAAACTAGAAGAAAGAAAAACATGAAAATTTGGCAATATGCTAACCTTACATGTTTAACTTTTCATAATGACCACTAAAGAGAGGTGCCTTTCCTCAAAAGAAAAATCATAAGCCCTAAAAGCATCTCATGCTAGCCAACATTATACCTGAAAAATATTTTGTTATTGGACTACATCTATCATAAGCTCTAGGAGGTCTTATTAGTGCTGAATACTAACCTCTTCCTTGCACTATATTTTTCATCCCATTGAGCAAGACTCATAAATATTTACCAATACTTGGAAAGTCATGAAGTGCAAAAATTATAAGTCTGGTGGAATTCTCAATGGAAAGACAAACTAGAATATGAAAGTTAGGATAAGAAATACTTGTAGTAATGAGTCTCGCAGATGATTTACTTGGAAAATCCTTTTTTAGAATTTATTCTTTTCTATAACAAGATAATCCCACTTTATAGCACCATAATCAGTGTTCACATAATTTTTTTATGTCAACTATTCATTTAGCACAACCACTCCAATGTCGCCCAAAGTAGGCTCACAAGCAAGGTTTTAATCTTTCAATTCACCAAAAAAGCCATGCATGTAGAACGTTGTTGAAGACTTGCCATACAAAACCAATCCCTCTACCATAACTTCAGTGATCAAGAGGTCAAATGATCTCTGACTAACCTATATTCTGCACAGAAGAGCTAAAACAGAAGAGTGCTGGAGAATCAGAGAATATCAAAGAAAATAAATGGGGTCACTTTTAGATATGACTCAACATGCCTAAAACCTAAACCCCAGACCAAGAAATACAGCTGAAGAATCCTTCAAATAACATGCAGAAATTGATTCAGGAAGGCTCCAGCAACATGCCCTAGGGAACATTTGAGCAGTCTGAAGGCTTAGGATATGGGCTCCTATTGACAGAATATGATAAGGTAAATCATGAAAGTGGAGGATCATATTTTCTACAGGAAAATTTCGTCTCCCTAAGAGTCTCTCTCCCTCGTCATTATGACACAAAGGATGAATCGACTACAACTGTCATGAGATTTCATGGAGGAGACTCAGCATCAGCATCACTGAGGAGCTTACCAGCCCATCTTGGTGAACATCCCAAGAATTTGGGCAAGATCAGCACCGGGCAGAATTGGAAAACGCCATGATTTCATCTTATAAATGACTCCTTACTTCTTTTATTTTCTGTAATCAATGTTGCAGGTCAACGTCCAATTCCATCTTCCCATAAAACTAACATTGTACAATGACTGCCCTTCATTTTTCTCTCCATTCTTCATTTTTTTTTGTGCAAACTTGAATCATTGACTCAAAAAGTGGTTCTCAGAAGACATCTGTTGTCAGGCATCCTACCTTTAATCACCAGGGACAAGCAGGGGCTCGCTGAGACCCCCCTCAGCTTGAACCAGCTCAAGATCAAATGGCTCCTGCAAGATCTGATTCGGGTGAAGCCTCTGTAATGGTATGTTCTGATGCAATGAAATTAGAAGATGGGTACTGATGATGTTGGATTGAGAGAGAGGGGGAATGAGCCCCCTGTACGCAATCAGTTCTGCCTAGAAGCTTCCCCACTTCTCTCGTGTTTCTTTGATTCTGACGTTTCTCCAGAGCTTTCATTCTTACAGCTGCGACTTTTCCCTTCTGCTCAACATCCGCATGAAACCGAGAGGATTATGTCAAGAGGTTTGGAGACATCCCCACGACAAAAAGGATGTTGAGAAAGAGAGATATATGATGGATCAGGAGCAAAAGTTATCTCCCACCAAAGGTACACCAAACGCCCAGCCTGTAGATAAAGAAAATAAAATAAAATAACAGTCAGTTGCTTATGTAGTTTGATGCACCACGGGTGCTACAAATCCCAATGCAAGCTATTGATGAAATCTCATAAAAAATGCTCGTTTCTCCCTCCCAATCGCTTAGATTGGGAGGGAGAAACGAGCTATTTGTTCCTTTGCCTAGTAAATTTGTTTGCCCATCATATATAACTGGTTTCAGTTTTTTCACATTTATGAGTGACCAGATGTTTAAAAAATGCCTGTCACTGTGACCACGGCAACAGTTCTGAGCTTTTACCATTCTCATAAATGCTCAATAAGCATGAAACTGAAGTCAACAAAACAAATCTGATCTTCTCTGTTTTGCCTTCAGGCTACGTTGAACTTTTCGCCTCATGAATAGAGCCACCTGATTTACCATTATGGTGGTAGATCTGGGTCGGAATAGCTTTTTACCATTAGCCGAGCTGTTATCCTTTGCCTACTATACACTGTCCTAGTTCATTGATTGAAGTGAGTCCACCAGTTTAACAAAAAGCAAACTTGTCTGGCATATGCGGAAATAAATTCTTACAGTAGCTGGTCAACTGTGATGGAAAATTAAGAGTTGATATCATGGTGGATCCCAACCATTTTCGCCTTTGCCAGCTTCCATCCAAACCCTTCCAAAAATTGTTCAATCAACCTAGTAAAACAAAAAAGTAAAATCAGACTCAGGCAATGGCAAAAACTATGAGAAACTTCTCGACTTACAAGCTGCACATTGCCTTCTGTGAAGCAGCAGTCTCTCGATCTGGAAATGAATCCTCCATTCGGAAACTCAACCAAACATAGAGATCCAAAACCTTATATACATCATATAAGGATCCCGTTAGCATATCACTGTATAACTCCAAGAGCAGAGAACATTTCGAGAAGCATAATTTTTTGTCAAAATTATATTTACGCGAATCCAATAAAAGAATAAGAAAGGGAAGAAGAAAAGACCAAGATGTCTTCAGATGCTAGTTAGACAAAGTACTACCAAACAACTAAGCTCCTAAAGGATCAAATATGCTTACAAAGGTGCAACTGAAAGCGGCACATAGAAACATGTTTTTGTCTGAATTTCTAGCTCTTTGAGACCAGACAATCGCAAAAACGAGTCTAGCAGGTATGCTATCAATTTTTCAGCTTATATATTGATTAAATTTTTTGAAACATGTTCCTAACTCATTTCAAACAGCGTATTTATTATCGTTTCTTACCGTCACAAATCAGAAAACCTTTGAAAGAGATATTGTTTCAAAAGAAACTCCAGCAAGGAAAAATTCGAGGTACTTTAGAAAGCCAAATGCTACCTTGTGAATGGATTCAAGCTCCCTGAGTGCCTTGTGTGACTTTGGCACCTTCAGCATTCCAGGCGTAAATATCTCCCTCAGTCTAACGAGCCCTTTTTTGGCATAATTTTCTGCAAACTGCTCTTCCCATGTGTGCTATGTATGTCAGATACTATTTCTGTCTTAGTTACGGACAATTTTTGGAACGTTCTCACCTGTGTCAAACCCTGAGCTGATATATCATCATTCATATCAACTGGGCTGCCAAAAAAAACAATCGAATGAATACTAATATTTTCAAAAAAGAAGATTAAGTTGTTTGGGAGAAAAATCAGATATCCTCACAATTCAAATGCAATGTCTTAGAAACAGCTTACCTTATGCAGAAAAGGTACTTATCCTTCAAATCCAAGGGCAGCTCGTCAACAACAGCTGCAACCTTCTGTTGTAGACGAAGAAGCAATGTTATGCAGAAGCAACAGAACTGAGGTTTAAAGAAACCGACAGTATAATCAATTGAAATTACCACTCAATTACTTATGGTCTTAGGAAATGCAATTTACTTCATAATAAATAAAATTTGCAAGAATAGCATATAGTAACTAATGTTTCTGTGTTCACTGGAAACATTTTTAAAATAGATAATGCTAGATTGCTTACAAATTTGATCATGTCTATTATAAAAGACATTTTTCCAGGAGTCATAACTACAAACCCTTCCAAGTATAATTTCTGCCCACAGCCCGGCCTGCCTCTAGGCTCACAATCAGTGTAACATAACCGTAAGAGGAGGGGAAACTTAGTGAGGATTAGAGAATAATTTGGAATAGGGCTGCCTGTCGAATGAGACACAAAAGGGGGCCTAAAGGGAAAAGTTAGGGCATCCGGAAAAGGGATCAACCAGGAGAACTCGAACCCTACGGCATCGTCCCCTGGACTCCCCAACCCTCTCTTCCGTTTTGCTGCTATTGTGGACAGAGTTGCTCAAAACTCCGTTCTAGTTCGATTTCCTGTTCCATTCAAGCGTCCTTCTTCCGGGTTGACCCAGAGCGTCTCAACAGATACATAATGGTGACCAAGTTCTCATGCCTGAGATTCGGGATGACTCCCCCGTGTCCAATATCTCAATTCATCTATCTGAAACATGCAGCTTCCTGCAGATCTACCAAATCAGTTTCTCCAAAGATGCCTAATGACTGAAAGCATTTTGTACACTAGTGTTCATGTATGGAGTTGAAATACATTAAGATTGCTTATACAGGGTAGAACATTAGATGGTCCATAAGCAAACAAATCGAAAGTAACAGTCAAAGACTCTTGAGGTGCAATGGAACGTGTCAAGTCAGAAATAAATGACACAAGTACTTGTGGGGACCCAGATTAGTAGACATATTTTTTAGATCGTTCATCGGATAAAGATTCATGTAAATTAAGCTTTTAAGAATTTCATAGGCATATAGGAGTCAGAAGTGATTCTGTTAGATTCTGCTTGAGTAGCAACTTGAGTCTGCACGATCCAAGTCAATCATTTAAGTAATCAACTATTATCTACCACCGTGAAGACAGGCCAAACAAAAACAAAATAAGTAGGTTTTTGTAACATGATTTTTCTCACTTTCTTCCAAACTAATTATTTTCCATATCTTTTGATAACTTAACATATTTGTTTTTTGTTTCATACTCAGCCCCATCTATGAATTGGTGCTTCATGGGTTTATTTTAATCTGGATACTATAATCATCCCCAGTAATCATACACGTCCCAACAATCCTCACATTTGTTTAAGTTCTTCATGATGACTCCTGCAAGTAATTTGCTATTCTTTCTTTTCCATTTGTACTGTGAGCGATCAGTCATATTTTTTTCCTTGAAATACGCTCCCCAAACCAAAGGTTCCTTCTTCCTTCATGATGAATGCAAGCACTCCTTATTCCCTTCCTTCAGAATTGGACAGAAACTCTAATGATTCCGGCCGCCCTGTCCATATAGGCTCCTCAATTTTCATAGCTATGGTAGTGAAATCCTCCCTTTGAGTTTCTATGGCAACAACAATAGCAAAGCAGAAACGGCGTGGCTTTGCTCTCAATTGGTTAGGTGGTTTCCCTAGTATCTAAGGCGAGTTCACTCATCAATAGCCATAAAGGATTGTCTTAAACAACTCGGAGAGTAGAAACTGCTTGAAAAAATTAATAGAAAGTCATAATGTTCACATAAAATCACTGTGCCACTGAATACATAGTAGACATAAGACTATAAGGGTTCATTTCTCGTATCAAATTATTAGGCCCATTAACAATGAGTTCAAGTGCGATTTATCTCACATATTATGAGATGAGGTTTACTTTTAAACCTTCAACTAAGCTTCGCCCCACCAGGCTATCAAATGGGCTTCATCCCATATATCTCAAAGACACGTTGGCCAAAATGATATCGAATGAGCTTTATCCCATAAATTCACACAGTCCAGTCCAAAAACTATCAAATCAGCTTCATCTCGTAAAATCTCAAGCAAGTGTTGCCCAAAAAGCTATCAAATGGGTTTTGTTAGATACATTCATAAAATAGGATAAATCCAATAAGTTGCACAAAGTTTTAGGCCTATGTACAAATTTATACATGTTTTGAAATGAAATAAAATTTTGTTTATTTCTAGCTTCATCGAAACGTAGTCAACCCGTTGAATTCAATATTTTGAAGGATAAAACTAACACTTAAATCATTCCAAAGGATCCAGATTGAAATAAACTTAGAAAGGCCAAATTCATAGATGGGCCTAAATATGATATCAAAATACAAAATTATCTGGTCTATCAGAAGGTGACAAGTTAGAAATGAATTGAATAAGTTATGCTATAACATCATGAAAACATCAGAAGATTTTTTTGACAAATGTGATTAGGAGAAAATTCGGAACAACTTTTGGCATAACTTTGACATGGTTTAGCCTCTGAAAAAAGTGATTGGGAGGATGTTGAGTTAAATTAATGTTAATTACATGATTTGTCTTGTTTTCATCTTATTTTTCATTTGTAATAAATTTCATTTCAATCTATATTACAATTCGCATGTTTATTAATGCATCTATCCACATTCTTCATTACCACCACTTTCCATGTTTTATTTTCTTCTACCATTTTTTCTTTGAAGATTGGGTAACTTTCACATTTTCAGCTTAATTGGACCATATTTCATATGCTGGTAAGCATCACCACACTCCAAAATAGCCTGTAAGACGATTACAACTGACATAATGTAGTTTTCCCCTCTTTGGACACTAGAATGTTATAGCAATCAAACTGCATATTCCATCTTCCAAATTGGAGACTGATGAACATCTAAGAGAAAGCAAAAATGTACAACTGAAGTATCATGAGTGAGCCTCTATTGCTAGACAACAATAGAGGAGGTTCGCAAGTACCAACAATGAACTGAGTATACAGTTTAAAGGGTCTGGTACATTCAAGAGATATTTATATTTAGAGTTTCTCTTTTTTAGTACTTTCCTATTCTTTATATTTAGTTTTGCTGGGTACACAAATATCTCTTGATTTAACGCTGAAGTTTCTATATTATATAGTTTGCCATGTATTATACATACTGAAGTTGTATTCACTTGAGATGTATATAAGGAGGCTGATGTCTAAGTTTGGGATGCACAATTAGTCCTCGTTTATAACAGATGTCCTTTTCATTTGTCAGAAAAAAGTGATCTTCTTAACAATATCATAGAAGCGCCATGATTTAGTTCCTTTTCTGAAAAAACTCGAACAAACATATATAATACAATTAGATATGCAATAAATACCCTCTTCAGATTAACACTAGCGTACCAGCATTTGTTCACAGTCGGATATGAAGTAGTTCGGAGATAACTTAGCCTTCTCCAGAAATCGTTCCTGAAAGAAATCAGATAGTCACTGAAATTGGAAATACAATTCGTTGTAAAAGAAAAAATAAGTTGTCCGATATATTAGCTCCAGCAAACAAGTTAAAATTGAAGAACAAAGTCGTGAAAACAAAATTAAGAAACATCAGCCAATCAGAGACGTGATAGTAAAGAATGATAAAAACAAAAAAGAATCAAAGAAGGTATCACTGTACTATAATTAATCCGGCTATAATTAATATATGAAATATGAACAGAAACATCATAATGAGAGACAGGCTTGAATTTTTTTCTCCTAATATCAAACTGTCAGATATAACTAATCACCAGATGTTTAAGCTAGAGTTCGTGAGATCCACCAAAGAAATATGTTCATAACCGATCAAACTGTGGATGTAAAAGACCCAAGTGCTCAATGATCCAGAAACTTCCAATGATGAAAATTGACCACCTTCCAGACCATTAATTGATATGCTAAATGTTGGCAGAAATGTATGTACATCAATTTATAACCTAGTTTTCGGATGATAAAGAAACATTAAGAAGAGACCCACTTGAAGAGACAAAGTTTAAAACTAATAAACTCATTGTTCTCCACCAACATCAAGATGTTGACAAAAGTTTGTACTCAAAATAGTCACGTACATGGCAACGGAATAATATGAACAACTAAAACGAGAGTCCTTCCTAGTGTCTACAATGATAATATTTTTTTCTTTACGGTATGCACATCAGGAAATATATCACCAGAGCAGATAGATGACCCTTTGTCAGAAACCTATAAGATTTAATGTGAGAGAGTATATAAATTACTAGTCAAATGTTACCAGACTATTAGTTTCTACCAAATCAGAATATAATAGTTGTATAGCGAGGGAAAGAACGTGTAATTAGGAGTTCGATTCTTAGTTGGACCGTTTCCTAGTTTGTTGGTTTCCTAGTTGCTAGGTAGTTTCCTAGTTGTTAGGTTGTTTCCTTGTTCAATGGCCCTGGTACTTGTATATAACAGTCATCTTTGATTCGAATACAATGGCTTTTTCCTCTGCATATCCTCCTAGGGTTTGCCCTACCCTTCATGACATATAGTTTGCCCCTAAATGATCGCGAAATCCGGATAATTTAATTAATTCCAAACATAAGATCCAAAAGTCTAAAAGATTATCAGGGAGTGTTAGTTATCAAGTGACGGTTTGCTGTTAGTAACACAACTCTTATCTTCTCCTTTGCCGAGTTTCATGTTCCTTATGCTTTTCCTACACTTGACAGGGTTTCTTTCACAACCTTATGGCATCAAGAAATTCACATATCTAGTAGTGCCATTAGATGGACAGGTTCTCATTAGTGACTAATGGACCATACGTTCCAAACTTGCCACACTCCCTCTTTGTCTGGACTGTAAAATTCTATTAGTACCTCTTTAAAAGTCTTTTTGGTATCAACGAGCTAACTTGCATAATCAAGTGAGGAAAGGAAGGTGAGATGATTACAAAACTACACTAGATCTTCACAACTTTGATTGCATATATCAGACACTCCGTTGACAGGATGTCGTCTCTGATGCTTACACACTAATCAAATGAAAATCCATTATTTGACTAAATTCATCAGCCTTAGATTGCCGCCTAGATAAAAAGGCATTACTATGATTTCATTTTGCTTCATATTTAACCCTGATTAGACACGGAAATGCAAGTTGAACTTGTCAAACTAATGGCCGTAATATTGAGGGAAAAAAGTTCAATTGGTGCAAGGGTCATTCCCTACCTTAACATGCTATTCAAAGTGTTCTTACCTTTTCCAAATGGTGAAAGTCACACAACCAAGAAAATGTTGTTCCACAACCACACTTTCTGTAACTGAGGAAACAAGAGTTTTCTCATCTCCTCGAATAGGGAACTTTATTGTGGATAAATATTCTCTATTGTGTACATGAAAACTGTAACTCCAACGATTTAGATGCAAAGTCACTTAAATTTTCAAGTGTATGAATAAACATAAGAGTACACCTTTTATATCTTTACTTCCTGACTTTCCTCTTTTTCATTGTCTCCAACCTGCTGACAACAACAAAGCAAAGGACCACTGCCAGAAGCTAAGAGCATTAACCATACAGGAGTAACAAGGAATCCATCTATATTATTCTGATGTTTGCGTCTTGTCAAAGTCAGATGCACAAGTCAGACTGGTGAGATGTAATCTGAGTTAGTTCCCAGGGTTTAGATGGATTCATAGAGTCCTAATCCAGAACTAAAAACTAACTTTTTACCTAGAAGAATGACGTCAGTCTTACCCAGTTACAACATTTGAATATTGCCTGTAGTTTGATAGTCAGGCATAAAATACACCAACCACATGCATATTATTTTAGGTCAAGAATATGACATGGCATTATACCTGTGAAGATCGAAATCACAAACGTTATGAGAATCTGTGTTAAAAGACACCTATATAAGAAATTTAAAGTAAAACGCCAGCAGAAATTTGCTGCACAATCTAGAACATGACTAACTTTATAACCCATTCAAGGTCTAACTGTTGTTTTTGTATCTATACATAGATTATGTCTTGGCAAGAAAAAAAGTCTACAATGTCGCACACAGTCAGCAAAGATAAAAAATAAGATATGGAAAGAAGTACACACCAATATAGGGTGGAAATCAGTCGTCAAATGTACTCGTGAATAGAGGGACAACAGATCAAATGTGGGAAACAATCCAGCACGCTGCATAAGAAATTTTAATAACCTCGTGAGATAGAAGATGACATACAATACAAAGAAATATCATAAGAAAGGCATCAAGATTACCCCAAGAGACTAGATGGCATATCACACAGGTAAAAGTTTGTAAAACCTTTAAGAGGATCACAGCATCTGAGAAGAGGACTTTCCAGGCTGTTTTACAGGACTTTTCACAAAAAAAGCACCCAATGATACCTTTCTTTTTTTACTGTAAAAGCCTTAATAATAGGTCACCTTAAATGCATGCATTCCACTGTTACATACAGCCAGCTTGATGCGGGTGTATCTTGAAACTAGGGTAAAAACAGGCAAAAAACAAAATAAAACATAACAGAGGCTCGAGTTTCGAATATATCCGGTCTGAAAATTCATGACCCATTTTTACAGGGTCCAATGGTAATATTATTATATTTTTCATGTTTCATATTGGTCAATAGACAAGATTGGCTGAAATTAGTGTTGACACGGCACATAAAAAAAACGTACCATATACTCAACTAATTACATTTCAATCTGACGATCAAGAAAGCATTTTAGAACTCAACCATGAAATTAAAGAATCTACATGAACTGAAAGATCACATTAAACTTGGAGCCACACACTCATCAATGAAGTCAGTTGGTTTCCAAAGAAAATGCAAGTGAGGCACCCTGACTTTATATGGCCAGCAACCAAGTCTAAAAAACATTTTATACATCACAAATTCTCTAACATCAGTAGTTGATAGTTTTAATGTATTTATGTTGATCTGCTGTATCATTGCTTTATTAGCATAATTATCTTTTATCTTATTGGTCACATTAATAGGCATTATCGCTTCGTTTAAAATTTGAGTCGTCCATACTAAAATATCGTCTAAGCGCATACTTTTAAAGGAAAAATACCGTTACTTAACTTAATGCACATGATGCCTTGACGAAAAGACAACGTTGATTTTATAAAATCAGGGTCTTGCTTAGGTAGATCTGTTCATTATTTCTTCTTTCGTTCATTACTTGGAATTTCAGTATTTCGCGCAGTTTGAGTATTTTGTCCATTTGAAAACTTTCTCAAGGATGTTTGAGATCTATACTCTCTCAGGAAATGTCTAATATGTTATAGATATTTATGCAATTTATTCTGAAGTCCAAGTCTCATTGTGATTATCTTAGGAACTTAAAGCAGTGTTAAGGTTCGCATTTTTTGTAATTCTTTGATAACTAGTCAATATATTAAAAAATTCTCTTCAGTTTTGAATATTTATGGAACTTGTAAACAACTTTCTAGTATTGTCTATCAATTTTTTAATTACGTTTAGATATCAAGTACCATCTTGATATTCAAAGGAATGATCCCAAAAAAGTAGCAAGCAAACAAAATTTGTTTAGTCTTAGAAAATGGAACACAGTTTAATCGTTAGTTTGAACCCACATGGTCAAAACTCGTTGAAAGATGAGCGGACTTTACTTGCTTTCGATAGTAATTAACTATATGCAAGGTCAGAGCTCATTTACTTGTGAGTGAAACATATCTTAAGTTAATGTCGGTTTTCACGTTAAAACTTATTGTACAGAGTATGGCACAAGTGCAGTTAATAGGAAAACACAGTTCTAAAAATAGACAAATAACTCATTGCTGTACATGATCGTCATCACAATATAAAAATGGAGAGAATGCATCACCTCCAAAACAGGAGAGGGAGCTTCTAGAGATGAATGAAGCAGGGGCAAATCATCAGCATCAATACATGTAACCTCTCCAACAGGAAACTTGGATCCATATCGACCAGCACGCCCTATAAGAACACAATCTAGCAGTTTGATAAAGAGCATTTTCTCTCCCACCCATAAATAATATTATCTTATTTCAAACTAGAAAAACTTTCATATCTCAATGTGCATAGTACCTACTGGAACAATTTAAAGACGTTATGAAAATCATGATATGTTTACAAATACAGGGGTTATTAGAAATACAGTTAAACCAGCAATCTTGACAGCGAAATGGTTTGAATAGAACAACTGAAATAAAACTAAGACAATTGAAAGGAAATTAATGATGTTAAGAAGAACATGGCATTCTTCACATATCATAGCAGCGGTAATTGAAATAAGGTTGAATAAGCAATCTTGCCTGCTGGGAATTTCTGATTTAATAATAGAAAGAGCATCATGCATTAAAATGCAAGAGGGACAAAACAGCCTCCTGGCTACATATTACCCATTAATCCCTTTGCTGTATTCTAACACTCAGATGTCAGGTTATGTAGACAAAATTTCCCGAATCAGATTAGTAATAGATGTTATTTTGACTGGCCTCGACATCTCTGTGTCACAAAAAAGCAGAGATAACCGCTCAACTGGAAAACATATGCTTCCAGAAGAAGTAGAAGGATTATTTTTCATAGAATTTTTCCTAGACCAGTAAATGAAATATCCAAAACTTCTGTGAGAGAATAAATTCTTAGAAAAAAAAAGTAATGCAAATGACTCGCAGTAGCCAAAGACATGAAGATAAATTATTCTTTTAAAGACATGTTCCAATTTGCCACAAGACCTGGAGCTTTTGTGAGGATTATATTTCCTGGAATCAGAACCAGACCAGAATAAGCCATGATTCCCATCAAATACTGATTCCAGCTCACAAGATTCAGGTAAGTTGTTTATTTCTTCCAAGGTCTGTAAGATATTGGGAATAATATTTTTTTATTTGAGCGGGTTCATACTTGACCATGATGTCTTCAATATTCAACCCTTTGAAACGGACATTCGCCACAAGTCTACCCCATTATTATCCAATGACATTAACCAGGTCAGAGGGTCAATCCTTGCTGATAAATGATTGCTCGAGATGCAGCTGTTTGGATACAGTTGCCAACAAATGCTAAGGTGATATAAAGTACACGATCATTGGTGGCAGTTAAATTAATGCCAGGATTGAATTGGCATATATCGATATGAACTTGAAGTATCAATCCTGGTCAGTGTCAAAAAAAAATTAAAAAAAATGGAATTATGTTGTCATACTAAATAAAGCATTATCAGTTTCTGAGACTCAGTAAAAATCCTTGAAAAAACCATTCCAGCACAGAGTGGAGACATATGTTCGAAATTCATAGGTTACCAGGTGGGTAAATAAGGATACAATGTAATAAAGTATAAAGAAGAAAGCCTTCCAAAATGAAAGGATACTTTGGATGCAGGAAAAAGATACCTACCAGCTATTTGCTTAATTTCAGGAACAGTAAGTTCCCTTGTTTCAGTTCCATCAAACTTTTTCATCGTTGAGAAAATGATTCTTGAGATGTTCAGATTGAGACCCATTCCAATGGCATCACTGGCTACAAGAACATCAAATTCGCTTCTTTCATCATTGAACATTGAAGCCTGAAAAGAGAACCGACATATTTCTCAGAAAAGTAAAAGTATAACCACTAATGGTGAAATATTCTTCTTATTATGCGTAGCTAGTTATAGTTCCCTAACTTCTCTCAATGAAGTAAATATAAACCTTATTTTCTTTTCTGGGTTATTCCAGATAGAAGCAAGACAGGACAGAGGAGATTCTTGGCCAATTCAGTTATCAGCTTATGAAACAAATCTTAATCAAGTAGCGGGCCAATCAATGTACATTACTTCAGATGGAGGTCAGACAACAGGTGCAAACTGAACAGCCTAAAGTTTTTAGATGGCTGGAGACTGTTGAGTCTGTTATTACCCGTTATGACAGGGAGAAAAGAGAAGGTTATAACTTCAAAACACTTTATGAAGCGTTTGATTCCATTCCTCTACTGCTCCACATTCCCTTTCTTCATTTCACTACAGCATCTCAGAGCTCGATTTCCATCTTTCAAAGACAACTTTTATGGATCGCACAACTTGAAAAGTGTACTGAAGAGTTTGATTAGCAAATATTGCACCAACACTTTGTTTTGATCTGACCTAGTTGGATATTGTAACATTTTGTTCACTTTTTTTCTACTTCGTTATCCTTTGTGTTCATTTTGTAGACGGGAAGTAATTTATTATCTATTTTGTTAAGGCTAATCGATGGACCATGGCTTTCGAAGTTTACTTGGAGTTGGATCCTTGCCACTGACAAAGTCAGTTCAAGTCACACCCACTACTGAAGGAACACTGTTGATTAAATTCAACAAATAAAAGGAATTCATTCCTGACATCTGAGATGCTGTAGTGAAGCCTTTTGAGTTGAAGCCCAATGAAGAGTTATGAGATGATGCGCATTTGACAGCTTTTATATGGTCGCGCATGTTAGAGATACTATGAAATTCACACGATAGAATTCAATATAAATCTCGTTTGATGACTTTCAAACGTAAGGTCCATTGAAGCTCCAAGAGATGAAACCCACTTGACAACTTTCAAGGACGAAACTCATTTGATAATTTATAGATTTCAACTTATTAAGGGCTCCACCTTTGTTATAACATTCAAGTAGACCATTGCTTTCAAAAACTTTGATTGTGCTATATAGGCCTGTTATTACAAAGCTTGCTAACTAAAGATGATACCCATTGAATGCTATATGCGTCATTATTCTCAGTTTAGATCATTAGCAACGGTACTTATTTTAGATAAATGAGTCATTTAAGCATAAAGTCAAATTGGTCATTAAACACAAGGTTTACACTAAGCCAAAAACCCAAGTAGTATTCATTCAAATCACTAAGCATGAGACAATAAGATTAATAAACCCATTAACAATGGACTCAATGTCCACATTTGATCGGTGGGCACATTAATATTGTCATATCGCTAGGCACAAGGCCCTCTTCACATTCTGAGAATTTGAGATATGAAACTTTTATTTTTTATGCTTATCAAACAAGTCAAAATTCTGGTAAGATTTCATAACTTAGTACCAAGGAAATGTTAAACGCATTAGAGAAGTTAAATGATATTAAGTAGCTGCATTTTAATAGAAAAGCCATAAAGGACAGATCTTGTTAGAAACATTGTTGTTTATCTCCTAGACGCGGTCCAAAAGCTGAAATTTTTTACAACGTTGGTATTCTGAGATCCCCTAAGACTACAAATGAAGACAGTCAAAATACACAGGCATTTGTTCAAATATTAGGAATGGAAATAGTGATACTTGTAATTTTATATTTGATCAAATTTATAGTCTCATGTAACTAATAAAAATGACCATACTTCATCAATTACGTATTAAATTGTTGAACAAGAAGGTTCTAGAAGATTTGTCAACAGTTTTAATTTTAGCTTGTGATGGCCAAGACAGTTAGATGTCATCCAATGAGATATAAAACTAGGAAGATGAATTGAAAAGATATTTTAAATTATGTGTAACGATTAATCTGACTAGATATAATTGCTCACGTGTCTCACAGCAAACTACATCCATAATGATTGAAAGATACATATGAAAGTTATTACATTTGGCATATTTAATAAATTGCACACTGGTTGTGCAATTGCAAATACCATAATAAAGTATCTTGTACAATGAAGTACTGAGACAAATTTCAGCTATAAGTTATGACAGTTATTCAAGGAATGGTGTTTTGTGTAGAGAAATGGAAAGCAAGCTTTTGGATAAGAAAGTACTATCACTTAATGGTCATTTATTCATATTTAACTAGAAGTGGTAACTAGTTGGAACTCAGCATATCTCATGTAAGGTGTTGACCTCTGCTATAAAAAAGTGTTGTCCAAATTCCGAACTAGGGGTTCTTGTATACTATTAAGACATAATTAACAAAACCACAGCTTCTAAGCTACCAAAGCACTGTTTCTCTAGTACATTAACAACATTTATAATTTCGAAATTTCCACGTGAAGAATGTGTTTAATTGAGGATTAGTCACAATGCGAAATGAAAGTCATTCTCGATGAATAGTTTTTCTATAAAAACACCACTCTTTTAGGATACTCATTATCGTGTATATAGCATATCATGTCATGACAAATGATCAGCAGATAATTTGAAAAAATGATAAAAAAATAAAATGAAATAAAAAGACGTTATAAAAGAATGATGCAAGTAGTAACTTCAGGAATATATGATCCAGCTTGGATAGGCAAACGAAGAGATGAGACTTTGCCACCATACATCTACAGTGGAGGCAGAAAATTTTACAAAATATATTGAGAATAAAGTTACCTGCCTTGTACGAGTCTCTGGTGGCAAAGAACCATAGACTACAGAACAAAGATGACTTCCTTCTATCTCAATGCGTCTCTAGATAGGCACACAAAAACCATTAATATTATATAAATTCAAGGAATGAAAACAACTGTTCACATTGAAGTAAAAAAACCAAAAGTGATGTCAACAGATACAGATATTCAAAATAATAATAAAAGTGTTTAAACGCCACAATGGAAAAGTAATGGCATTTGAAACAATAAATCCAACAAAAGGTATCACACTGCTAAGAACCGATAAAACATTTAACAAGCTTGCACTGTAGTGTGCATGCCATTACCAACTTTCATGCATTATTTCAGCACCAACTTGAATAATTTAGCACCTAACTTCTGCTTTAAAGGTTTGAAAATAGAAATTCATATGTAATCAAGTAGAAAAATAATTAACAACTATGCATCAGTGCATGTAACTGCCCATAATTGAATGTAATCAGATAGCAATTGTGGGGACTTTAATTTCAATACTTGAGATAATACAACACACAATTGCTTCTCGTTGAATGCAATTACACAGGAGTTAAACTTAATTGGGTCAAAAGATTAGACAGGTTCGTCGTCATGAGAACGGGGCTGAGAACTTTATCATGGGGAGGTTGGGAAAAGTATGTCCTGAATCATTTTGGTAAGAACGTAGCTGGCATACAGGGGAGGTTTCAAAGAAGCCAGTGGCACACACCATTACAAGCTTTCTACCTTCATTCAATGATTGCGGAAATACCCTATTTCAAAAAAGAATTGCTTTTCTTCCACTAAAAAGTACATAAGCCATTATGTATTTTTCCACGAAATAGGTTTTGAAGTCTGAAAGAGTTTTAAACTGTACAATTCCCATGATAAGAAATTCATTAGCATGTATTCTAACATTTTACGAAAATCATCAGCCCGCCATCAACTAACTGGCCAGGTGTTCCTTTCCCCTGGAAAATCATACAGTCACCTGATGGGGAGTTAGATGCACCCATGGATGATATAAACACTACTTTTGATAAAGTTCTACTTGCCTCGGTTGTAGATTTCTAAGCGGGTCTTACAAAAAAAAAAGGTTTGAGTTATTTTGGGAATACAGCAACGCAAGGGGAGCGAATCCGCTTTTTGATCCCTCTAATGATAGAGGGAAGAGTTGGTTTATGTTCCTTTTCATTGGTATGTGATGGAACAGTGTGGCCTACAACCTCCGATACACGGATGCTTTGTAACACATTTGATTTTCCTTCCCTTCCTAGATCATGAGGACAGTCTGAGATCCGCCAAAACTATGGATGGAAAGGAAAAAGAAAAGCGTTGCATATCCTATACAAGGGACCACTCACCCCAACATAAATCTAAAATTTTCTTGAGCAATAGAGGTTAAGTTTTAGTGACTGATAGGAACATATTTCTACAGTACAACCTTTCCAATTGAAGATACCCCTGAGGGAGGAGATTTCAAACAGTGGATGAGGCAAGTTAGCTTCACTTTCTTTTTACGTAGGAAAATAATCATTAGACAACCAAACGCGAAGATCACGTGTCATCACCAATCCTTCAGTTTAGTTGGAGGATATGATAATAAATAATAATTTATTTTCCTTTAGCAGAAGACAGTAGTTGAAAGAAATGGCAAGTATTAAATATCAGCAACCAAATTCTTTTACTATATATGTTTAATAGATTCAAAGAACTCCGAATGTCAACTCATCAATCCACACAGTTCAGTTGACAGACTAAAGGCTCTCACATCACATGATATGTCAAGGATGTCAGAAAGAGAATGTACCCGTGAATGCTAGTCAACCAGCCTGGACCACCATGTCTGAGTCTTTGAATGGAAAATTAAAAATTTGCAGAATAAACCAAAAACTATCTTAAATTGCAATAAAAAAAAACTCTTAGGCTCTTTCAACAAGAAATCTCCACGGCTGGTGGTCTGACAGGTTCAAAGGTGCATACATGTTCCAGGTACTTCATTAGGTACTGCAGAACCGTCATGTGCAGGTTTGAGCTTTGTTGACCCCTTTTACAGACCTATAGATCTTGTTATTGTTCCATTGAACCTAGTCAACTTTGGTTGATAGGATAAGACATGCAGACGCTGACATCACTGACGTTCTATTGGCAAAGGCCTCATAGCATTTTAAGCAGACGAGAGCTACTTATGCAAAACTGGTACAATAATTATTTACATGCAATGGTTTGGGGCACAATATTTAGAAAATGATATTCAGAATAGAAGAATTGCACTACCAATTATTCATATAAGAAGTGAGGCATATTTCAAAACTTCAATTTTTCAGGCTGACCTTTAACTTGTATATCTCCTGCCGAGAAAAGGTCACAATGCAGTCACCTTTTTTAATGTTCGAGAAAGATCCAAGTGGCATCTTTAAAGGAAGAAGAGGAGAAAGCCTATCATAATATTGAACCTAGTGATAAACAAGAAAGACATCCCGAGGTTAGAAATAGTAATACAAGCGGAAGCAGATATAGGAGACTAGAAACACTAAGAGAAGACAACTATGTTAACTTAGAAAGAAAATCAAGAAAAAATTCCTAGACACAATTTGAAGGTCGCTTCTTCCGTAGATTTTGAGTAATCAATTAACTAACCACGCATTTAGAAAAGGAGAAATGATCTACCTCATAATTTTAATCAAGAGCTCCACGGGAAGAGTGAAGCTCTTCCTGTGGAGGGGTTAAGGTAGGATAGAAAAAGTAGAGAGGTTGTGGAACTTATCTCCGAATCTTTTTTAAATTCTTTCCACCTCGTGGGCCACGTTTCATAGTCCAGCATGGGTCTTCTAACTATCGAGATATGAATGATAAGCGAGCATTTCAATATTGGATAATTTAAATCCGGCCTAACACGCCCATTAAGGTTGTCAGAAGTGACAACTTTTGCAGTTGAGACCACAAAAAGTATAATTAAAATCCGCCCAGGTGCAGCATACTAAACCAGGCATTGATTAAAATGAGAAGATTCTGCGAGTGAACCACCACATGGGAGGCAGAGTCCCAGAAAACCCCTAGCCCAGTCCTTCCTGGTATGGGCCAGGCCACCCCCCAATTCTTTCGACCAAACATGCTTTTCTCAAGTACAGAAAAATGAGCCAGCCAGGCTACCCAGGATTAACAAACCTCAATTGATAATTATACATTGGTTGTGTGGATCTTCCAGCAGCAGGGAAAGGGTTTAAGGGGAAAAAATCAGGAGCAAAAAGATGATTTCACAGATGCTGCCAATAGATTTTGATCAGCAGCAACCGATATATAAATGGCAGTGTTCAAAGGATAATTTTTTCAGCGTGATAGAAATAGAAAAAAATCGACACCAGAAATTACAATAATGAATTATGGATTGAAGACAAGAGGGTATATTCATCCAACAAGTAAAATTGTAACATCAGCAGCCACTAAGATTATGCAGCAAGCAAAATGATAAATTTAGGACCTCAATCGTATCACCAGTAACTTCAAGAATCTTCTGGATAAGAGGAACTGCAGCGGGATCTCCACACACATGAAGCTCATCTGAAGATATTCCTAACAATGCACGCGTAAATGAAAATCCTCTTGTCCTGCAACTGATCATCTGAAGATGAACAAAAAAAAATGACTCGTTCCACATTCTAACAATTTCAAAGTTTAACAGCATACAGATGGAGTGGAAGATTAAAATGTTGAAATGTTCATTCCCTCCCACAATATGATTGACTAAAGTATATTAATCACGCAAGTCTTTTACAGTTAATAATTACATGGAAACCTGATCCGGATGGCCACGTACCTGAATTTCATCAATAACAGCACATTGATATTCACTGCTTACATCAGCCATTTCGACTGTCACGGATTTGTGGCGTGCACCTTCCTTTTCTTCCCTTTCTTGTCCAGTGATCAGGTCACAACGGACATCCGCCTTATTTAACCTGTTTGCCACCTCCCATGCCAGAAGTCTCAAAGGCCCACAGTATATGCCTGTCCAATGGCTATGAATATTTATTTTCTGGTTCAAATTGATCAAAAAGAAAAGCACACGCAGCTCTCTGGTGCAGCAGACAACGATTCACAAATAAAATTAGAAAACCGGGAAGTACCTGAGGAGCTTCTTTCTAATCTCTTTAATGCACTGTACGTTTTCCCACTGTTTGTTGGACCCACATGCAAAACCACTTTGCGTTTTTTCCTCCGAGCATTTGGGTACCATGTGTGAGGGCAGCTGCATTACATCTAGAATGTATAATGATGTAGAATAAAAATACTCTAATGCAGTATCATACCGTAGAAGGCAGTGTGATGGTCATAATATACAAATTGAAGCAAGTTGTTTCATACTGGAGCTTTATCAAAAGATTTTTTGCTTAAAAAGATTAAAAACAATTGTCTGATGGATAAAACATTAGATGAAAAATTGAATACATTAAGAACTGTAATATCTAATGATTAAAGTTCAACACTATAGCCTCATTAAAAAAACCACGTACAATAGTAAAATAGAGTAAAATTCAATGCGATAGATGCATTTGAAAATAATTGCCACTTAAATACATGAGAGATCACACAATATTCATTTTATAACAAAAAAAAATCACAAGATCTGAAACAAGAAAAGTTTACAAGATATTAATTTCAGTTAAAAACTAAGTGAAACATTTTCCTTCACTTATCTTATACAACCACAACTAAGTTGTCCAAAAACTAGCAAAATCAGATGACGTGACTAGAAAGGCACAGTCTCAAAATTTTCACGGGATTAGTTAAAATTGACCTTGCTTAACTGAATTAGGTCTTAGCAAAGGGATGAAACCAGGCAGGACAAGACAAGAAACAAACTGGACAAACAAATAAAAAGGGATTTTTTAAAAGGGATTTTCTTACACCTTTGAATTTCTAAATAATGTTTTACTGAACCGGTCAGAGTTGATCACACGGAATAATGATAGGATGAGTTTATTATGTGATTTGTAAAGGACCTCAACTGGCACAATTGTACATAAGATGGAAGAAAAAAGGTCATCCACAAACTTACAGTATTATTCACAGGCTGAACAGTACTCATTTTGCTTACTCTTCATCTTTAAAAAAAAATGTCTTTGCATATCAGTAAAACCACATTTCAAACATATCATCATAGATTCAAAAGACAACTTGTGAACCTCTCTTTACATGAAAGATCATTTTTTCTTAGGTGAATAAAGAAAATGTTTCCTCCAAATGTAAACAGACAGACTTGAGATGTCATGCCTTCCATTTTCTGATTATGTGTCTAAGTATGGTATGAGGGAAGAAATTACTTCACCTAGATAATAGGACAAAAGGTCTTAAAAACAATAAAAATATCATATATCAACTAATAGGTAGAGAGCATCATGAAATGTTTACTTACGTCAAGTCTGTCAAATCCAACTTTCGCATGCCATCATAGCTGCTTAAATGTCTCAAGCTATCCCAAGGATCTAAGAATAAATGAAACTTTAGTTTGACATCGAAAAGAGCAGCATAACAGAAGAGAATGATTTTACAGCATTGATTCTATATCATCAGTCCCTCATGATCCCAAAACTCATAGTAGCCACTTTGGCAAACTGAAGTGTAACAAATTCAATGTAGATAAAGTTAAAAAAATGTCATATTCAGCATACACTTCCACACCCAAAATAATAAAATCGTTTAAACCAATAAGCAAGGTATTAATGGTTTTAGCTAAGGCAAAAGAAGAATTAAGAAAAACAAGTTTCTGCTTAAGAGTAAATTGAATATGCAATACCTATTCATATCGTGGATAATGACTTTGATGGCAGGGCAAGGCTGATCCTTAACTCAATGGGGTGATCATACCCCTTTCCCATCCTATTTTTGTTAGGAAATGCAAATCTTGGGCCAGTTTCAGTCTTGACGCAAAAATTTTGAAAGTTATAACCTGATTCTTGATAATCAGATTTTGAAAGGACTGACAAGATGAACTAATGTAACCAATCCACACAACAACTGGGTAACCCACTCCTAAGAAAAAGAAATTGAATCCAAGTCCACAAACTGATTTAGGATACTTTTTGCTTCCCTCAACACACTCCTGGGATAGCATAGCATCTTGGGATCCAGATCATTGACGCTTTTCCACAAAAAGTAGCATACCGTAAGAAAGGCAATTATATATCAAAACTCTGACCTTTGTGCCAAATTTTAAGTCGTCCTCAACACTCACATTTCATTAAAATTCTTTATTCCAATCCATTGACTAACCTCGACACACTCAGCATTGTTCATTCTGACCATTTATTGTCACACAAAAAAGCAAGAGTCTTGTTACTAAAGAATTTACGAATCTGGTCTCTACTATATATAAATGGCAACAGTTATATGTTAAGAGCATGATTTCTGTCAAAGAAGCAAATCCATCAATGATACGGCTGACTCTAATTTGCCAAATCTTCATAAAGAATGCATCATCCAAGACAAAAAGTAAACACTAGAGGTATATCTACGTGCCTCACACAGTCTACTATTGTCACAGTGAAACGGTTTGTCCATTAAGAATCATTGAACAATCAATTTGAAACCAAAAGAGCCAACTATGCGATCCAGGCTCCTATACATCCAAGGAAGGAACAAATCATAGCCAGAAGAAAAACTTATCTTCTGAATCCATAGTGCTAGCATATCAATCGAGATTGAAAATTCATCAGTTTTTTATGTTCAAGTAGACCTAATTGAACAAGATCATTTGTGAGTATTCAAATTTCTTTCATCTCCTGTCACCATTGAACCTTTTGGAACCAATCAATATACGGCACATTGATTCTTTCACTTTCCAAGTTCTATACGAGATTAAACTGGTGAATCCGTATCCAACATAACAACTCTTAGAAGAGAGTTACCGGGCCAACAATTGGAGGACACTTTTGTCTTCAAATTACTCTCCTCGTATAAAATGGAACCATCATAAATCTTATTAATGAACAAACTGAAAGGAAAAGCTCAGACGAATTGCATGTGCCACTAAAAAGACAAAATGTCGTATCCTTAAAGTCAAACATTCAATTTTTTGCCAGATTCAAGGCCATCTTTTAGAGTAGAAAAATTCAAGAAGCTCCCAGGTGTAAAATGGAATTTCGTGCACACAAACAACAACAGAGGAAAGTCCTTCGGGCTAAGGAACAAACTAGATGAGGCCCCCAAGCAGTGGAACCTCCGCCAAAGGAGGTAACACGTCATTATCGGCTCTTCTTCTTCCCCTGCGCCTCCTTCCCCTCGTGCCACGCCTCAGTTTCTGTCCGAAGAAAAACACCAGAATACTGGAGACAGATTGGCGGCGGTTTGCCGCTTGCTGTGCGCCGGACGCCTCCCTAGCTGCTGAATGTGCCGCTCCCCCAGCCGGCGACAGTCCTGCACGCTACTACCATGGAGAACGTAATATAGTCGTTCGAGAAGCCACTGTTAACAGCCCCCTCTTTTAAAATCTCAAATTATGTCTAAAACTTGGAACTTTTTATATCTTACTACAAAATAAATTGCTAAAATACTATGTAATTAAATCGTAATTAATTTTATTGAGAAAAAATAAATAAATCGGGGTGCTTCTGATTTTTAATGATAAATAATTATTTAAATAATAATAATTGACATGTAAAATATGGTTTGCAGATCCATACCATCATACCAACACCCTGATGCGCATTAGCAAACATCACATACTGTATATTTTCTTGAGTGAACATAACTTAGAAAATAATTCCATAATCAAGATGAAATGAACTTACCCATAATATAAAATATGCAAAAATATATTCCAGATTAATTTCTAGCGCAAGCCAAAAAAAAAAAAGTGAAGCTTTGAGGTGATCTCAATAAATTAAAAAAAACACACTTTTTCATTATTAATAATAATATAATTAATATAAATATGTATGATGATAGGGGCCATTATTTAGTATTAATACAAAATTATTGAATTTATGCATTTATCGATAAATTAATTTATCTAAGAGTAGTCTATTGTGATATTTTCTTTTTTAACGCTATCAAAATATCAACAGCCCACAAAAAATCTTGATTGGTTTATTAGCCCAATCGGGCCCAGTAAGTTTAATAGCTCTACTCGGGCCCACATTTCACCACCGTGGCATCCCTCGTGGAAGCCCGCCATTGGGTAGTGGTCCATCTCCTTGGCACGTCATCATCTCACCATCCCTTTTCTTGCCAGGTGGCCGTCGAATCTAGCCGTTAGAAAGAATCTCGAACTTTTCTTTGAACTACGCCGGAGGTGTGGGGGGCGGGTGGAAACAAATCAATAAAAGAGTTAAGTGCATAAAAGCCAATAAAAATCTTAGAGGGTATGCTTCACTTAACTCCGAGCTATGATCTCGTTCGGGGGGGGGAAAGCTGGGCGACGGCGGAGAAAAGCCGGCGGCGCTCCGCCTGGTAAAAAGGGAAAGCTCCGCCCCCCCACCACCGGGCATCGCCCAGGTAACAAGGGAGCAGTGAAAGATAGAGATAGAGCGAGAGAGAGAGAGATACTTTGGCCAAAGCTCGGGAGTTATCCGGCCTTTGACCGCAGGCGTTTCCTCTTTCTACCTTGCTTGCCCCGCCCGCATGGCTTTTCACTACGACGGCGGATTCTATTTTTTTTAATATTCCAAATATTATTTATGGAAATAACTGTCCATTTTTTATTTTTTCTCCCGGATAAATAGATTAGTCTTTAAGGAAGCCTTCTACTTTAAAATGATTATTTAATTTTTATTTTTAGGAAATAATCGCTTTATTTTGGTAATTTAAATGGTCGGTAAGTTCCATGAGCAGATGTCCCGTCGGGTCAGCAGTAGAGAGCAGGCAAGACACGTGCCGAGAGCGGGCCCGACGTGGACCCTTACAAGCGCGTGTCACTTCATTCGCTTGGATTTGACTTGGCGCTCTTCCTCAATTTCTCAACTGTTTTTTTTCCAAACCCACAAATTACGGATATCATTTTTTAAAAAAAATTATTTTGCATGGGATTTTGACACGTGGCGAGATGGGATACATTCGATCAAAGACCTAAGATTCTATTGTCATGCCCAAACGCACTATTTTTACAGAAAGCCCCCCCTTCTCTTCTATAGACATCGCTTTCCGCTGTGTACCAAGGGTCAATATTGCAAGACTATTAGACTTTGAGGGCAGAAATGAAATCAAAAAACTTATAGAGAGATGCAACTATAGTATGCACCATCTTCCAAACCCAGTACAAACAGGGAAAGACGGAGGGAGAGAGAGAGTCTCTGTTCCTCTCTCTTTCTCTAACTTCTGATCACGCCCCTTTATCTTTTTTTTTTTTTCTCTGCTTCGTGGGCTTTTCTCTGTGTGCTCCGTGGGATAGAGAGAGGCGAGGAGACGACAGCGGGTAGCGGCGGCGGGGTGGTTGCGCCGCCGGCAGGGGCGGCTGAGGCCCCCTGGGAGCGGCGGGCTCAGAAAAATATATATTCCTCGTCTCTTCTGTTAGTCTCAGATCGGTCTCACGTCATATTCTATGGGCTCCCTAGTACCCTCCACAGTCTTTAGACTCGCGAGACACAGAGAGAGAGAAGCGTTTGAGTGGACAGGGGTCAGGAGAATGAGACAGAGAGAGAGAGAGGGAGAAAACAGTCTGGTCTGCTCTCTCTCTCCTATGCTTTTTGCTCTTCAAACTTGGTACTTTGGAGAGCCACTGATAACGAGGTCTAGAGGGAGAAGAGAGAGAGATAGAGAGAGAGAGTGCACACGCTCTCTTCCCTATCTCTATCTATCTACGGATGGCCGCTCCAAAATCCAATCTTTCCGGCGGGGAGGCATCATTCCCAAGCCCCGAGCTCGGCCTGATCGATCCCTGGGTTTTTATATAGAGAGCCCCCGCCCGGGAAAGGGAGGAGGAGAATCCGCCAGGCCTGCCCTCTTCTTCTCCGCGCAGGAGAGAGAGAGAGCTTAGAATTCCTTCCTTCTCCAGCTCTTACTTGCATTGGCGGGGGAGAGAGAAAGGGAGCGCTTCACGCCGTCGCATGAAGGAGCCGGTCCGAAACCATGAGAGATGACAACCCCAAGAAGAGCAAGGTTCTCTCTCTCTCTTCCCCCTTCCTGTTTCGTTTCGTTTCGTTTCGTTTCTCTCTCCAGATGCTGACGTCTCTTTCCCTGGGTCTCGCCGAAGCTCTCGTGGTCTAAGAACCTGATCAGAAAATGGTTTAATGTCAAGAACAAGACCCAGCACTTCTACGCCGATGAGGATGTCATTTGCAGAGGTATCTCTCTCTCTCTCTCTCTCTCCCCCTCTCTCCTTATCTTCTCTTCCCTCTTTCGGGCAGCCATATCTGAGAATTACGGCGCCTATAGTGACTAACGCAACAGCCTCACTCCACCTCTCTCCTCTCGGGCCTTCCCATCTCATTCTTGGCTTCTCCCATCTCTCTCTCTCTCTCTCTCTCTTCCTCTAATCTGCAGGAGGCGGCGGGCAGAGGAGACCCATCTTCTCCGAGAGGGACTCGTCCACAGTCAAGAAGAGCAGAACCGGTGCGACCCTGCTTCAGCCTCCTCTTCTTCTTCTTCTTCCTCTTCCTGCAACCTCTCCAATTCACCGTCGACTCCACAGAGCGACTGTCCAGGAGGAGCTCGGCCCCAGCGGCTCCCCTCGAAGCTGGAGGTCAACGACCAGAGGTCCAGGAGTACAGGTGGGTTGACCCGCTCACCTGGCCCTCTGTCGCCATCCTCGATTCTTCCTCACTGATCCATCCATCCATCCATTCCTCACGGCGGCTGCGGCTCGGCTGCAGGATCTTCGTTTCTACCTGGAATGTGGGAGGGAGATCGCCACCGGCCCACCTGAACCTCGAAGCCTGGCTCCATACAGCGCCGCCGGCCGACGTCTACGTCCTCGGGTAAACGCCGCCGTCGCCTGCATCTTCAAGTCGATGATCCAAAAGAGCAAAGTTTCAAAGGAGCTTCCCATTTTTGGCCGCCAGGTTCCAGGAGATCGTACCTCTGAACGCCGGCAACGTCCTCGGAGCGGAGGACAGCGGGCCGGCGAGGAAGTGGGTGGCCCTCATCAGGAAGACGCTGGAGGATCTCCCCGGCGGCGGCGGCAGACGGTGGCGGGCCGCGGAGCTGGTGGCGGAAGTCGAGGGGTCATCGTCGTCTCGGCGAAGGCGCTCGTTCCAGTCGCTGCGGCGGAGCTGGAGGATGGACGACGGCGAGATGGTGGCGCCGCCGCCGAAGCTGGAGCGCAGGTTCAGCGTCTGTGAGCGGGTGATGGACAGACGACTTTGGGAGGGCTCCGATGACGACGACGACGACGACGACGACGACGATGACGGCGGCGGCGGCGCTGCCAGGGAATCGCCGGGCACTTTCATCTACTCGCCGGAGTGTTATGGGTACGGCATCTCGTCGTCCATGGAAGGCAGGGAGAGGCCGGAAGGGTACCCAAGGTATGCATGCATGGTCTCAAAATTCTCCAAAAATTGTTAATCTTTAAAGTGCACAATTTGGATCGTATATTTGAAATTTCTCTTCTCCAGCAGCAGTTCATGGGTTCAAATCATGCGATCCTCTGTTCTTGTGGGGATGTCTTTTCATAAATATCAGTGTATTTACACATGGGTTCTCTCTGCCCTTGGTAAAATAAAAATACATACCATGATAATCTACAATGTGCATAGTTTGGATCGTATATTTGAAATTTCTGTGCTCCGGCAGCAGTTCATTCATTCGATTCATGCGATCCTCTGTTTTCGTGGGGATATTTTTTCATCAAAATCCGTGTATTTCCGCATGGGTTCTCTCTGATCTTGGTAAAATAAATCATGTCATGAAGATCCATTAAGTGGATGGATTCGATCATCCAAGAGAAACTCATCTGTTCTTGCAGCATTTCACGAGTTCTGGCCATGTGATTTCCATAAATGTGGGTATATTTCCATTCGGGTTCTCTCTGCCCTGGGTAGAACGTGCCACAACGATCTAGATTGTGCAGTATTTCAATCCTCTGTGCGAAGTTCATCAGTTCCAGCAGCAATTTCATGAGATATACATTTTCATTTGGGTTCTCTATATGCTCTTGGTGAAACATGCCATCATCATGAATAATGTGCATCCTTTCAATCAATCTATATTTTCATTTGGGTTCTCTCTGTGTTCTTGGTGAAACATGCCATCATCATGAATAATGTGCATTCTTGCCATCATCTACAAGAAATTCCTCATTTCTGTCACAGGTACTGCCTGGTTGCGAGCAAGCAAATGGTGGGCATATTCCTCACCATTTGGGTAAGGAGCGCCATGAGAGACGATGTGGGAAACATGAAGGTCTCCTGTGTCGGCAGGGGTCTAATGGGGTATCTCGGAAACAAAGTAAATAAGACGAAATAAATCAATTAATTAAATTAAATTAAATGACATGAGAGATTCTTACCTCGATGGTCGGTTTCAGGGTTCCATTTCAATCAGCATGTCGCTGCATCAGACGAGTTTCTGCTTCGTCTGCAGCCATCTGACATCTGGGGAGAAGGAGGGGGACGAGATCCGGCGGAACTCTGATGTCATGGAGATCCTCAGGAAGACCCGCTTCTCCAGGATCCCCGGGTTCGGACCCAGGAGATCCCCTGAGACCATCCTTGATCATGAGTAGCCACAAAATCTGCAATCCCTGAAGCAAAATTCAGAAGAACCCACGCCAATTCTTTTTTATATAATTTCTTACTTTTCCTCCATCTCAGCCGGATAATTTGGCTTGGGGATCTGAACTATCGCATCGCCCTTTCATACCGGACCGCTAAGGCCCTTGTTGAGATGCACAACTGGAGAGCCCTGCTGGAGAACGACCAGGTAAATCTTCTTCTTCCTCTTCTTCTCCTTCTTCTTCTTTTTCTTCTTCTCCTTCTGACTGAGGATGATGGCCATGGAAGCAGCTCCGGATAGAGCAGAGGCTGGGACGGGTCTTTGAAGGCTGGAGTGAGGGGAGGATATACTTCCCACCCACATACAAATACTCGGCCAACTCGGACCGCTACGCCGGGGACGACATCTACCAGAAGGGCAAGCGGCGGACTCCTGCATGGTGAAAGACACAGACAGAAACATGGGTGTTTAGGTCTAAATGCTTCCTGTAATTCAGCTTCTCACGCGGGTGTTCTTCGTGATAAAAGGTGCGACAGGATACTGTGGTACGGCCGAGGCCTCAGCCAGCTATCATATGTGTGCGGAGAGTCCAGGTTCTCGGATCATCGGCCGGTGCACAGCATCTTCAATGCCGAGGTCGTTGTGGGTGACCAGAGTAGAATGCAGAGCAAAGGATGGTCTAGCCCCAGCATCCAGACTGACGAATTCTTCCCTTATGGTCATGGCTACGCAGAGCTCAGTTTTTTCTGATCAGGAGGTCTGGTTTCCCTGAAAGATTTACTGTGTGTTTGGTTGAGTGCCCCTTTGAGGATGGTCTCTCTTCCTTCTTGCAGTCTCTCCTGTTGGGATATGGATGGTGTGTACCTGAGAAGGGTTCCTGGTGTATACCACGAGGTAAAAGCTTATTGATGGGCTATGATTTTCGTTCTTTATTGTTTCGCCACTTTGGTTGGTGCTCATTTGGGGGATCCTGCTCTTGGCAACGAAATTCTTTATGATTTTGCAATGCTTTTTTTCTACTTTCTGAGAGACAACTTCATCAGGAACGAATGCCTGTGTTTACTTTTGATATCTTCCTACCAAAAAAAAATTCAGAATTTTTTTTTCATTGCATGAGTACTAATTCATTACTTTCACATGGATTCCTTCTATTCTGCAGTCATGCCAAGTGGCGAGGGAAGCACATCACCATGTTAATTCGTGTGTAATCCAAGGGTCAGCCAGCCTTCTTCCTTTGCTTCCTTGCAACTTTCTGCTTGCGGTTTATATACTCTCTCTCTCTCTCTCTACTCTTCCTTCTGGCATCATGTACCCACTAATCCACGAGCACAACTTCACCAGGAAATACATAGCTCGATGGAGTCCCCCACTAGTGCCAGTTCATAGAATGCTCCACCATCATCTGTGGCAAGCCCCGGCATTGTTCCATGGAAGTTATAGCACCTTTGGATCCCTGAGTTTCAAACCGAGCAAGGAGGAAGACTGATCCGTATCAACACAGCAGAAGAGCTAAACCTTGGGAATTTTTTTTGCGACGACAGCTGCTGAATGATAATCAGTGCACAGTTTGTAGTCTCTTTTCCTCTTTGTCCTAATTGGACAGCTAGGTTCGAGGATAGTGCAAGAAGAGAGAGAAAGTGAGAGAGAGAGAGAGAGAGAGAGAGAGAGAGAGAGAGAAAGAGATATAGAGAGAGAATTCTAGGGTGTGTGTTTACTCAATCACCTAGGAGATAAAGATGCTAGGCCATTATGTTTCTCTTGTTTGGTCCACGACTTTTGTCTGAAAAGGTCAACATGATCGGTCGAATCAACATATGCTTCATTCTTTATGGGGGAGCACACTTTTCTAATAGAATCAGATTTCTTCACCGTGAAATGGGCAGGTTTCCCTATTTTTGTTCCCTTTTTTCGTCCCCGATATCTGAGCAGTCATCGAAACAGTTCAGAAGCTCAGCAGGCCAGCGGATAATAGAGGGAAAGTCACCTCCAGGTTCTCCCTCTCCTCCCCGTTTCCCCCCAATGGGGTTTCACATCTAGCGTTCTTCCCTACGCAACCTAGTTCCCCTCTGCCCCAACTGTGGAGTTGCCCAAGGCTGCCACCTCGTTCTGCTGTAACGCTAGAAGGGGGGAAAAAGGGAAAGAAAATCTGCCAGTCTCTTTAAAGGAAGGAATGTTTCAGCCACAGATGATCTCCACCTGGAAGTAATCGAGCGACGTAACAGTAACCAGTGTCATCTCAGACCACGTCCGTCTTGCTCTGGTTAGGGTTTTTGAGTTGAAGGATTACACATTTCCTTTCTATATACATTTTTTAATGGAGGCGAGCAACACAATCCATCATTGGAAAAACTCAGCAAATTTAGCTCCCAATTTGTAGTACAGGAGAACAGGTCCAATTCTTAGTATATAAATATATGCAAATACGAAAGAGATGAGCCGCGTACCTGACGTGAAGCTCCACCTCCGTGGCCTAGTTTCTGTCCACCGGTTCGCCATTAGATGGCCGCTTCTTCTCGCTTCTTCGTCCGAAGCGACTCCCTCCCTCCACTTTGTCCCTCTCAAACGAGTACCTTCCTATTCGATCCCCAACTCTCTCTCTCTCTCTCTCTCTCTCTCTCTCTCTCTCTCTCTCTCTCCCCCACGGTGTGCCCTCCTCGCCTCCCGTCCTGGTCTCCTTCCTCCCTGGTTCTCCGGCATCGCCTCAGCTCCTGCGGAGGCGACGATGGGGCCGGCCTTCGAATTGAAAACCAAACGCAGCTCCCCGCGTCGTCGGCCGTTTTCTAATATTATTATATATATATATATCACTTTATCATCATTTTTTTTGTATTAACATAATATAAATAATGGAATTCTTCCCATTCAATTCGCTTGTACTCATAATGCACATTATCTTATTTTTTATATAATTTAATACCAATTTATTATTACTGCCATATCAGGTAACAATCATAATAATAACGATTTTTCTTCCTAATATGCTCCTTTCCTCACCAGCCATTTTCCATGTTTTCTTATTCATATTATTTAAGTTAGTAAGTACAAAAATTGTTATTTTTTACTATTCCAGATTATATACATATAATTTTCAATTTTCCTGGTTTTATTATTCATCTAAATTTAATTTAATTATTTACAAGTCGGGTAATAACAATAATAAGAATAATAATAGTATATGTGTTGGGCCTATCTGAAATTGACCCAAATTGGTTGCCTTTTGCCGTCCAATCTTACTGGGTCATCTAGAATTGGTCCTCGGCTTTCAAGGATACCGTAGATAAGAGAGAGAGAGAGAGAGAGAGAGAGAGAGAGAGAGAGAGAGAGAGAAGGGACAGGTCATGTCTCCTCATTACGGAAAGGTGATAATGGTCACGTTGCACCAGGAATATTGCATGGGAATACACGAGCAGTTAAAGGACCCAAAGGTAACGAGGGACGGCGTGTCAGGGTCAACTAAGGGCAGCCTACCCTGTTTTTTTTATAATCCACAGCTACTTTAGTTGTACCGAAGGGTGCCCAAGATGCTCTCTTTGTCGTTGAGGATTGATTACCAAGGATGATCTCACATTTGACCCAAGGGAGAGCTGATGGAGTCAAGAGTCTGCAAAGAAGTCAACGCCTAGATGGTGATGATGAACTCATTTGACACATCTCTTTTACTCCTAGCCGTTATTTGGGCACACCTATATAACTTATGATACTATTTTCACTTCGGTAACACTATAAATCAAGGGGGCCTTAATTGGAACTTTTTACGTTTTCTTTTTTAATTTACTCAATGTTTGCTAATTTCAAAAACATAATTTTTTAATAGTTCTATCAAGCCCGGCTTTTTTCCACTCTATAAAAATAACATATTTAGGTTCCACTAATTTCTCATTGAAATACATTAAATATAAGAACTTTAGGAAGCCTATAAACTGAACAAGAAGACTTCTTATATTTACTAAACATGTAGGCCCTTATAAAATATATCTATTAAACATTATAGCACTTCAACTATCCTTTACTAAATAGTAAATTCTTAGCAAGCCTATTTGTTAAACATTATGACTCCCATTTGCTTCTACTTAGTACGAAGGTTTTATCAAATTTATATTTGATTTATGAGCCTGAGGAAATAAGTTGGAGCATGTAATGTAAAATATTTTGATGATGACAAAAAACCATAAAATTAATTTGTCTACAAACTTGATTTAGATATAAATATATTTTTATACATGAATTGAATTGAATATAAATTCAAGAATAAATCAAAGTAATAGTAAAAATTATTTAAACAGAAATCGAAAGAATTAGTGTGAATGATATCATGTTGAATTTCAGAATTTGGTCGATTTTACCACTCAAAATTGTTGTGAAAATTGGGGATATTCAGTGAAACAACTATTGTGGAAAAGTAATGATGTCTTTCAAAATCTATGAAAATTCATGATGTAACATATGGGTATGAAAACAGCTTACTATAATAGATATCCATGGTAATAAATCATTATTTTTGAATGTTCTTGATCCAACCATAAAATCAATTAACACATCAACTTATGCTTATTATCCATGAACCTGATTTATATATAGCTACTTTTTTATACATAAATGTAATTGAATATAAATTCATTAAGAAATTGAAGTAAAAATAAAAAATATTTAAATAGAAACTCAAAGAATTCATGTGAACCATACCATGTTGAATTTTAGAATTTGGTTGATTTTACCAGTGAAACTTATTACTTTACATATTGTTGTGAAAATTGGGAATAATCATATAAAAAACTATTGTGGAAAGGTAATAATTAGTATTTGAGAATCTATGAGAATTCATGAGGTAATATATAGGCATGAAAAATAACTTAGTATACTAGACATGCATGATAATAAATAATTATTTTAAAATGTTCTTGATATTAGATTAATTGATTGAATTTGAAGCACACATAGTACTACTTAAGATTTTTTGTATGTTAATAAATATTATTTAGAAAATGATTTTAAATATTCATAACTGCCCAAGTTATAATTTTACATATTGAGATCATGATACAACATATTCACTTAACAATTTTAATTTTTTTGAGATAATTAAGATAAATTTTAATGATGAATTATTATTATACTTCAAGATGTATGGTTGGTTGTATTTTGATGATAATAGATCCTTATTAGACTTATTTGAGTTAATAAATGTTAACTTTATATGTTGATGCTTAATGATAATATGTATTAGTTTATCATAGAAGATATCCAAATTCTTAAAGGCCATGCCATATTGATTTTGTAGCCATCATATTTTCTTACTAATTTTAATATTTAAGGTTAAAAGATGATAGAAAAAATTGTAATTATATTTTGATTTAATGACTCAATGGAGTAAAAATCTATAGTCAATTGTTGGTCTCCTAGGGTTATTTTATTTTTTTTAATGTGAAATTATGTGAGAACTAAATCTATAATCAACACTGTGATTGATAAAATGAGTGGTCTAATGGAATCTAAGAAAAATAGTGGTTTTGGAGAGTGGACTCATGCAACACATTGAACCACTTCAAAAATCTTTTGAGTGCTTTAGAACTAGAACCTAGAAAGTCCTATTATTAGAATTAATGAAAGGAAATTAGAAATCTAAGTAATAGTTGACCCATGTCACATAATTATGATCTTACCAATTTAAGACCCCTTTTTTGAACCAAATAGTATGTTAAGAATCAGTAAAATCTAAAAACAACCAAATAACATGTTGAGAACTAGTAAAT